CGACTGGGAACAGGAACATCTTCTTCTACGTTCTACAACTGCCATGTTTTCTTTCCTAATATGCCCGTTTGGAACGAAGAGGTCCACGTCAGTGACGTTTTCCAGAAGGAGTGGATCGATCGGATAGTTGCCCCTTCCTTAAGATTAGTCTGTCCGCCTGACGTCGTCCAACACCACCCAGTAAGCTTCCAGGATGCAGACAACAAGTCTAAGGTTAGGCGTCAAGACTTCGTGTCTGGAACAAGCGCAGCGATAGACGTGCAGTACACGATTCCTTCTGAATACCTGGCTTCTTTCTGGAGTGAAGTGGAAAAGGCGGCCCGGAACTACACCGGATGCTCTGAAGTACCACGGGACTCGTTTCAGGGCTTGTTTCTAGTTGTCTCGGGCCATAATCTTAAGCTGTCGATGAAGCGTCCGTCACTGACGGAGGCGGTAAACGACTTCACACAACACCTGCAGACACACTTCTTCTACAACGACGCCTTCTTTCCAGCTCATAGTTGCTGGGTCGACTTAGCGGTTGAAGATACACCCTTAGAGCCGGGCATCACTTTGCTGCGAAAGACAAAGTGTCTTAATCATTGGGCCGATCAGCTTGCGTGTCCTGGGGCATCTTCAAATCGTTTTAAGACCCGATCGACGTTCTACCATTGGTCACTCACGCGAGACGCCGGGTCTGCATCAGTCGAGTTGGGAGAAACAAACCTGTGGCGAAAGCAAGCTGGCATGGCCTATGCAAAGGCGTATAACATACACAAAGAATTGTTCGCGTCACCTGTTAAAGGGCACAGCTTGTTTAAAAACCGACTGTTTGAGGGCCTAACGTTGTCCCAAGAGACTCTGGAGGATTGGTACAAAGCCAATAACCGGTTCGGACGTACTGCGCAGCAGAACCTACGCGAGTTGCTTCGAAAAGGATATGCAGCCTCTAAGAAGCATGTTGTCGATGCTCTCCACGGTTCTCAAACGTACAGCTTTGGTGTCCGACAAGAATACCGCTTTCGACTCGATGTTCTGACTGCTGCCCTGAGCAGAGAACGGCTGGCAGATGGGGGCACGATGTTGACTACGGTCAACAACACCGTACCCTCGGTGGCAGAATCCACCACTGCTCATAAACCGTTTTGGACGTTGTCCACGCCAGACGCTAATGATTTTACTGCGTACCAGCTTAACCGTTGGCTCTACTGTCTTGAGGCTCTGGCGAGTCAGACAGTGCATGGAAGCGGATCTGTGTCGCAAACGCCAATGGAGCAGCAATTAGTGAATGCGGTTATGGCTGCCAGCATGGTGCGTATCGCGTGTCTCTCGCTCGGTGGCGACCCTAAAGATTTCAGATCTGTATGGGTTTCGAGGCTACGCGGGAAAAGCGACGATGATTCTGACGAGGATTGTTCTGAAACTGGGAGTGACTCTGAGCTGGCGGTCTCACGTGGAATTCCGACGAGACGTCACATTGGTCTAGGGCTAAAAGATTACGTCGAGCGCTACGGTGTTGCGTGGTTCCCTTCCGAGCATGTTCTATGGCAAGGCGCTGTCCCACGGTACACAGAAGAAGCACAGAGCAAACTGGCGCTCTCCGTCAACATTTTACGTGGGTCAAAGAAGAACGAAAAAACCCAGAATGAGATGGAGCGTCAAAACGCAACATTCATTGCCTTCCGTCATTTCATCCGCGCGAATATGGACGAGGAGAACGTCGTTCTGGAGTTGGCCGCCGGCTTAGTGATCAGGGAATTCGTTCTAACCGTCATCAACTCGCTGGAAGATGATTGGCTGAAACACCGTGCGTGCCTGGAAGCAGAAATACTAAGAGAAGCCGAACGTTCAGATAGTAGCTTGGACTACTACTTCCCTTCTGAGAACGAAACTTCTGAACGGGATAAATTTCTAGCCATCGGCCGCTTCGGGCAGAATCTCTCGGACTCTGAAATGGACGGGCTCTGTGGTTTGTCACTTGAAATGCTCGAACGGCTGCTTAATTGTAGCCCGCGGCATGTATTAGCGCGTCGACAACCCCGGCGTGGGTCTCAACGGTTTCCGGTAAACGACGGAACATGGAAAGAGAAGATGAGGCATCTATTCGATGTCTCGATAACACCTAAATGGAAAAGTACGCCGTTTCGCCGACTAACTACTAAGCTTCGAGCCATATTACAAGATGAACTCCCCACCATGTCTATCGAGAAATTCGACGAACGGCTTGTTACAAAGGCCTCCATCTATCTTCTTGCGGTTCCTCAGTTCACGTTCGATTCGTTACTACCGAGGCGACAAGGAATACAACCGATATACGCTATCGGTTTCATTACTGCCGCCTTACCTGAGTCTCTGCTACGAGATATCATTCGGGACATTTGGCATATTAAGAAGCCTAGTCGTAGGCATATCTTTCAACTTCAAAGCCAATCCTCCACCGATAAAACGTGGACGAGAGTCACTTTAACACCTAATATAAAGCGGGCGCTCCAAACCGCTTTTAAAAATGGTGATCTTAATACTCAGTACGAATGGAGAAAATCGGATTGGGGTCAGCTGGATGACTATCAAGATAAGTCGATTATTTACCGGCGAAAGGATTTTCATTTAAATTCTATTTTTGATCAGGTTGTTGCAGAATTTCTTTACGAGATCGAAATGTCTCTTTTTCAACCTTTATTATAATCGTTTACTGCTCTTTTTTTATTACTTTCTATATCTCTCTACCGGTTATGTTGATCTTAGTCAACAAATTTTTTATAATGTATATAAATTAATCTCGTCACCTTCTTAGCCTTCTTCACGATACACCTCACTTTCTCTTGCCTCATCTACGAGTTTTATAGCACTCTACCCACCTAAGATACGAGTTTCTCACCTAAATCCCGGCTTCTTCTACCGAAAATGTAAGTAAAGAACCTAAGCGCGCTCCATACTCGACTTATACTACGGTATAAACCGCTCTTGAAGTGAGGCCAAAGTGAGGCCAGGTGAGGCCAAGGCCAGAATGGTGTAGCTTAAAAAAAAGGTTGACCTTAGTCAACAACGCCTGCAATCGACGTAAAGCTGTTGCTAATAAATCTCTACAGATGACAGAAGAATCGGAGGCCTCGTACGATCAGACGAAGAGGCCTAATGCCCTTCAGCTTTTAATGGCAACATCAGCGTCTAGCAAGAAGTTTCCGAAAGGCCCTAAGCGTGTTTTCGTGTCACGAGATGCGTCAAAGGACCAGCCAGCGACACAGTCTACTCATAAGCGAAGACGTACTGGCGAGTTGGCTGCTTCCGATTCCTCTCATCCTGCGCCGGGCTCTTCTAAGTCGCCACATCTATCATCATCATCATCATCATCATCATCGTCTACATCAGGTCTGCTTAAGCCGTTGCGCTTATCGCCTACGCCGGGTCCCTCAGAACCTCTTCGTCGATCACCGGGGTTGGGTTCTTCTGAACAGCGACAAACACCTCTAACGCCCAACGATACGTCTAGCGTGTCTAGCGTTCAGCGTGATCCCAACAAGACCTTTACAACAGTACCGATGAGCAACTGGGGTATGCTAAGCAGCAGTGAGATGTATTGGTTTATCGGCTCCAACATTGACCCGAAACTCTTTCGTCAGAACACTCCTCACTTCTCTGGGAACATGGATAGTCCTTCGGACTAACAAGGGTGCGAAATCCTCTTCATTTTCTTCTTCATTTTCGGGCGGGAAATAATTGTCTTGGGGGTTGGCTGTTTATGAAGTTATGCCTACGATGTTGACTACGGTCAACATCCACTGCGCTATTGGACTTCTTTAAAAAGTAACACAATTCATACAACGGATCAAACGGATTAAAATTGAATGAAAGATGTTGACTACGGTCAACATAACGCTACTGGGAAGTGCAAAAAGTCTAGCGTCTATCTAACCTAATGTAATTCTGAATCCGTTCGTCGTCGTCTTCTAGCGGTCTATCGCCGCTCATGACCATTCTTTTTATCCACTCGCAGGTGTGTGTGACGCATCGGTTCTGTCCTGTGCCTGAGTCGTCGGTGTTGTACCAAACTCCTAGTAGTGTCGCCTGGGCTTCTGCAAAGGCCACGAGTCGTTGTTGATAGCCGAGTAGAACATCCCTTCGTCGCTTTGAAGCCGCGTCTGGCACCGGATCGCAGTCGTAGATAAGCAGGTGCTTGCCTCTGCCTTTGCTGCCCGTAATGACTGCAACTCCCCAGCAGTGCCACACCTGGTCCCACCAGTTGGCAGCCACCGTGCTTTCCACTATCGTCGTGAACAGTCCGAGCCATGTTCGTTTACCATGCTTCTTTCCTTTCCAGAACTCGGCAAATGTACTCATCTCGTTTGCGTCAAGTAGGTAGGGGGTCCAGTTTACGCGGTCTGTTCCGGTGTGAAATGCGACTGGTCTTCCATAGACGAATGGACCACCTGGGTAGCCTTCGAATTGTTCTAGAAATGCGTAGAATTCTGGGGCAGGGGCTTTCGGATCGGTGGGTCCTGAAATGAGGCAGAGGGACGTGTCTTCGTCGTGAGTCGTTTGTGGGCTTTGCGACCGGTCTTCTTGTGGTAGAACACTATTCTTTGAGCCTTCGTATGGCATTTTAAAGGATAGAAAACTAATCAAAGTCCCAGAGTAACGAAGTGGGTGAAGATTGGTATGTTTTTCATGCGGTTAGTAGTGCGCCGCGCATTCGCTTAAGGACCCCGCGTCACGCTTATTTTCGCGCAGGGGCCAGCGTCACGTTTTTCGCGCAAGGGCCAGCGTCACGCTTTTCCAGGTAGGCTTCCAGTGCGCCGCGCACTGCGCAAAGGGCCAGCGTCACGCTTTTCGCGCAAGGGCCAGCGTCACGCTTTTCCAGGTAGGCTTTCGGTGCGCCGCGCACTGCGCAAGGGCCAGCGTCACGCTTTTCCAGGTAGGCTTTCGGTGCGCCGCGCACTGCGCAAAGGGCCAGCGTCACGCTTTTCCAGGTAGGCTTCCAGTGCGCCGCGCACTGCGCAAAGGGCCAGCGTCACGCTTTTCGCGCAAGGGCCAGCGTCACGCTTTTCCAGGTAGGCTTTCGGTGCGCCGCGCACTGCGCAAAGGGCCAGCGTCACGCTTTTCCAGGTAGGCTTCTAGTGCGCCGCGCACTGCGCAAGGGCCAGCGTCACGCTTTTCCAGGTAGGCTTCCGGTGCGCCGCTTTTCGCGCAAGGGCCAGCGTCACGCTTTTCCAGGTAGGCTTCCGGTGCGCCGCTTTTCGCGCAAGGGCTAGCGTCACGCTTTTCAAGGTAGGCTTTCGGTGCGCTGCGCATTGCGCAAAGGGCGAGCGTCACGCTTTTCTAGGTAGACTTCCGGTGCGCCGCGCACTGCGTAAAGGGCCAGCGTCACGCTTTACCAAATACGCTTTAGGCTTTAGTACGCTACGCACTTACGCTTACTTCTACTAAGCTTTACGCAAGAGTTGCGCTTAATATTAACTATAGTCAACATTCTAGTAGAGTATTATAAAGAATCGATAAACGAAATATTCGAAAATTTTGGTGTTCGAAAATTTTGGTGTTCGAAAATTTTAGTGTTCTAAAATTTTCGCTAAGTCCTACGGTTTCGGCCCCCACGCCCCTCTAAATCTAAACAACTTAGACTTATAATAAGATACGAGTTTCTTACCTAAATCCCGGCTTCTTCTACTAAAAATATAAGTAAAGAATCTAAGCGCGCTCTATACTCGACTTATACTACGATATAAACCGCTCTTAAAGTAAGGCTAAAGTAAGACTAGATAAGACTAAGGCTAGAATAGTATAGCTTAAAAAAAAGATTAATCTTAGTTAATAACGCCTATAATCGACGTAAAGCTATTACTAATAAATCTCTATAAATAATAAAAGAATCGGAGGCCTCGTACGATTAGACGAAGAGGCCTAATACCCTTTAGCTTTTAATAGTAATATTAGCGTCTAGTAAGAAGTTTCTAAAAGGCTCTAAGCGTATTTTCGTATTACGAGATACGTTAAAGAACTAGCTAGCGATATAGTCTACTTATAAGCGAAGACGTACTAGCGAGTTAGCTACTTCTAATTCCTCTTATCCTACGCCGGGCTCTTCTAAGTCGCTATATCTATTATTATTATTATTATTATTATTATCGTCTATATTAGGTCTACTTAAGCCGTTACGCTTATCGCCTACGCCGGGTTCCTTAAAACCTCTTCGTCGATTACCGAGATTAGATTCTTCTAAATAGCGATAAATATCTCTAACGTCTAACGATACGTCTAGCGTATCTAGCGTTTAGCGTAATTCTAATAAGACCTTTATAATAGTACTAATAAGTAACTAGGGTATACTAAGTAGTAGTAAGATATATTAGTTTATCGGCTCTAATATTAATCCGAAACTCTTTCGTTAGAATACTTCTTACTTCTCTAGAAATATAGATAGTCCTTCGGACTAATAAGGGTGCGAAATTCTCTTTATTTTCTTCTTTATTTTCGGGCGGGAAATAATTATCTTAGGGGTTAGCTATTTATAAAGTTATATCTACGATATTAACTACGGTTAATATCTACTACGCTATTAGACTTCTTTAAAAAGTAATATAATTTATATAACGGATTAAACGGATTAAAATTAAATAAAAGATATTAACTACGGTTAATATAACGCTACTAGAAAGTATAAAAAGTCTAGCGTCTATCTAATCTAATATAATTCTAAATTCGTTCGTTATCGTCTTCTAGCGGTCTATCGCCGCTTATAACTATTCTTTTTATCTACTTATAGGTGTGTATAACGTATTAGTTCTATCCTATATCTAAGTCGTCGGTATTATACTAAACTTCTAGTAGTATCGCCTAGGCTTCTATAAAGGCTATAAGTCGTTATTAATAGTTAAGTAGAATATTTCTTTATCGCTTTAAAGCCGCGTCTAGCACTAAATCGTAGTTATAGATAAGTAGGTACTTACCTCTATCTTTACTATCCGTAATAACTATAACTCTCTAGTAGTACTATATCTAGTTCTACTAGTTAGTAGCTACCGTACTTTCTACTATCGTCGTAAATAGTTCGAGCTATATTCGTTTACTATACTTCTTTTCTTTCTAGAACTCGATAAATATACTTATCTCGTTTACGTTAAGTAGGTAGGGGGTCTAGTTTACGCGGTCTATTTCGATATAAAATACGACTAGTCTTCTATAGACGAATAGACTATCTAGATAGCCTTCGAATTATTCTAGAAATACGTAGAATTTTAGGGTAGAGGCTTTCGAATTAGTAGGTTCTAAAATAAGATAGAGGGACGTATCTTCGTCGTAAGTCGTTTATAGGCTTTACGACCGGTCTTCTTATAGTAGAATACTATTTTTTAAGCCTTCGTATAGTATTTTAAAGAATAGAAAACTAATTAAAGTCCTAGAGTAACGAAGTAGGTAAAGATTAATATATTTTTTATACGGTTAGTAGTACGCCGCGTATTTACTTAAAAACCCCGCGTTACGCTTATTTTCGCGTAGGGGCTAGCGTTACGTTTTTCGCGTAAGGGCTAGTATTACGCTTTTCTAAGTAGGCTTTTAGTACGCCGCGTACTACGTAAAGAGCTAGCGTTACGCTTTTCGCGTAAGAGCTAGCGTTACGCTTTTCTAAATAGGCTTCTAATACGCCGCGTACTACGTAAGAACTAGCGTTACGCTTTTCTAGATAGGCTTTCGATACGCCGCGTACTACGTAAAGGGCTAGCGTTACGCTTTTTTAGATAGACTTCTAGTGCGCCGCGTACTACGTAAGGGCTAGCGTTACGCTTTTCTAGATAGGCTTTTAATACGCCGCGTACTACGTAAAGAACTAGCGTTACGCTTTTCTAAATAGGCTTCTAGTACGCCGCGTACTACGTAAAGGGCTAGCGTTACGCTTTTTTAGATAGGCTTTTAGTGCGCCGCGTACTACGTAAAGGGCTAGCGTTACGCTTTTCTAGATAGGCTTCTAGTACGCCGCGTACTACGTAAAGGGCTAGCGTTACGCTTTTCGCGTAAGGGCTAGCGTTACGCTTTTCTAGATAGGCTTTCGGTACGCCGCGTACTACGTAAAGAGCTAGCGTTACGCTTTTCTAAATAGGCTTCTAGTACGCCGCGTACTACGTAAGGGCTAGCGTTACGCTTTTCTAGATAGGCTTCTAGTGCGCCGCTTTTCGCGTAAGGGCTAGCGTTACGCTTTTTAAGATAGGCTTTCGGTACGCTACGTATTACGTAAAGGGCTAGCGTTACGCTTTTTAAAATAGGCTTTTAGTACGCTACGTATTACGTAAAGGGCGAGCGTTACGCTTTTCTAGATAGGCTTTTAATACGCCGCGTACTACGTAAAGGGCTAGCGTTACGCTTTACTAGATACGCTTTAGACTTTAGTACGCTACGTACTTACGCTTACTTCTACTAAGCTTTACGTAAGAGTTACGCTTAATATTAACTATAATTAATATTCTAGTAGAGTATTATAAAGAATCGATAAACGAAATATTCGAAAATTTTAGTATTCGAAAATTTTAGTATTCGAAAATTTTAGTATTCTAAAATTTTCGCTAAGTCCTACGGTTTCGGCCCCTACGCCCCTCTAAATCTAAACAACTTAGACTTATAATAAGTATAAATATATACTAGGCGAAAACCTATATAAAAAGCGAATAAGTCGAACCTCTAGCTCGTAACGATAGTAATAGGCGCGGGTAATACTATTTAAAAGTAAAAAAGAAGAAAGATTAGAAGAAGCGAGTTCTATTAATCGATAGATATTAGAGGGGGGGTAAGAGAATAGGTAGATTTAAGAGAGATAGTAAGAGAGAGAGCCGACGCGGCGAAAGAGTACTAGAATATAGATTTTATCGAAAAAGTAGAGAGAGGTAGTAGTATAAGAAGGTAGATTTTATTTATTAATAAGATAACGGCTTTAGGGAGCTTCTATTCTATTATCTTTCTAGTAATACGCCGGCGGCTAGTAGTAGAAAAGGCGCGGCTTAGCCTAGTAGTCGTATAATATAAGCGTAGTATAGTAAGATATAGATAATAATATACTAATAACTTTAGAGTCTATTCCTTAGGCGAATAGGGCGGGCTACGGTCGATCGAAGTAGAGTAGAATATAAGATTAATAGTTTTAAATAGTAATAGAAACCGACTAGATATAATACTATATTTAGATAATAGAAGAACTATTATTCCGATTATACGTAGATCGACGCCGGCCGGTCTAAATCGCCGACGTATTAATTAATAAAACTTATACCGGAAAGCTATATATATAATAGAATAGAGAAGAGAGTAGAGTAGTAATAGACGCGTCCTCTACGCTAGAGCTAGAGATAAGAAGAGTTCTCTTATATCTAGATTTTATCGTCTTCTAATAAAAGAATTTTTTAGTATCGTTCTTTTTAGATCTTATTATTTCTTTAGAAGGGCGGGCCGGGGCCGGCGGTAGAGCCGAGAGTAGAGATAGAATCTATTAATTAATAATATCTATACGTATTAACCCGTAATCTTAAGCCCGTTTCGGTAAGCGTATACGCGTCTACGGTAATATATAACTAAGAGAAATTTAGTGCGCCCTTAATAGTAAGTAGTATTTAGGAATAGAAAAAATATAGGTATCTAAAAAACGGTTGACCCGTACGGTCGACCCTAAGTTTGGCGGGGATTAGGGATCTAAATACCTATTCTATAGTGTTAGGAACTATTACTTACTTGCTTCTCAACTTAAGTGTAGTTATTAGCGCTGTTAGTAATAACGTAAAGCCACTTTAAGACGGTACGTATACGTGTGGACCCAGCCAAACTACGTTCTTAAAGCGCCAACATTTTGCAGACTTAACGCAGAAGCGGACAAAGGAGATCCTTGACTGGCTCAGCCAAGACCGTCATACGTCCATGCAGGCCGACCTGCTACAGAAGCGGTGCAAAGGAACGGGCGAATGGATACTATCCCATCCTACTTTCTGCTCCTGGATTGAAGGTGGTAGCTCAACAATCTTTTGCTCCGGTATTCCAGGTGGCGGTAAAACGATGACTGCGTCGATTGTAATCGACCACCTGATCTCACTATGTGCAAGCGACCATTCCTCGGTAGTGTACGTATATTGCAGATACGACATGAGAAAAGAGCAGACCGCCGATCGACTGCTTGCCGCACTGCTGAGGCAGCTTGCTGAAGGGAGAGATCATCTCCATGACGCCATCACAACTCTGGACGAGGAATGTAAAAGGCGGAAAAGGCCAAATACTGAACAACTAAGGAAGGCCCATTTCTCCTTGGTCAAGAGCCACGGCAATATTTTCATTGTTGTAGACGGTCTCGACGAGTGCTCAGACTGGGCCCACGACATACGTCCAAGGTTTCTTGGAACGCTGCGGGACCTTCAGAAAATTGCCACCGTAAAGCTTTTTACCACGTCAAGAGATATTCCAATCATCCAGGAGGACTTTGACAATCATGCAAGGCTCGAAATTTCCGCGCGAAAGGACGACGTCTTTAAATACCTGCAAGGTCGACAAGATCTCACCCGGGTAATGCTAATGAACGAGGCCCTGCAGCTTCAGATCTCTCAGGATATCTCCGAAGCAGCTGACGGAATGTGAGTTAGCCTTGGCCGTGGAAGTAGGCGTAACATCTGACTGGTGAGGTGATAGGTTTCTTCTTGCTCAACTCTACTTTGACGCGCTCAAGTCCAAGAAGACTGTGGCGGACGTCAAGAATGCCTTACGGGGGTTCATTCAGGGGCCCAGAGACCTCAGAGCACTTAATGCTGCATACCAGGCGGCCATCCAACGAATCGATAGCCAGGAAGAGGAGGACGACCGTGAATGGGCACATGAAGTCTTGCGTTGGGTGGCAAATGCGGGAAGAGCTCTGAGCCTGAACGAGCTCAACACAGCCCTCGCAATCAGACCCGGTGACTGTCGGCTCAACGAGGAGAACCTCACGCCAGATTGCTGCGCTGAGGTCATCTCACTTTGCGCTGGACTGGTCTCGATCAACAGCGGCAGCAACACCGTCCAGCTGGTTCATCTTACAGCAAAAGAATATCTCGACATCGACTCCCCGGGCTGGATGGCTTGCGCTCCAATGAAGATGTCCCTCGCTTGCCTGACCTATCTTACATTTGACGACTTCGCATGTGCAAGGCCAAATTCGGATCAAGCGTTCGAGGAACGGATAGACCACCATGAATTTCTCCAGTACGCTTCCAGTTATTGGGGACACCATGCACGGCACAGTCAGCCTGCACTGCTGCAAGATTGCAATGCAGCGCTTTGGAAGTTCCTACAAAGCCGATATTTCACGGCTACAGCCAGCCAAGCAGGGAATGCCGTGGGCTACTGGAATGGATACAGCCAGGAGCCCGCACATTGGCTCTGGTCTCACACGCTGGCATTCTTCGGACTGGGGGAAATTCTGAATTGCATTCTGACCACGCACATGGGGCCCCACTTCAGAGATGTTGACGTTGACTTTGAGGACGAAAGCTGCATCATGACCCCTCTCGCCTTGGCCTGTAGTCAGGGCCATGTTATCGTCGTCGATGCCCTTCTTGATCTTGGGCTTGAAAACGTACGTCTTGACTCTGGACTACCCTTCGGTTACCCGACACCTCTCGGACACGCGGTCAATAACGGACACAGAGCCGTGGTGGAGCGGTTCATTGCCCTTGGGCCTAGCGTGGTGGATTTCAACACCAGCACTCATTGCCGCCGGCGACCCCTACTCACCGTAGCCGCGAAGAATGGGTTTCATGACTTGGTAGACTCAATGGTTTGCCTGGGTCCAGGAGGGATCGACGTGGACACGACGAGAGATATCAACAGACGCTCACCTCTGTCATACGCTGCACAGAATGGGCACCTCAGGACTGCCGAATACTTGATCAACCTCGGTCCAAGCATGGTGAAACCCGATCGAAAGGACAAATTCGGGGACACACCACTCACATTGGCAGCAGCAGGTGGGCGCGCTGACGTAGTGAAATTGCTGATGAATCTGGGACCGGAACAAGTCAATTCCAACCGCACGAACCGCTCCGGCCGAACAGCGCTGCAAGAAGCCGTGATCAAAGACCGCTTAAGTGTAGTCACCACCCTTCTGGCATTCCCACAGGATAGAGTCGACGTCAACATCTCCACAGAGACATTCACCCAGACAGCTCTGGGATGCGCAGCAGAAAAAGGCTTCGAAGCCATCGTCGGAGCTTTTATAAGCCTTGGTGAGGGCAGAGTTGACTTCAATGCGAGGGGCTGGCGCGGCATGACGCCGCTCTTGTGGGCGGCAAGAGAAGGGCATGTAGGCATCGTCAAGCTGCTTACAGACCTGAAGCCGGAACTTGTAAATGCAAACTTGGTTGATGTTAATGGCTACACTGCCGCGATATGGGCCGTGGTAAACGAGCACTACCAGACGGCAAAATTACTAGTCGGGCTTGGCGAAGAGCGTGTGGATACTAGCATTTCTGATACCCGGGACTTTAAAGTGTCTGACTATGCATCCCGCCGGCGGAGAGAGTTTACGGATTTATTCTCGTAGGTCTTAACGAGGGACAAAGTCGGTGACCGCTTTACGGTTACTAGCTATAGTTATTATAAACCGTGGTCATCGTAAGCCATAGAGTCAGAAGCGGTATCTTTAGTATGGTTCACAGAAACCACCCATCCATAAGCCCCCCGCCGCTTCCCACAATACCGCCACTCCCATCCTGCTGCCCAACAACCGTAATCCCAGGAAAGAACGCTCCAAACAGCGCCTCCTCTACGGCCACAAAATCGTCGTCACGTAGCCCCGTCGCATCAAACCCGACCTCCCAGTCTCCCGCCCCAGCATCGCCATCATCGAGACCTCCCTGGTTTCCCCCCTGCCGCATCATTGGCTCCGACGCCTGCACCTCATCCCCACCACCCCCCCTCGACGCATCATACCCCTGGCCCTCCGTAACATCACGCGTGCCGCCGCCCTGCGGCGACGACGCTCGCCGCTCGCACCACAGTTTCCCCAGCACGCGACTATAGCCGCGAGCAATGTGTGCATCGATGCCTGCTGCCGCATGCTGCATGACGCTGACGAAGCGCGTGGCCAAATCGGCGACCTCGTCGCGCAGGGAGGCGTGCTGGAAGGCGCCCAAGCAGTGGGCTTTGTGGAGGATGACGGCGGCGTACACGCCGTACCTGGGCGAATGTATTGACGGGATGTCGTGACGTGTGTGTTGCTGCCAGGAGGGGAGGGGGACTTACAAGTAGTAGCGGGATGGCAGGAAGCGTATGATGGCGTGCGGGTCGAGGCCGGTAAACAGGCGCAGCAGGCCGATAGCGGAGCCGATGGCGTCGGAGATGTAGCGGCCGTCGGGCGACGCAGCGATGCCGCGGGAGAAGAGGGTTGCCAGCGGGCGGTGGTCGGGGTGCGGTGCGTCGCGGCGCGGAGCGGACGAGGAGCGCGTGAGCACAGCTTGGAAGGAGAAGGCGGTGATGTAGAGACGGATGTATTCGTACGTCAGGAGTATCGTGCTCTTGACCTTGTGGGATGCGTGCATGGTGGCCCATGTCGAGTGCCAGGTGTCGGTTGCGCGGAGGAGGTCGTCGAGGTAGCGCGCATAGTCGCCGTCGTGGATCATTGCGAGGGTGCGGCTTGGGGAGGAGTAGAGCGTGGCGTGGGCGTTGTGCAGGATCTGGGTCAGGTCGATGGTGGCGTGGAGGGCGGATGCGTAGTCTTCTTCGTCGTCCCTGCCGCTGCGGCCGCCGGGTCTGAGGCTGGGGAAGTCTTTGGCGGTGAACTGCGAGGATAGTGAAGGCCCGCGAGACCAGAATGATTGGCCCAAGCGGGCGGATATTTGCCGATCTGCAAGAAAGACGACTGCGTTGGGTATCGTCAGCTTTGTTCCGAGCTACTTTCGAAAACCTACATATCCAGATGAGCCGCTTCTGCTCCTCTTGCTCGTTGGATCCACCGTCACCAGAGCCTCGGAACGCCGCTCTGTCGAGGCGTAGGGAGTACCCTTGTCGCACGGCCAGGCCGATGAGAGACCAGGCGGTCATGTCCTCGCTGAAGAGATTCTTTGGTGCTTCTGAAGTCGTCTGTTTGATCTGGGTGTGAGGCAGCCATTCGGACAAGAGTAACAGGCCCTCAACGGTCCGTGGAGTCTGGGCCCAAGGATATGCGAGAAGTATTTCGAGTAAAAGGCGTTGAGTATGATCCCAGCAGTACCGGTGTGCAAGCGAGTGACTTGGAGAATCCCTCGATGCAATGGTGAGCATAACGGTAAGCAGAAAGTAATCGGATCTCTGTGTCATATGCATAGCCGACTCTCCGAGCAAGTAAGAAGGAACAATGGGACAGAAAGGGTGGTAGTCATGGGCATATCTACTTCACCGTTAGCAAAGGTTGCTTGCCCCTGCGCTTGCACAACTGACATGTGAAGGAGCTCAGGTAAAACGCTGGGGTGCAGAAGTCCTCTCTGAACCAATTCGTAATCGTCAAGAACCGTTGTCGATGAGTCTCGCTCATCCGGATGCTGCGTCCTGTTCGCAGGAGTCATGCTACCAACCGGAAGCGATGACGAAGTCTCGCCGGAGAGTGCCAGAATGTGAAGCGCATCAGATGGGTTTGTGAGCTTCATGTGTAGACTTTCGTCAATCATTTGCTCCCCGTGTTCGCCGTCGGCTCCCTCTGAGAGGTCTTCTGACGGAGCACCGTCGTCAATCCCTCTGGTTGATGACGTAGAAATCGCCCCAGGGGCTTCATTCGTAGGAGCTACTGCAGATGCTACCGTCTCTTTCCTTCGTCGATTTGACCGGAAGTTGCCCCCTCTTTTGGACTTGACGAGCACACATTCACTTCCAGCGACATTGCAAGACACACAGGGTGGCCTTTTGGGCTCACCAACACTATCCCTGCAAAGTTGTTGTTAGCCATACGATCCACTGTGTAGTATCCAAAGCGGGTAGGGTCCCTACAGATTGCATCTAGTTTTACGTCGTCGGCATCTCAAGCAAGCCCGAGAAGATCTCTTGCCGGTCCCGGTCGTCATTCTCAGTCATCGGTAAAAGGTTGGAGTGGAGAGAGCGAAGATAATCCTCACTTATCGGCTCGGCAATAGTCGGCAATAGCCGGCAATAGATATCCATAGCCGATCGAATACTACCGCAAAAAGTCACAACGCCAGCTACCCCGCATTTGAAAGAGATGCCAGCTGCTCTCAAAGGTGAAAGGAATTTCATTTGCTACACTTTTCTGTGAGTGCACTCGCTCAAGTCCTTCCGCAACAAGGTAATAAAGGGATCAAGATGCTCAAGGAAGGCCCTGGCGCACTTCCGTCTGCTCATTCAGCCCCCATGCTTGGCTGCTGTCATCGTGGACAGTAGCACGTCTCATATCCCTTCTGTACTTGTATGCGAAATCGCCCCCAACGGCCCTGTGCATCGTGCAAGTGTTGTCCCAGACAACAAGATCTCCAACATTGTGCCACTCGACCATGGCACGGTACTTTTCATTGGTGGCGTGGGTGATGAGACGATCAAAGAGAGCCCTTGATTGCTCGGGCTCCAGGCCTTCAATATGGTGGATGTGCATGGCAAGGTACAGGTTCATACGGCCGGACCTCTCATGCTTCTGCACTAGCTTGTGTCGGCCCATGGGGTAGTTCTCGGGCTCGATCTCGGCGAAGAAATCGGGCGCAGCCAACTTTCTGGAATGCAGCATGGAGTGGCAAGCGACGTAGTCCTTTTCAAGAATCTCCGTCTTGATCTGCTGATCAAGGTCGTCCCACGCGGCTCTGGTGTCGCAGAACTCGGTGCTGCCGCCGGTACCGGCGCGAGGCAGTTCATGAGCCAGGAGGAGAGAGTAGCCGGCCCGACGCGGATTGAAGCTGGAGTCGACGTGGAAGAGACTGTTGCCCTTGTTGGCTTGGGCTCGGGGGCTGTCGCGGTCGATGATAGTGCCGTCCGTGTCGATGTTGCTGACGTCGAACAGCTCATCATACTTGAGACGGTTCTTCCTGCCTGCCTTCTTGTAAGGCCTGACGTCATCCAGCTCTCCGAACTTGCGAGCCAGTTGGATGTGTGACTCGTCATTCAGGTTGGTCTTGCGGATGACGACAACACCGTACTACGGGAATATCGATCAGCGATTGAGGAAATTCCGCCGCAGAGGCGGTATATATGTACCTTCTTCACCAACTCCTGGATCAAGCAATACCCGTCTTCGGTAGCACCATCATCAAAGTTGAGACCATGGACCTCGGCACCAAAACCGGGAGTGAGTTCCCTGATTTTGGGGATTGTGTTTGCCAGAAAGATGGTTTCCGTGGTATCGACTGGCATTGTGAAGAGTGGTCAAACTGTGCAGCTGGAATGGAGTTTGAACTGCTCAAGTCAAATTAGGATGAAAAGAGAACAGATTGAATTGTAGCAGTCTTTGCTTTCCGGCACAGAGACAACCGAGACTCTTAAATAGCCGTGCGACTATTGCTGGTCCACGGCTATTGTCTGTGCTAATACCGATCATTGCTATAGCCGAAGGTTACGGCAATAGAGCGTTGCACGGGCGGACCGTGTCCAACCGGGAAATCATTCTCTCTTTTCTTTTCTTTTCTGGGTTATTTTCCACCTGAGGTGGCTTCCGGCTACTTGAACCCGTAACTTCATGTACTGGAATCTCGTGGGCTCAGGGCGAGCCAGGTTCTCAACGGCCGGGACCCTCACTCCAAATAAGTGCTCAGCGGCGTGATATACATCTTTGATAGCATCTTCATGCATAGAACCTCTTTCCATCTGCTTAAAGGCCTTTGGGTCCATTTTTGGTAGCGTAAGGAATTCATGTGTCTGCCCGCAAACACGTCTGTCTAGCTTCCCATTCTGCAGCTGGTCGTAGCAAGATCGCTCGAACTGTACATCGATACAGTCTTTGCAGGAGAGCAAATCCATGCTCTGCAAGTCGAGGCGACCGCACCCACCGTCACACCACAAGTGGCCTGTCGTGCCCGGGCTGGCTAGCTTCCATGCCGCAAGCGCGAACCCATCTTCGTCGATCGCTGCGGCTGCCTGTGTGAGAAAGACCAGACCTTCCCAGTCGTTATCGGTCGTTTCATCGGAGAGAAGTTCCAGTGCAGTCTTGACAAAGCCTTGCATGCATTCTTTTGCCAGTCTTCTTTTCCCGACCAGATGGTAGGCGCGAGCCAGCAACAGCACCACTGGATGATCACTGTCTCCGATGGGTCCAAGTTCTTGGGTGACCCAATGCCTGACTTTCTCGAGCCTTTCGGGTAGACCAACCGCTTGATCTTTGCCGGACTTTTCTTGCGCAATTTGCAAATACTCGGTCAGCAAGCCTTGAAGAGTCTGGACACGTGTATTGTAGATCTCGCCATTGCCGACTTGGTCGAGGGTTAACACAGAGCTGTCGAAAAGGCTCTTCTCCCAGATGATGCATGCTTCATCAGCACCATCCTGATATGCCAGGGCGACACCGTAATAGTGGCGCAGAAAAACTTGCAGGCGAGCGTCGGACCCGGCAGCGTGAATAGAGTCAAGGTAAGCTTTTACCAATAGCCCTTTTTCAAGCTTGAGGATCCTAGCAATGGTGTCATGGAACGCCTTCGACGAGGCGTAATGGTGAAATAGAGTTGTCAGAGGGCTTGGTCCACCCCCCACCGGTGTCCCAGAAATGTCGTGTAAGAAACCAGCGGCGTCTTCCGTCCGATCAGAGTGTATGAGGGCCCAGGCTTGGTCCATGAGCCAAGACTTGTCGGCGTTGCCTTCCAAAAGCCGATGACAAGCTCTCATTGCGTCTCGGGGGCGCCCCCAGCTATCGTTGTGTAGTTCCCAAAGCGCCTTGACCATGTTCTGCATCTCGGCTGGGTGGGTCTTCATGTACTTTTGGTTCTTGAGCCTCTCGAGAAGCTTCTCGAGGTTCTCGACGCCTTTAGCAATGTTGTTGGGGCTGGCTTGAACCAAGCACCAGTAAACTCTCCACTCGTCGTCCGGCTTGTTGGAAGTGTTGTCCAGGAGCTTGATGGCCTTATCACATGACTTCTCCGCGGCTGAAGAAAGACTATGTTCCTGGAGCGTCTCCCCAATCCGTAAATGCCATATGAAATCCTCACCATCGCTGCTTGAGACATGCAGCAAATTGCTGGCATGATGGGCCAAATCCATGATCCGGTACTCGACCGAGCTGGGTGTCTCGGCTGTCTGTTCGGGGTGCTCTTTCACAGCCTCAGCATCTACCTGAGCGGGAAGCTCCTCTTGGCTGTTGCTCGGGTTTTTCTCTTGCTCAGGCTTCACCGTGCTCTCTGCGGGAGCGGGCTCATCTGTGCCTTGGGTTATGGGTTCATGTGTCTGCGAAATCTAAAGGTATGTTAGTGAGAATTATGTAATCTCGGGACGTCGTTATGAGACTCGGCTACCTTTTCCACAAGATCTCTAAACCAAGTATGTGCAACCTTGGCGTTCCACGTATTCTTTTGCAGCCAATGTGATGCCAAAATCTTGCGAGGGACCGCCAGCAAGTCATGGGCGTCTATGCTGGCGCTGGTGTCCGATCCAGTACTACAACTGGCCCCGGCAGATACCTCCACATCTTCAAACCACCTGAGAACGTGATCGAAAGACTCGCACCATTCTTGAGAGTCGCTTGAAGGTGCCTTCTCCAACCAATTTTCCACTGCCGCCTCGTCGTGGAAAAACTGATGCAGGTTTCTCCCGATCTCTCGTCTCGTGTTGCCGTCAATCTGATCGATGTCTTGAACCATTTCAAGATGGAAGAAAAGGTACTTTGCCGTATATTCGTGAAGGGACTCGGCTTCATTTCGGTACTCTGGGTCTGAAACGGCTTTCAAGAGGCGGATGATAATCCGCACATGGCTTTCTGCAGCTTGGAAGCCAATCCTGGGACGGGGCTGAGGCAGGCGCAGCTGCTTGCGTCTAATGTGATTGAAATGTTCATCAAAACCGAACCTCTTGAATGCATCCACACCGTAGTTTGAGCGGACGAGGCCTTCCATGAGGTTGATTTCCGCCTCGCTGAGCTGATTGCTGGGTCCATCTTGCAATTTGTCGGGAACCATTGATACGCTGCGTGGGGCGTCTACGCCCTCGAATGGCTGTTCCTCATCGAACAGATAATACATCATCTCGTATGACACAATTATCTCGTCCTCTGGTATTTCGATTTCGAAGAGGCGGCTGTATGTTCCCTCGATTTGGGTCTGAAGAGGCATCTCGGGTGATTTGCCAGTGCGCAAGAGTATGAAGGTCCGCAACTGCTCGAGGCTTGGCCACACCTGCAGTGAGGCAATGCATGCCATGAAGTCGTTGAGATCTTCGATCTGCTCGTCCCCCATCTCCCCATTCAAAGCCTCTGTCTGCCACCGGATGATTGTTTTGCGGTCGTCCCAATCGCTTTCAAGAATCTCCTTGTAGTCTCTGTTCCTCTGCAGTCGAGACATCCTCTCCAAGACGGCCCTGACAATAGAGGGCTCGGCTGTATAGCTCTTGCAAAGTTTAATCTCCAGGTTGTGAAGCAGCTGCTGTCGCTCAGGGACCATGCCCCGGGTTTCAGAGAGCTCCTTGATCTTGGATTTGACCATCTCCTGCACGTCTTGTGCGTTTTCAAGACTCTTGAGCAAGAAAAACTGGACAGCGTCGCCTTTGTCGGTCTCTCTGAACCTTTTGAGACTTTTGCTGTTGCAGGTAAGGAAGAGCCTGACTTGTACTTGTTTATCCCGCAGTCCAGCTACCTTGTCCATGATAACCCTCAGCGTATCCTCTGCCTCATGCCTTGTTTTATCGCCAGACTGGTCGATCCCGTCGATAACGATGAAGAACACCTTGCGAGTTTTGGATGCCTTTGGCTCGGCATAACTCGTAACCAGGCTGTCCCATCTCTCCGAAGCGGTGGAAAATGCCGGGCTGGTGTCACATTGACCGTGTACAAAGCTTTGGTATGATGTGTCGCTTTCGGCAAGCTGCCAAAGGATTGCGTTCAGGGCATCGTCCATTGTCGGCTCCTTCTTCCTGGTCCTGTCCTTCTCTTCGGCTTTGGGTGCTCTCGTGGCGTCTGCCTTGCCAAAATAGAAGTAAGCAATTGATGCTCGGGGCATCGAATTGATGCGCTCTTGCTTCTTTTTGAAGTTTTGGTGCAGGTACTGGATGACTTCTGAGCAAAGGAGACTCTTTCCACTGCCGCTGCGGCCGTGCAACACAAAGACGGGTTTGAACGAGTTGCTGCCCATTCCAACGTCAATCCAAGCGCGGAAAGCATCGTCTTTGAAGAACCAGGCGCCATGTCCATGCAGAAACCCCTTTCGAAGCTTCTCGTGAGCGGTACACCAGGAGTTCCAGGCTGGGCTCTCTTCGTTAAAGGGTAGCTTCCCTTTGATCACACTGCGGTGTCTTGCTTGGATCTTGTCGTTCCGATCTGCCTGCAGAAAGTTGCCGGTGATGGTTGTAACGGTCCGTGTTTGGACTGAATTGTTCTGCCACTCCTCGGCTTCCAGCTTCTTGATCTCGTCGAACTCTTTTGTGATGCCCCCATCGTAATGCACCGCTGCTTTCAAGTAGTGGACGACTCTCCCCCCTATTGTCTCATGCTCTTTTTTGACCTTGGCGTAGATGGCACAGATGGTGACAAAGTGTGATAACAGCTGAACGATGGTGTTTTCGAGGGCATTGTCAATCTGTGCGCCGCGACGAGCGCCGTCGAGGTAAACCGTGACTCTCTTGAGGATTGCAGCGAGGCTGTTCAACGTTTCGAAAAGGACTTCTGTCCGGTAGTACTTTCGATACGTCTCGGCTGTGTCGATAATCGGGCGCAGCACTTGGTAACACAGCGTTGCCGACGGGAACACCTGATGCGAGGCTCAGTGACCTGATGCTCATATGAACACGAATGCAAGAACGACTTACCATGGATGCCGCCTCGGCTGCTACAGATCCTAGGCTCACCAGCGTCTCCATCGTGTTTTTGAAGATCTCGGTCCTCTGCCCTTCCAGCCGACCCGAGTCGATTTTCTTCATGTCGGCCGTCATTTCCGCCACAGTCATCTTGTTGTCCAGCTTAATATCTTCTCCTGTCACTTTGTTGTACTTCTCGATCGCGATTCCCAGAGCGCGCTTGACGTTAGCAGCTCCTGCATCTTCGTCCATGGCTGCAACTCCTCATGCAATGCTTTATCTGAGCGTGGTAGCAGAAGGAAACCTCTTGGTGCGGTAGGATATGCCGCCATGTAACGCGATATATATATATGAAGTCTTGTTTTCCTTTTTTTCAGCCGCGTAGCTGACTCGTTCAAAAGGGGTCGGCGTTGCGTGTGGCTTTTTGAGCCTCAGCATTGGGGGCCAGAGAGAGCACTCAATTATCCGAGCGAAGATCCATGCCTCTCAACTACACCTTTCAGCTAGCGCTAATGTGCTTTTTTTCTATTGATCGCCACCACTTTGCCTATTAAGTGAAGCCCAATTCCCCGCTCACTCACAGGTGGCGGGAAAAACACCAGCTCAGCTTCAGGCAGCGATACATAGTTTGTTCGCTTAGAAGCAATTAGCCTTTGAAAATATAAAGCATAATATCTCGCCGTATAGCCGATCTATCAAAGGCTGGCTACACGCCATAGTATTCTTCTAAAAATAACTAGACAGCCTATTATTCCGACACTAATCTATACAGTTAGTAGTGACCAGGAACATGTAAATAGCCCGAATGCCTTACCTACATGCTGCTATCTATCCAAAAGGCTACTGTAGCATTTTGGACGTGGTGTAATTTGTCTGAACCCTGGCAGCGATGCCGTGTTTGGTCGGACGTGCGGCTGAGCTCTTGGCCTCCGCTTCAGCCCCACAGGCAGCAACGCCAACGCATCAAACAACCAAATCAAATCGGAACGCATAAACGAGGCTGGCTCCCAGCTAGGCTCGGCATCTAATGCACCGAATATGGCGGCGTCAATGGACGCGCATGTGGCCGACCCTGCTTTCCAGCTCGAAGCGTCCTATAACTATTGTGGATAGTACCGTTTGATGGTGGCTGGTCAATGTGTACGGGAAGATATTTTGCGAAGTTTCAGATGCCGGTTATGCTTGCACTGCTCATTCGACGCTTTGACGTGGAGATCTTGGCGGGAAAGGTGGCGCTGAGGAATGATAAGCGCAAGCATGGGGTTAGGTTGCAGAGGCCCATCGGAAAGGTACCGTGTCAGGTTTGGAGGCGCGCCGGGCATCAGGGGGAGACTAAGGCAGGCTACGAAGTGATCGCAATTAAAATTCATCGCCGCCTTGGAAATTAGAGCTGCAGGTAGCCCTGTACAGCCGTTAGGGATGTGAGCACTTCAGCTTGTAGTGGAGGTCAATCGACCAGTGGCTTTCACAACGCGGCGGGAAGATTGCGGTAACTCGACTGCTTCCCACGGGCATGGTACTTGGGCTCGTATGCGAGGTCGCAGCCGATAACAGCACGAATTCGACCACGTATTCCTTAGCGAGGCGCCACAAATCTTTGCCCTTTTACGAGTAGGATACTTCGAGGAAGATGGTAGCAAATGGTGAAGCACGACCAGGGTGTTTGTAGAACCAGTGCTCGTCCGGGGAGTGATGACTGGAAGCGACGCCAGTATTGTGTCCGGCGAGAGTGCGGTGGGGACGACTGCGACATGCCGACCACGGTCGGCGTTGTGGAAGGAAGAAGGACAGTCTAGGCGGAGGTACGGCAGTAGATGCGGAGGTGTTGCGGTGGTTGAAGAGTGACGGTGATCTTGCTGAACCAAGCGTTGAATCTCCGCCCCCACGGTAGTGCCTCAGAAGCTCATGCGTATCTGGAATACTACGGGCCCCATCCTGTTAACCGAGGGGCTGTGCTGTCTCTTGGCGGACATCATTTAGCGAAGGACTTAGCAATCTGAGAATACTACGATCCGTTTTCTTGCTCTACAACAGATATCACGCCCCAAGCCTTTCACCGTCTCACCGACAAAACCCCTTAACACCTTTCTGAACACCTTTACCACCTCACCGCACGCCGCTGTCACACACCGGTACGTATGCAGACTCGATCGCGCTACTCCACCACACGAGAGCCAAGCTGATCTTACGCGCGTGTGCAATAGGCGGACAGCACTGCCAGCCAGGCCCGTCTGGGCAGCCAACCCTCACCCGCACCACATTGATATCTCGAGGTTTCGAAGGGCTACTACACGGAGTAGACAGGACCTCGGAAGGCCTGCACGCGCATGGTGCAGTGGGTAAGGGTTCCAACTTTTACAACCTTCAAGGAGCTCATGGACGCCGTCTGGCACAACTCGGCACTGCGCCCTTGCGTGGCGGTGGGAGACGACGACTGACGGTCACTGCCTCTACGACTACGAAATTTACATAAACAAGCAGCCCCCCGAGCACAGGCATGTTTCCATCGAGTGGATCAAGGGAATCATCGAATTTCATATGAAAAAAAGGCTCTAATAGTACTAGCACTAGCCTTACTTAGTAGGCGGGCTCGGAGCCACCAATGTCTGTGAAGTGATCTAACAGCTACAGCCACACTTGTCGCAACCCTTGCCGCAAGCCCAAGACTTCTTGCAGTCACGGTAGCTGGCACACGTATGCCACGGGCCGGTGCCACCGTTACTAGCAGTCCAGCACCATTTGCCACCAGCTCCGCAGGTCTTCCAGCAATATCCGTTCGTGCAGCCATATTCGGAGCCAAACCAGCAATCCCTTGCTAGGAGGCTGGGAGCATCGACCAAAGTGTCGTTCGAGCCATCCATAGGTGCCAAAGATGACCCCTCCATAGGGCGGTTGTGGCCGAGAGGATGATTGGCACACTTGCGAATGTCGGCGACATCAACGCCCTCGGAAATGTTGTCAAGCGACATGACGCCAAGTGTGCCACATTCAGCCGCGGCGTCCGGGACGGCAGCAGAGAAGACCCGGGTGAAGACAGCCGCGGCAAAGATGATGCTGACGTGGAGATTCATACTTATAGTCGTAATAGAATTAGTCCCACGTACGATGCTAAAAGAAGGGGCTTTTGGCCTACATTGGGTGATGGACAGAATGGTCGACGTAGCGGTAGTAGATTCCTACCAGTAATGTTATTTCAAGAGGTGCTCTGGGTAGGGATTAGAGAACAAGAAGAGTCTACGGGAGGTCAGCTTTTATACTCTTCAAACGTACTATTAGCGGTTTTAGTCAATGACGGCTCGGATATCAGTTACTACTTACTTTTTACGCCATGAGTTCCTACGCCAATAACCTTACCATTTATTATTCCTAGTATAGGTAAACACTAACTTAAAGTAGATAGTGCCGCCCTAAACGTTGCATTACTATATTACTTATAAATAAGGCAAGAATCAACGTACAACCCAACGTTACCGCGAGCACTTTACCGTATATAGCTATAAGAAATCCTACATATTTTACGCGCAGTGCAATAACATTTACAGCTATAACGCCTATGTCTTAAGCGGTAGTATATCGGGCGTTTATTATAGCGACCACGTATAGCACCCCGCAAGTTTTAGCAAGACATAATCAGGCATCCCCGCCGAAGGTTTCAGCAGTTGTTCCTAGGCATGAAAGCAGTGTAAGTGAACGTGCAGCCAAGAGGATCTAGTCTTAGCCACAGCTTCAAATCCTAACAGCTAGTCCGATATTATTGTTAGTTCGGCATTGGCCCGACGAAAAATTGACGCGTCTGACCTCTGTCTCGTAGGATCATGGCACTAAAAACAGGGTTTCTGCATGGAATATCTCAGCCTCGTCCCTACCCTAATCGGTTCCGCGCGACCACCGCATCCGAACTGTCTCCCCATTCGATCCTGGACGACGTGACCGGCTTACTCAACGTCATGCTTGCGCAGGATGACCGGCTCACCGAGTGGAACGAAGAGCTTGGAGGGGACATCAAGCGCCTGCGTGGCGCGCTTGAGATACCCGAGGAGACGCAGGCCAAGATGGAGGAACGTATGAGGGAGATGAATGAAGGCATGAGGAAGATGGAAAAGCAGCTGGTGGCGCTAGTGGAGACGACGCGCAGGAATCTGAGCTTACAGTCCCAGACCAACGCCAAATATGCGAACGTGCTCCGGGGGGTCCCGCCAATACCCGCGAGTAGCAGCCCGGCATCCAGCGTCGCCGTACCGGTGCGCGCGAACTACACGGCCGTCTCTACGACTCTAATAATGCTCTCCGCGATTGAACTCGACCTCAAAGATATCAGCATCGGAATGGTAAGCTGGTGATCTTTTGATGATCGAATGAGTGTTGATTGTTGGCATGAGGGCCAGGAGGGCCTGCCCCACGGGGGTCCCTTATATACCCCGAAAGGTGATCAATCTGCTTGCACTACATATATGATAGCACGTGATCTAACCTTTTCCAACTGACCGAACAATTCGGCAGCCTCGCCAGCTTTCTTGCGCTCTCATCAGCGCTGCCGGCGCCTGATCCAACGGCCGACCGCCGAAGCCTCCGCAGCTGCCCTTGACACTCGGCAACTCGAAGGCACAGGCGTAGTCGTCTACCACGACGGGCGGGGCTGCATGCGGGCCTACGGCCTGCTCCGGCTGACGGTCCAGATGTTTGACGTCTTCAGGAACTACGGCGACGGACTATCGGTGCTATCCATGAACACGTACACGCACTGCCGGCGGTACATGTTGAACCAGATCGGAAATGCAGGCTTTGTCGCCGACATGGCCACCTGGGATGGACTGGTCCGGGAGAATAGCACGCCGGGGAAATCGACCGTCGGGATCCAGGTCGACTTCTCGGCCTTTGTGGGGGATGATGGTATGGCAGGGGAATGGGATGAGTTTGTGACAGCCGTTCTGGACTATTTCAGGGCCGGGGGAGGTACTTCGGTGCGCGATGTCCTGGTTGATGACGCTTTCGCTGTTGGCCGAAAGGTCAGGAGACAGGAGACGGGGCTCAAGCCAAGGCAAGACAATCAGGTGTGCGCTACACCATTGGATATTCGTGGATACTTTGTCGAGGAGCAGCCTGAGGTTCCGGATACTGAGGTCCGGTGCTAAAGGTTAGGCGTCCTAGGATACACACTCCAATCCGCCCTACGTTCTGGACCCAGTCTACATAGCTCCTTTCACACACCCAGACAAGACTGTCCGTGCCTTACCGCCTTCTCGTCTAGCTGCATTCTGCCGCGCATCTTCTCGTTCTTACAGTGCACCAACTACTGGTCAGTGAGGGTGGAACCCGTGGTGACTCTTGACACGCGAATGCCACAAATATGCGTTTATATGCCTAGTAGACTTGCCGTGCCACCGAGAGCCTAGAGGTCAGCCGATAGTTAAGAATGGTAATATCACCACCGTCGTCCATTTGAACAAATTGCACAAGTGCCACGTCGAGCAGAAGCGTTGGGAGAGGCGGTACCGGAGGCAGCAGTGCCAGCAAGACAGTTGCGGCGCTCGCCCTTCGTCTGGGCCCGTCCGGCGTCCAGCACTGGCAGCCAGGGATTTTTTTTCAAGGCGGCGGCAATACAGTTTTTCCGGCAAAATGCTGCCATGGAGTGCTGCAGCGATGGCATGATGTTGGCAGGGTTGGAAGGAATTTTAGGCAACGTGTGGCAATAATACGAGGGCAATTGGCCAATGACATGCGTCGTCCATCCACAAAGGATCAGGCACGGATCACCATACCTATTTTCGCACTATCCTCCTTCCTAAAGCGGCCCCGGTCCAAAAACCTCACTCCATATTGCCAATATTGCTACGGTATCGTGGTGACTTGGCACAACAGTCCAGCCGTGGCCAGAGGAGCAGTCCAGCTATTTAAGAGTGCGGGCCATCTTCCGTATCTGCTCGTCAACGATCGATTCACGCAGCCAATCCAGTGAAATCTTAAAAATCTTTTAGAAATGATGTTGGATCTTAATTCCAAGATAACGGCCTTTCTGACCTTCTCTGGGCTCGTACGAGCGAGCTGTTACCCGCCGCTATACAACTACGAGGCCGGACACATCCCTCAGCCGGACAACGCTTTGAAAAAGTGCGATGTTCTCTCCTACTACAGTCCGCAACTCTCGTGTTGCCCGCAGGATTCCACCTGTTTGGATAACGGCTTGTGCTTTACGCCCTCGAACAACTCATTGGAACTCCTGCAGTATGCTGGATGCACATACCTTTCGGGAATGGGAGAGGCCTGTCCCGGTGCTCAATACTGCACGCACAAGAGTATACAAACCGTCGACCTTCTGCGTGTCCAATGTCTGATGTGCTCTGCAGGTGTGCCGGACGAACCGTATCAAAGCGGCAGTTGGAACATCATTCCCTGCCCGTCCGGCAAATACTGCTGTTCTTTCCGTGAGGCTTCCAACGAATGTTGCGCAGACGAGGAGGAAACTTTTGAGGTCGCGTGGGGCCCCGTTCCGGATCACACGACCTCTATCTACTCGACCAGGACGTATACGAAGACTGCGACAACCACCGAAACGAAGTGCCCTGCTTCCACGACGGCGCTTGCGTACACGACGCCGGCCAGTCCTGCCACCAGTCCTACGTTGACGGCTCGTTTCTTTGCGTAAGGCTAGAATGATGGGTGAGGGGGACGATGACGATTCGGAGCAGCAAATTCAAGAGAAGGTGGGTCACGGCTATGCATTAGGGATTATTTTTTTTTTCAAGGCACTCGACGGTGTAGCGGAGAATAATTGCTTGGATAATTGCTTGCTTGGTAATATAAGCCTCTGAATTGGTGCGAAAAAGCGTGATACCAATTGTCCTACAAATTAATGGGTTTACACTGCAACCTCGTTTGCTCCTGTGCAAGGTACGAAGCATTTAGAGCCCATCGTCGGGTGAGAAATGTTCCATCCACCTCTGTTGCACCTCGAGTCAGGAACCAAGTCAAAGCTCGTCATACGTGGCTACTCACCTTGTCATGGGGCCGGGCAGAGTTTACGAATCGAAGGTCTGTTGCAAGGCGAATCCGATTCAGCGGATCCTCATTGACGGTTGAAGCGTGGATCTGTTCGCACATCAGCGAAGAGAAATATGACGCCCAGGACGCATACGAACCATATGGGGTTTGTGCAGCGTAACATCTCCAGCCTCATATGCGGATACAAACCAGCGTTTCTTGACTTCACGTCCGAACCCGAGAGGGCCGTCTGCGAGAAAACCGGACGTCATCATGTTTCGGTTGAAGGCGTCCTTTGCCTCCTCTTCTGTCAGCCCGGCCTGCTTTGCCCTCTTGGAGAACTCGTTTTCGACGTCTTCACCGACACTGTCTCCTACTCAAAGTCAGCCTTCGCCGCTAACAGCTTCAGTGTTGATCAGTGATTTACCATCTTCCAAGTAGATCAGCCCTCCGCCCTCGAGACTGATGTCGCCGATGGGAACCCAAACAGTGATGGCGGTCGGCTCTCCATGGCGCAGGAAGATCTGATCGTAGTGCACACCGATCGCCTTGTTGCCAGGAGTATTGTTCCGCAAAAGAGTCCTCCGAAGCGCAAGGGTATCGTCACCCCACCCGCTGAACTTCTTGATGAATTCCATCAAGACAGCATGGTTGCAGAGGCCTTCAGTGTACCACGGCTCCGTGTGCGCCTTGATGGCCAGGTCGGTGAAAGTTTCAGCAGTGTTGTCCGCCGGCTTACGGGGAACGGCCGCTGTGCCGATACCAAAATACATGTTCTTGTCTTTGGAGGGGTCGAAGATGCCATCGACAGGAGCGGTGCCCGGCTTGAGAACGCCGGTCGGCGACAGCAGTTTGAAGTATTCCTCGCGGCACCGGAGTACGTCATCGCGTGGGAGCAGGTTCTTCAAGAGGAGGTAGCCGTCCTTGTTATAACGTTCCCGGAGAACGTCCAAGGGTTCGTTGGGAAAGGAAGGTCGAAGAGGAAGGACCTCCGAGGGCTGGAGGGGGCCGTCGTTGACTCTAAGCCCAACGCTTGGCCAATCGACAGCTGGAGTGTGAAGCGTCGTCTGGGTGGTAGACATGCTTTGCAAGGTCTGTTCCCAAATCAGTTTTCTCTGCAGGAATACCAACGCGAGAATGCTTGCACTGATCAAAAAGGCGCTTGCGAGATTGCTCTTTGCTGAGCGATGCCTCGTGTACTTATATGCACTTTCTGACATGAGATGACGGGCACACTTGCCTCTTTGGCCTCCTTAGCGCTCTCACCGCACACTGTGAAGTCACGTCTGCACAAGCTCATCGAACGTTACCCCGCAATGCTTATCAGAGTCGGTTGTGAGTCTGGTCCCTCCAATTGCCGTTTGCTTATTGAATGTAGCTAACCGTGGTGGAGAATATTCCCTGCACGTGTGCTCCAATTGCCCGTTTCTCTGAGGAGCCTCTATGTGGCCATCAGTCGGCCCGTGGAGGCGACGAGTCGGGCAAAGTTTTCCGTCCATGGCAAGGGAGCGCCCCCGCATTTGGGGTCCGGGCGGGGCCATGACGCAGTGCAGCACTGGAGAAGGAAAATGTCTCCGCTGACTAAGCCCGGGCACATTTGCCTTTAGTACTCATGGCCCCCCTCCATCATGTCTCCCGTGCTCTCTCCAAATTTTGTGTTTCTCGAACGGGAAAATGAGAAAACGGCTGCGCCATCGACAAGCCTGGTAAGTTTCACTTTCTGGAAGAGTGCGGCCACGCACTGACGACCAAAGTGACGAATGCAATCGCCGCCATATAAAATGTAAGCACGATCGGAGCTTTGGGACAGATCTCGCAGGGCAAATGACGTTTTAGGTGACGGGAAAGGGCCTGCTTGTAGCCCGTGCATCGAGAGTGGAAGCAAATGCGTGCCCACGATCATTGGTGGCCGATTTCGTCATGACCACAATCCCACCGTCCACGCGTCAGACGCCGAGAAGCGGCGGAAGAGACGAAAGTACAAGAACCAGATCTGGGTCCAAATTCCTCCACACTGTAAGGCCTCGGGTGCTTTTTTGACTCCGTCGAGACCCCCAGGAATCTGACCTTTTTGGCAGTGGTTTTCATCAAAGACGGATGGGACGGGGAAGATCCTTATCAGGTTGCTGAAGACACGGAAACGACCCCCTCTAGGCTACAGGAACCAGAACAAGAAGATTCCGGGCAGCCGACCCAAGCCTACGATTACCGGCCCGAGAGTGATCAATCTGTAGAGCCACGTGAGATTTCTCCGGCCGATCCGAGCTGCGTTCCATACGACGCAGCGAATGTGCCTTCCCTGCCACTAGACGGACTCCCCCAAATCCAGGCTGTCAGTCTTTCACCAGATTCTTTTGTCGGGATTCCTTGGTGGTTGGAAGCTCCGCCGGACGATCATGACCAGGATCAACATGGACAGGAACAGACGACTCTGTCCGATGATGTTCACTTTGAATCTGCTTCCGACTTCCCGGGACTGTGGCCTTTGAGGAATCCCGATGAAGCCCGACTGTTGTGCTACTTTGTCACCGATCTTTCGCACTGGGTACGTAGATGTTAGTTACCATCTGCTGCATGTGGACTGCTTATCGACGTGAGTCTGCAGTTTGACTTTTGCAGCAAAGACCGTCATTTTGCCACGACCGTCATACAGGCCTCGTCGACGTGCGAGACTTTGCTGAACGCCATCTTTGCCGTGTCAGCGAAACACCTCAGCATCTCGGGGAATTTCGACCGACTCGCGTCTGACCAGTACATGCGGAAGTGTCTTCAAACCCTCATCCCGGCGCTGAACGACCGAGGATCAATACTCGAGACGACGCTGTTTGCTGCAACGGCAATTCTTCGCCTCTTCGATGAGATGAGCGGTGAGTGCTCGCATGTCCCTCGCGCGCATCGACCGAGCTTTCCCTTACAATGCACAGACGTAGACGACCATCGGCAGAATCGTGGCCATATCCTGGGCACACATATACTGCTCCGGGCAAGAGAAGAGATAGCCAGAGACTCGGGGCTGCGCATTGCTTCACTTCTGGTCACGCTGCGGCAAGAGATCTTCATCTCATTCTTGACTCGCACGCCGGTGCAGCCCCTGGCCAACTTCCTCCACCTCGACCGCACGACAGCCCCGGCCGACGACGACACCTGGGCAGCACGTGTGATTGCACTGAGCGCCGACATTGTGACGTTCTGCTACGGGCCCGGGGGAAGAAGCGCGGAGGAGTGGCAGCGGCTGCATGACCACCTGGAGAGATGGGAGCGTGAGAAGCCGCTGTGGTTCAGACCGGTTCTCTATGTAAAAGAAGGAGACAGTGGAGGGCCGTTCCCGAAGATTTGGTTCAGCAACGACAGCCACAGTATGTCAGGCTGCGGACCGGAGGCAGGAGACGATCATGGCTGACAGAAGGCGCACAGTTGGAGCACAGCTCTATTCGGATGTCTGCCGCATCTTGCTTCTGGTACACGATCCGAGCCTCCCCGCACTGGGACTGGATCGAGAGATTGCAGTACGGCACATGGACGAGCGGGTTCGGGGGTACGTCAGACGGATGTGCGGGGTTGCCATTTCCCATTCCCAGAATCAGCCGGCAATCTCAATCACTGGAATGGTGATAGCAATGTGTAAGCTGGTTGTACTCCTGGACATCTCGAGGGGTTTTGCTAACACACTGGCTGCCAAGGTGGCGAACGATTTACCGAGAGGGATGAGCAAGAGGCGTTGCTTCAAATATTGGAGAAGTCGGAAGCCCATCTGACCTGGCCATGTCTCAAGGTCCACGATCGGCTACGCAAGCATTGGAGCTCATAAAAGTTCGTTTACTCTACATTAACGACGTTGATAAGGCTACAGAGATTCATCGATGAAATGAACAACATCGTTCCACAGTACGTGAGGCTGCTCGAGCGCAGCAAAATGGCCACCCTATCGGAGCTCATGTTAGCACTGTTCTGCTATTATCTCAGGAGAGATGAGTATTACCTGTTCGTGTTCTCTGTACCACGACACGACCCGCGTTGCATCCACCCACGATTTTGGTGGCGGGCCAATCTCCTTTGCAAAAGAGGAAAAGCCAAGAGGCTTGCCTTTAATACCCTTCCAAGTGACCTCGGGTGCGATCCTGCTCCGATCGACAAGCTTGGGTTCTTCTGGTAAGCTGACGTTGATCCAAGGGGCCATGAAGACTTACATTCCGGTAGAACCAGATACTCGTGGGGTAGCATCCGGTGAACCAGTAGATGCTGATGTTCAGCAATATCTCATCGAGTGAAGGCGCTGTGGCTGGGTCTGACCAAGCCAGCATCTTCTCTCCGATCCTGGTGCCAGTCAGCAGGATGACAGTGCTCTCCCCAATGAATCCAAACTCACCAGGCCAGCAGCGCGACCGGACTGCTGCCGATGGCAAGGCCAACGGTGCTCGGCTTGTTGCCGTGGAGGTTGGCATAATCCATGCCGGTGGTGACAAACTGCTTCGCGGACTGCATCTTCTCCAGCTCCTGGGCCGAGTAGGAGACGGCGGCGGGATCCAGCCCTTCCGGCGGCTCGCGCAGCATGAGCAGGTTCAGATGGGCGGCCCTGACATCATCGTACAGGGCGGCCATGGCGGTGCTGACAATGGCCCCCACGTCCCCGCCCTGCACCACGTACCCGCCGCCTCCGGTCCGCTTGCCGAAGCCAAGCGCGGCCATCAGCTTCGCCATGATCCTGGCTTGGTCGACGAGCCCAAAGTCGGCGTCGAGGGGTGGGCCGGTGGAGAAGCCAAAGCCGATCAGCGACGGCACGACGAGGTGGTAGGGCAGCGCCGCCGGGTCGTCTTTGTACTGGTCGCGCAGGGCCAGCAAGATGGGCAGGAACTCGGTGAAGGAGCCGGGCCAGCCGTGCATCAGGAGGATCGGCACCGCGTCCGGGTTGGGCGAGAAGAGGGCGGCGAAGTGCACCGTGTAGGCCGCCCCCGTCCCGGACGCATCGTAGTCGTCGACCAGGGAGAGCTTGAAGTGCGGGATGCTGTTGATCTTGGCTTCGTGCCCACGCCAGTCGAACGACGAGGGGCTGGCCCAGTGCGAGACCGCCGAGGCGAGCCAGTCGCGCGTCACGCCGAACCGGCCGCCGTGCTGGGCGCTGTTGGGGTAGTTGGGCGCCGCGATGGGACAGAGTTCGAGGAGGGTGCGGAGCTTTTGGATCTCCGCATCCGGCACGTCGACCCTGAAGGGGGACAAAGCCGCTCCTGTGACGGGATGAGGAGGCGTTGCAAACGGGGAAGTCATGGTGCAGCGGCGGCTTGATGTAGACCGGTGGTTTCTCGTTGAAAGCATTATATACGTCGCGGGTAAGCTGGCTTTTAACGTCCCTGATTTGAACACTGACTTTTACCCCACAAATCCTATCTGACATGCTCCAGGCGCATCCGAGACTTGTAGCGCCGATCGCGGACCTACCGGATTCCGGGCCGAGTTTTGTGCAAGCAAACTATGTCCGGCGGATTCTAAGGCATCCCGCATAATATTGTGCCGGAGCAGCCAAGAAGAACCGAGGACCGAAGTCATGATGATAAGGCGGGAAGCATCTCGAGAGCCAAAACGCATCCCTCCCATTCACTCAATATCCGTGGGAAAAGTAGAAGGTGTACCACCAGAATCAGGCATGCGTGCGCGCGATGATGGGTTTATCCGACAGCAGGACGCCGGTGCCTGAATCATGGCTGCAGGCGCCATGATTCAGCCATGGCCAATCAACGTTGGGAGGCACGGCACTATCGGTGAGCAGAAAGCCGGACGCACGGCTTGTGAGATGCCGGTCCGAGCCGGCCTGCTTCTCTTATACTATAACTCCGCCCTCCGCTTACCCAGCAGACGGCCCTTCCGCATTTGTGGGTATTCCTACGCGTTGCCAAGTCTCTGTGGCGGAAAGACTCCACATGTTCGTGATCAGGGGATATCCCAGTCCTAAAAGCTTGATGAAATTCACATGAAAGAAGGCTTAGGCAAACGTTCACCAAGACTTTCAACTCGTTGTTTCAATCGATGCCATTCTGTTTTGACTGGAATGAGTGGAAGACCGGACTAAGGCTTATCCTCGGCGGAGAAAAGAGAGGAATGATGGAGAAAGAGAGTTGAGCGACATGCTTAAGCAACTTCAACCACCGCCCCTGTACCGAGGCTCATCTTATCCATCAGTCCATTCATGGCTTCGGAGGAGCCCGGTTCAGTGCCAGCCCGCGACACCTTGTATCCACCACTGGCCGACCTCGTTACAACGGGCATTGATGCGTACTTGCGTTCGGCGGGCGGGTCGATGTGCTTGTGAATGTGCCCGTTTATGACAATGGCATGGATCCTGTTGGTATCCTGGAGGATGGAAATGTCTTCCACCGGGTTTCCGTCGACGAGAATGACATCTGCATAGTAGCCAGGACGGAGCTTGCCCAATTCTGCTGCATGTCCCATGATCTCCCCGCCCCAAGCTGTTGCAGAGATAATGGCCTCCATCGGCGTGTACCCGAAGAGGTTGACGAAGTTGGCGAGGTCGCGTGAGTAGGTCCCATGCGGCGCCCACGCGAATCCAAAGTCGCCGCCCGGAAGAACGCGGATCCCACGTTTCCGCATCTCCGTCATGCCCTTGCAGCAAGCGTTGATTTGATGCAACAGGCCCTTTTTCTCGGCCAGCTCCGCCGAGAACCCAAAAGCCGCAGCTTCGCCAGTGCAAGTTAGCAGAGGAAGGTTCATGGCGGGGGCAACGAAAACGCGGTCCTTCTGAGCCTCGAGCATGTCCAGCCCCTCTGCATCGACGAAGTCTGCGTGGTATATGACGTCGACGCCAGCCTCACAGCACATCTTGACCGAAGCTGCACTGCGGGCGTGGGTGCAAACGCGTTTGCCGTGAGCGTGCGCAACCTCGACCGCGGCTCTGGTCTCCTCAAGCGTGAAGTACGTCTCCTCGCTCGGCAGGTCCGGAGTGATGTCGTCGCCGGACATGCTGAGCTTGACGTTGTCCACGCCAAGCGCAACAAGCTCACTGACAGCCTTGCGCATCTCGTCGACGCCATCTGCGTAACGCGTTATTCCTGGGACGAGTGCACCTGACGGCTTCGCGATCTCTTGCCCGTTGGCCAGTGTGCGCGGTCCTGGAATCATGCCGGTCTTGATGGCCCCTTTCACTGAAAGGTCAAGCCGCGGCCGTGCCGATGCCGCTCCAAAGCACATTGTGTATCCGCAGTCAAGGTATGTCTTGGCAGAGTGCGCCGTGTGGAGAACGTGTTCCTCGGGCTGCAATCCCGTCAATTGGTCCAAAGTTGCGGCGTTGGGGTAGCTCAGATGGGTGTGAGAATCGCATAGCCCGGACATGAGCGTCTTCTTGCCTTTCCCATCGATGACAAGCATACTCTCCCCTTCCACCGAAGGTTCGAGGTCCCCGACCTTGCTGATTCGCTCTCCCTCAATCAGCACATGGCCGAGGTAGGGGTCGCGGCCTGTGGAATCGATAATGATGACATTTTTGAACAATATCTTTTCGGGGTCTTCGGGTTTCCGGTTCGATAGTTCGATGTCCGCTGGATCAAGTCGGTATGAGTTCGTCATGTTGTGTTCATTTGGTTGAGGCATTCCGTGGGAGCGAGCGGCGAATGACGGGTAGGCCGTTATTTACGCTGGAGATGATGTGGGGAGAGTACATATGCAAGCCCCGCTCACCTGCAGGGGAGCGGCGATTATTGAGCGCACACCACTGAAGATCATCCAACCAACCCTGGTCAGTCATCCTCAGTAAGCTATCCAAGCCCCCACGTTCGACGGAAAGAGGCCCATCTCTTGGTCCCGATTTTTGCTTCACTGCCATTTTTGTCGGACTACCGCTGTCGAGAACTTGGGAGAGGAAAGAATCGCTGACATACATCTGTGCTCTGGAGAATTCACGGTCCAATGACATGTCAGTGAATTATCGAGTGGGTTGCATTGCATCAGGACAACCCCGCTTTAGTAACGTTACGATAGAAGTGTCACGTTGTTGATGACGTCGAGAGCTTCGACATCCACTCTCGTTGAAGCGAAACACCCATTAATCTTGTTCGGAGGGTTTTGTGGTCGTCCGAAGAAGTTTCAACCAAGCCTTTGGCGTGACCACAGCTTCGACAATGTCGATTTCCGCTCCTGGAAGGCTGAGGCTCCGGCCTGAGCCAAGGCTTCCAGCGCTTGTGACATCGTTACCGAATGGAGCATCCTTGTTGATTTGGTGGGCAAACGGCTCGGGAGATGGCCATTCGAAACCATGGAGGTAGGCGGTTCTTCTCGGCTGTGTCCAGGCTGGGACCCAAGACGGGAGTGCAAGGGCCTTCGGTGCCACTCGAGTGCCGGATAGGACGGAAAAGCCTCGTTCCTGGGTCATCATAGATCTTGCACAAAGGGTGTACACCTCGGTCGTTTCCATGGCGTAGTCGGGGTTGAAACTATGTCCGGATTTTCATTTCACAATGTGGGGCCGGTGCTGTAGAGTCGCACTGCCAAGACATGTCTACATGTGGTTGGCTTTGATTGCTGAGGGGCAGTAATACCGCTTAGCCCCGTAGACGCCATGTGTATATCAGACATATGCTCCAGCATTCACAAAGAGATTTTTCTTCGAGACCAGCATCACCGGCCTGTTTCCTCCTCTGGCTTATGTATTTGATCGAGTACGAGCAAGAAAACAGGGGAGATGACAGGAGACACACGAAGGAGGACGGCAACCGAGGCCTTTGATGGGACGGGAGGACAATCGCCAGCCACAGTAGTGACACGGAGTCTATGTATTCCCTACTCGAATGGAATCGAGCGTACCGACCGTCAAGATAGAAGAGCGGATCCTTTCCCGTCGCCCGACTGCGGACGACCCGGTCGATGATCTCGCCCTCGGTTGCTTTTCACCCGCCTGATCTGCAGAGCCGAGGGAGATGCATCATGGCAATCATCCTCCGGAGAGCCAAGCACCAAATCCTCCGTGAAATCTTCCATCTCGGCAAACCAAGAACCACCGCTGGCGAGGCGGTGGTGGCCGGTGCCGGACTCCTCGTCCCAAACCCACTCGACCTCGAACACGGCTTCAATCTCAGCCAGGTCATCCGCGTACCTCTGGAGAAGCGCCGCCCGCATCTCATCCGTCCACAGCCTGGGCGGGGCGAACTCGGGCCGCGCCGACAGAGCGGACCGGGTCTCGCGGCTGAGCACCTCGAAGGGGACGTCGGAAGCGGCGAGGACGGACCAGGCCTCTTCGACGCAGCCGCTTTTGCGGAAGGCCTCGAGCAGGGCGAGGTCGCCGCGCGTCGCCGTGTTCCACAGGCCGGCGTCCCTCAGCCGCCACATGGGCTTTCGCTCGCGGTTGAGCATGGCGGCCGACGGGCCATCGGCCTCTCCCAGGCAGGTGCACTCCTTGGGGGTGTTGCGGCGCGGGTCTTGGAGCCACATGGCCCATTCGGTGCGCAGCTGGTCGTGGGCCTTGAGGCGAGCAAGCGCGCGCAGCCAGCGGCTCATGCAATGCCACTGGTTCCGGGGGAGGAAGTGGCTGAGGTCGTAAGCGGGGGTGGGTGGGGCGTCGGTGAAGCCCAGCATGACGGCCAAGGCATGGTCGTCGGACCACGGCCTGAGCCAAGGGGTGTGTGTCCGTACGGCAGGATGGGCGGGATTGACCAGGCTGTCGACAACGCGGCCGAACAGACGCGGCGGAATGGGGTAGTCCAGGGCGCGGAACTTGTGCAGGTAGAGCCTCAGAGCGGAGAAGCTGTGGCAGCTGGCGGCACAGAGCAGGCCCAAGCCGAGCAGCACGTCTGGCAGTTGTATGTGGGCGTCTTCCAGCTTGAAGCGAATGGCGTGGGCCAGTATGAGCATGTTCGGGTCGGCATGGCTGGGCGGGCTGTCGATCAGCAGGTGGAAGAGGCGGGCGCAGATGAGGCGGACGGCGTCGTGTTTGTTGAAGGCCTTGTCGACGTTGCGCTGGGCGAGGACGGCGGATACGAGAATCAGGTAGTCGGCGCGGTAGTTGCACCGCTCGAGCTGGGCCTCGATGCCGTTGCGGTAGTCGTCCGGGAGCTTGGAGTAGATGCGTGGGAGTGGGTTTCCCGCCGGAGTTTGCTGGGTGGGCGCCAGATGCGGGACTCCCGGTGGCAGGAAGGCATCGCGAAGACGGTGGAGCTTTGACTCGCGGCCAATGTCCCTCCGGAGGCTGTCGAGGGGGAAGGCGTGGAGGGCAGGAGGGCGGGGGTCGGGGCTGGAGGCGGCGGCGACGGTCGATTGGCGGCGCTGAGGGGGCAATGGGCTCGGGCAGGCAAAGCGCGGGCGTAGCGATGAACGCAGCGGCTTCGCAGCGACGGTAGATGAGATCATGGCGTTGGCGGCATCGGGCCGTCTCTGGTGTTGCTCCACGATCCGGGGCTGCCCACTCGCCCACTTGCCCTCTCGACGGCGCTTGCCGGGTGCGGCTGCGGCTCTCTTCGCCAAAGAACACGCCCGCCCGCCGCAACCATCATCACCACCACCACTCCCTGCACCATCGTCCCCGCCACGTCCACCGAGAAGCGTAAGCCCCTCACCCTCCGCTGCCGCCCGCAGCGATGAGCCCTGCAAGCTTCGCGCGCCCGGACCGACCCCCTCGCCTCGCCGCGCTGCACCGCAAGCACGCCATCGCCTCGCCCAAGCTGCTCAAGGCCGAGACGCAGGGCGACGGCTTCGGACGCAAGCGCGCCTAGGACTGGGCCGTCGAGGAGAGCACCGTCGAAGAAGGTAGCCGTGGACAGGCGCGTCATCGACATCCGTAGGGCCGACGACGCCCGTCTCAAGGCCCGCCCTGCCCACGACGTCAACGACGATGGCAGCGACGTTACCTACAACAATTAGGTAGAGAGGCGCTCGATCTACCTTTCGACGCAGATCCAATTGCCTCAACCCACATGGCCTCATACTAGTACGCAGGGCTATCATTGTCTGTGCCGCCCGGCAAATGCATAAACGGGCTGCCGCTGTCTTCAGCCGCGTATGGTGAGTGCTGATCTGCTCGTTCTTGAGTCGTGGCGGCTCGTTCCGTGGTGTGATGTGGCGGCGCTTTGATCTCGACCGTTCTCTGCCACGATTGTAGCGGTGGTGATCATTTCCACGATGCGTCTCACAGAAATAGGAGGGCAAGCTATCGGGGCCTAGCTCGCCTCCGGTTTTTGCTCGAATTCAAGAGCCGCGATGCTGAATGGGGCAGTACCTGGCACGCTTCGACTTCCCTCGGAGGCCCGTTGGGCGACTGATTCTCAGCCGACCGTGGTGGCCATCGATTACAAAAACTGCCAGCTAGAGAAAGGATGGGAATCACGTGAAGCGCGAATGTGGTCGGTCAGTCGGGTCGGGCTCTGTTCCTGTTCCTTGTTTGTTCGGCGACTCATACATAGGGCGGAGGTGGAAGCTGCTAGCCTGCCTGAGCAGCCTGAGCACCATTATTAGCCTAACGGTGAGCCGCGCAAGCCTGCTTTAGTTTCCCGACGCTAAGATCCTCTGTCCTCTTTTATCCATGTCTTTTTTTCTCACTCCCTTCTCCTCTCTCCTCGCCCGGAGCCGCAGAACGGTAGTTTCGTGGTGCGGGCCGACTCCGTCGTCCGCCGCTCGCCTCTCGCTTTCGTACACAAAGCTTTGGCCCGCTCCATGCTCGGGGGTCGGCGAAGCACGCTGACTCGGTTTTCAAATGAGGCCTCCAGCAAGCACCTCGAATCAGTCGAGGCCGGCGGAAAAGATGCCCTTCAGTCATCCGGAGGCGAGTGAGAGAGAGAGAGAGAGAGACGACGAGAGCAAACTCGCATTGCATCTCCCCGCCAAACGATGAGGTTTCGTGCGTGACCGCCACCATCGACCGTTTGCTTGACGTTGGATAGGAGAGGGATCAGGGTCGGAAGTGGGAAGAAAGAGGGGATGTGCTTCAGACCCCAGCTTCTGACCATTGGCGCGGTCTCAAACCCCTGCATACATACAGGGCACAACCGGCATATTGGGGCGGACAAATCGGACATTTCTTTTTTTTTTTGGCCCTGGGTCACCGCGACGGAGGGACGGCAACGTGACAACGACGTGGGACCCTGGTTTTGTTCTGTTCTTCATGCGACGCCACGCCTTGCCCCCGTCTCGCGGATAGTCCGGCAATAAGGGACGCTCGGCCAACGCCACGTCGGAACCGGCCGCGGCCCGTGAGCTTGAGTCTTCCTCGCCGGCCGGGTCTGCAGTCGCTTTGGTCCGGTATGAGAAATGTATATGTTTGAGGAGTTGATCGAATTCGTCGTCGTCAGAAAATGCTTATGCTGCCGCTGGTGCTGCGGTTGTTGTTGTTCCGCTGCTGCAAATCAGACCTGCGAATGCGGAAGGGATCGCCATGATTTGCCGATTCTACGACCCGTTCCTGTGGTAGGCACGTACCTACATACCTCGTGTCGAAACGGAGGGGCGCTTGGCTTGAGCTGCTCTCCTGTGGGGGTGAGTGAGAGTGGGGGTGTTTTGCTTTCTTTTTTCTGATGAGTGATCAACCTTTGACGAAAGAAGGTAGTTAGGAGATCCCGTCGGCCGTGGTGTGACGTGAGACAAATGTCATATCGCCAATGAATGGGTCGAAGGATGATTCCAATCGCCTTGTTGATGGGATCGTAACGAGAAACCACTGCTCTTTCGACCCTTCATAGTCAGCTTCGCCTTCAGAAAACACTACCTGCATACTCACCACCCAAGCGCATCCAAGTCACGCTGGCAGTGAAAACCGTACTTTAACAGCGAATGAAGTTTAGTTTTCTCTCTCTTTTCTTGCGTCCTGATTACATTACCTGCCTCGATCAAAAAGTGAGACGAACTGAATGGGATATCTTTGAATACATGTTCTCTGAAAAGGGCTTTTTCTCCTGTTTGCTCTTTCCTGTACCTGTATTTCCCAACCTTGCCGCCGTGAAAAACGCCTGACAACACCGCCCACTGGTTTTCTTGCCTCGCCTCGAACCTTTACCGATGCTGTCCCGGATAATGACCTTGGTGATGTCGGCCGCCTTCGCCGCTTGGGCCCGGCCATTCGGACGCGGCCGAGTTGTTACGTTCCGTCCACCTCACGTCCTTGGTGACAACGATGCTGGTCAAGGGCAACTGGTCACTCGAGCCGTCGCCGTGCACCATCTCACCGTCGTCGCTATACTGCTTGTGGTTCGAATGCGAGCTCCGGCTCACCGTTGTCTCGTTGCCGTACCGGTGTTGGTGGTGTGTCTTGCCCCCTTGCAAGCTGCCGTCGTCGCTGTCCGGGCCCGTCACGGCCGTCACCGAAGAGTCCTCCAGCCGTTTGAAGTGCCGCTCGCCCGTCTGGCTGCGCTTGGCGCCCGTGCCACCGATGGTGATGAGCTCCGTGTTGCGCGACGGGTTGCCTGACGCAGTGTTGCCCATGCCCGACCGCCCACGGCTGCTGCCGCCGAACTGGGACGAGACCATACGCATCAGCGGGCGCAGGGTGGGTAGGCAGGCACTGATGATCCCCGAGGCTACTTCGACGACACACCAGGTGCAGGCGGTGGCGAGGGTCCCTTTTCCTTGTGTCAGCCGCGCTGTCCGTTTGTTCTTTCTTTTTCTGCTTTTCCTGGCTGCTTACAGGTTGTGTCTGTCGTTTGGAACTGCATAATGGTCGTGAAGCGGTAGATGCTGGCGAAGAGCACGCTGCATGTATGTCAGGAGAAAGGAGCGGTAGATGAAATGGTGGGATGACTGACAATCCACCGAGCAGGAACATGAAGACCAGCGAGGCGCGCTGGGCGCTGGTGACCTGCAGCTTCCAGACCTGGGCGACGGGCATGATGAGGATGGCGACGTCGGTGAGGATGTTGGGCACTGCGTTGCCGATGAAGGAGGCTTTGAGGTTGATGCACGAGCCGTCCATCAGCGGGTACCAGGCCTTCTTGATGGGGTGGCACTGGAAGATGCTGACGCAGTTGATGGCGACGACCCAGCCGACGGTGACGAAGCCCAGCAGGTATGCGCCGATGCGGAAGCCTTTGAGCGGGAAGATGCGCGCGTACATGAACAGCAGCGAGAGCTTGACGAGGCCGACGCCGGTGCAGTAGACGCACTCGAAGGCGACGAGGAGCTGCGGCAAGAGGGGTCAGCCGTCGGGAGCGAGTGAGCCGGCAGTCGGGTGCTGCTCACCTTCAGGACCATGACGATGTTGTTCGGGTCCAAGTCGGTGGCGTGTTTGCCCAGGCCCCAGTATATCACTGCGGCACGGTCAGTGTCGGGCGGCGGGGGCGTGCAGAACAGAGCAGAGAGGGAGACGCACTGCCATAGTTGATGCCTCCGGCACCGAAGCAGAAGAGCAGAGCAACGACCATGAGCCAGTCATCGGGGCCGTAGGTGAGGCCGCGCTTGAAGCGGGCGGCGAAGCGCAGGAAGACGAAAAAGGTGGCGAGCACGAGGAGAGCGGTGGTGGTGGCCTCCAGACCGGGGCCCTTGTCGGGGACATCCCGGGCGAGGCGGGGCAGGAGTATCACGGCCGGCATGACAGCATGTTGGGTGTTCGAGGGCAGGCTGGGTGGGCGGCCCTGGGATCAAGTAGTGCTGGCTGACGCACGGAAGGGTCGGGGAAGCATGGGAGAAGGCCAGTCCGGGAACGGTAGCCGTGGGGTCATGGCCCTGCCCGACGAGCAGAAGGGCCCATGTAGCGGCAGGATCTTCACCTGCACCATGTTATCGTCAGGCACCGTGGTCGATCTGTAGCAGGGGTGGGCTGCCATGTCTTGCACGTCGGAACAACGGCCGTGGCGCAAAGGGCGTGCTGCGAGGCGGCGAGGCGTTTGATGCACCGGTGGCAGCGGAGAAGAGCCGTGGGACCGGGCGCCGGGGGAGTCGGCTCGAGCGGCGACCGGCGCTACTCGCCCGCAAGAAGCAATGAGCGGCGGTGGGCGGCGGTGGGCCGCCTGTCAAGCGGCTGCGACCCGCGGTTGGCGGGCGAGTGGTGTTGTTGGGCCCGGGCGGGCGAGGTGCTGTGGTAGTGCTGCGAGGCTGCGAGCTGTCGAGAGCAGCGTCGAGGGTGGCGGCAGGCTGGGGCCCCTGCCGGCTACGCCGCTACGCCGGAAGCGACGAGGATGCAGGCGCACCTGGCGCCCGCGTGGCGGTAATAATAATAATATCTGGCCACGTGGGACTCGGCCCCCAAATTGCCCAAACCGTCCGAATTGCCCAAAGTGCACCTGCCTTTAGTCCCCAACGCAGCTGCCCCCTCCGCCAAGCTCTACCCTTTGCGCAGGAGCAGCCATGGAGACAACGCCTCCGCCCGCCCCTGACTCGCCGCGACACCGTTCTGGACGGCGTCGGACGACCTCACCCCCCGCGCGTCGGATGCGGTCCTGAGACTGCGGATGGCGGTCTACCCCTCGTCCACCATGCCGCCCATATAACAGAGCGCGGCGGCGCCTGTCCTGGACTCCTGGCCCAGCTGTCTATCTCTCCTCACTCTCTCGCCCCGCAAAAAAAAAACCCCCCGGCAACCGCAGTACCAGCACCCCGCTCTCGCCATGTCCACCGCCAAGCCGACCCTCGTCTTCGCCCCCGGCGCCTGGCACACGCCCGACTGCTTCGACATTGTGCGCGAGCAGCTTCACCAGCGCGGCTGGGCCACCGAGGGCGTGGCCTACCCGTCAGTCGGCGCCGAGCCTCCCACCAAGGGCCTTGCTGAGGACGCGGCCGCGGTCCGCGCCACGCTCCAGCGCCTGGCAGATGAGGCAAAGGAGATTGTGCTGGTCGTGCACTCGTACGGCGGCCTCGTCGGCCAGAACGCAATCGAGGGCCTCGGCTTCCACCAGCGCCAGAAGGCGGGCAAGAAGGGCGGCGTCATCATGTTCGTCTACCTGACCGCCTTCGTCGCTCCCAAGGGCGCCACCATCAAGGCCATGCTGGGCGGCCAGTTCCTGCCGTGGATGAAGTTCGACGTGAGTGATGTGTCCAGACGGGCAGCAATAGGTAAACATCCAGACGCTGACTAATTGTTCCATGCAGGGCGACTACTGCCGCGCCGACACGCCGGAACAGGTCTTCTACCACGACGTCGAGGCCGAGGGCCAGAAGAAGGCCGTGGGCAGGCTGCAGCACAACTCGGCCCGCATCTTCACCGACGAGGTCACGTACGAGCCGTGGCACGAGGTCCCGTGCATGTACTTCTTCTGCGAGACGGACCAGGCGCTGCCGCTGCCCATCCAGCAGGCCATGGCCAAGGCGCTGGGCGACAAGGCCGTCACGTACACGTCGGTCGGCTCGCACTCGCCCTTCCTCAGCCAGCCCAAGGAGGTGGTCGACGGGCTCGAGTTCGCGGCCAAGGCCGGTCAGGAAAGGCGGTGAAGACGGGGGGGATCTGGATCTTGTGTTTTGCTACCACAGCCACACGACTGCAGCGCTTGATGATACCAACTACCAATAGCGGTTCTCGTCGATGAATGGATACGGAAATGATTGCCCTCTCCGCGCGTTGACAGGCCGGTTGCTCTCGCAGTGACTACCTACCTAGTGAAGTGATCGCGCCGGTCCGTCCTTCGCGCCGCACCACGCGCCGGCCCTCGCTTCTGGTGAAACACCGCAACTCTCCGCAACCCCCTTCCCTGGGCAGCCTTGGCCAATGCTTGCTTGCTTCTCGTCTCATGACTAATGCCCGGCTGCTGGACCCTGTTCGCTTGGTCTGATCACCGGCTAGCGAGCGCTGCGCATTGCCCAGAAGCCGAGAGGGAAATTCAATGGCTTTGTCAGCCCCAGTTGCCGCTGTCTACTACGTACAGACCGCCTCTCTTTTTGTTGGCGACGAGTGACGGTGACCGGGGGAGGAGGAAAGGGGAGGGGGACCGCGGCTTGCGATAATCGAGAGGGAGGATCGATCCACCTGCAGGGCAATCTGCGGATCCGCATCAGCTCCTGCGGGCGCCATGCTGCAGGTAAAAGGCCAAGTCCACAATGGGTCATCGTCGATTAGATCCTCGGCGTTGTTTCGCTTGCTCGGGCTCGAAACACGGAGTCGTATGGTAGGTAGGTATTTGATTTTCTGGCATGTCGTGGTGTGATCGACAGTTTGACCATGCTCCCGCGCTGCGGTCTAGATTACCTTGGTAGATGCTGCAGGCCAGCCGTCCTATAGGGTCTGATCCCGGGCGAGTGGCCAATGGGAACAAGCAACTCGATCGCATACTACTGTGCACTACTACCATCATCGCACCGATCAACAGAAAAAAAAAAGCGACTCCACACCTCGGGTAGGTATTTACATGGTGAGTATCACGGTACCTGTGTGTGTGTGCAGAGGGTTCCCACTTTCTACCCGCATCCCCGGGCGATGGAGACCTATCAATAGTCCACGACGGCCCCACGCCCGTTCGAGCGCCCGGTCCGATGAGTGAGGGATGGATGGGACCCGCTGCGGTTGTCAAAAACGTCGTGGCGGCGGTAAAAGTGATGGCCGCCGCCGCCACCGTCAGGCTTGCCACCGGCGACGCTATGGGCGGGGCTTGGCTTGGCCGTTGCTTCTCTTCGTCGTTCATGCTCGGGGATGTAAATGATGATGATGGCTGCCATCTGGAGACTCCAAAGTCCCCTTGCAGAAGTGCATGAGCGTACTTTGGACGGGGACGGCTTCATCTCTGCGCCATTCAGCTGCCCGGGCCGGGAGTTCGGAAGCTAGCATCGTACTATATTCGACCTCGTACGCGTGAATCCGAGCCGCGAGTGCTTCCAGTGTGGTGCAACCGAGGTCAACCCTCCCTGCAGATCAATTGCCATTCGCAAGCAGCAGCAGCAGCCTCGAAATCCTTCGCGCTGGCGTTCGTAGGATCCGGAGAGTGGGCCAGTAGTAGTCAGCCATGACCAAGCCATGGCATAGAACAGGGTTGGGCCGTGCACCACCGACGGTGCCTGCAGGAACAACAACCCTTCCTGCCTGCAAGCCACTACCACGCAACCACCGAAGGATCATGGCTTGTGGAGATGAGCGCTACGAAGAAAGCGGTGCGCCAAAGCTCTTCCGCTTTTCCAGAATAATGATGCCGCCATTCCACGCGAATCTTGCCACCGAGATTTGATGTCGCTTCTGCGTCACTGGCTGAAGGGGAATCTGCTAAACGAGCTAGATTGGCTGCATCGTCGACGCGCTTGCTAATAGAGTGTTGTAACGTCGAGGTCGACTGGCTGACGCGTCGAGCTACAGCTCCGGCCCCCGCGCTGTCTGCATGGCGCCACTGAAGTCCCTGCCGATGTGCCGAGTACTCCAAGATCTTGATCAATATTATCATTGGGGTATCCGCCATCTTACTGGGTAGACACAGATCTCGTACCGAAAATCTGGGTTGCAGTTTCCGGGAACTGTGTTCCCGTGTTGGATCCGGCCCAAGTACCTGGACTTCGGGTCCATGCCTAACCATGGGACGTGGTACCCCTTGGTAATTGGAGACTGGGATTTTTCTGAACTGCATAATCCTCCTTGCAGTGGATCGCGAGCCGTAGAATAGTAACAAGGGCGTCAGAAATTCCTCTCGGGACATGGGAGTTTAGGATCGGAGGATTATGCTCGTTTTGATGCTATGACAGACCAGTGTCGCGGTTTTCTATGGGAAAAAGCAACTTTGCTCCTGCAGTCGGACGTGGGACCCCCCTGTAGTGTGAGAAAGGCGCAGTCATCTGTCCGGACACGAGTGGGTAACGGGTTCACTCGTAGAGAAAAAATAAAGCAAGGGAGGAAAAGCAAGGAATTAGCACACCGGGTAAAAAAGAAAAAGCAAAGTTTGCCACCACCGCCCATCCTTCCTCCATCCTAATCCGTACTTCGTGGGCCTCCAGGAAACACCCCTTGCAGAAGACAAAAAAAAAGCAAAACCAGCCTCCGAGTACGTACATACCTCCGCCGCCCGCCTGTGCCGCCTGTGCCGCCGCCGTCTATTTTCTTCCCCCAACCCTCCACGACACGGTCCATCTCAACTCAACCCCGTCTCGGGCCAAATCATTTGAGCACAACTCGTGGATGGATTCATACGCGCGCGCGCGCGTGCATGCATACACACATATGCACACATATACATGCATACAACATACAAGGGTGTCTTGCGGGTCCATCCCACCCGTCGCGGTCGCCACGCGCGCGCGCAGACTACGATTTTCCTGTGTATGACTACGTCTTCTGACCAAAGTCGTTCTCTATTTCCTCCTTTTTTTTTTCTTTTTTTTTCCTTTCCCCCCGCATGCATGAGGTTGGGTGAACAAGCTGCCGCCGCTGTTGTGCCGGGAAGAATTGCTGCTCGCACATTTCGCCGTGGGTAAGCGGAACGAGAGCTTTTAATTTTTTTTTGGCTTAGGTTTGACTGGGCCTGCACAGAGTTGGGTGCTGTGGGAGAAGAGGAGGAGCGTCCGATGAATGATGCTCGACACTCGTAGCGATTGATTGATGATGAGGGCGCATCACTTTGAGATATATATCCGGGCGTATGGAAGGAGTCTCGTTTCTGTCAGGGGAATCTTGATGCATTTTTAGTATTTCTATGTCATTACTCATCTCTACTTTCTTTTTCTTTTTTCTTTCTCTCTCCCCCTCAAATGCCAACTCTTCCAACACTTCCAACCCTTCTCCTACCTCAATCCCACAATATATTCAAGGCCTTATTCCACCCCTTTCGTTCCGGCTCCGGCATCTCCGGGAAGCGATCCACATCCGCCAGCGCTTCCCTTAGTGGGATCTCGGACAAAGGCACGATTTTCGTCTTCTTGATGACCTTCCAAAGGAGGTATGCGGTAAGCACCAGGGGGATATCGCTACGATGAGAAGCGTCAGATGCGACCAGGAGTCGGAGAGCGGGGGACAGGGCACGACGCCCAAAACAAAAAAAAAAAAAGACTTACAGATACGACGACACAAAGGAGCTCGGAGACCAGTTGCCACGGGTGAAGACGGGGAAGCCGGCGGTGAAGAGGATGACGACGCAGAAGACGAGCGCGACGGGGGTGGAGAGGGCTATTGAGTGAAGTGGTCAGCGGTTTGTTATCTCTTTCTCCCATCTCCTCTTTCCCAAACTTACTTGTCCAAGTGTTATGCCACGGCAGAGACGACAGCGGCAGGCCCTGCTTCTTCATGGCCAGGATCAGACGCTGGTGGTTGATCAGGATGGTGATCCAGCTGATCAGCACGCCGCACGCGGTGAGGTCAAGGAACCAGTAGAAGACGGTCAGGGCGCCGTTGGACAGGCTCATGAAGGCGAGGAACATGAAGGCGGTCTGCAGCATGACGCAGACGTACGGCACGCCCCAAGACGTGGTGCGCAAGAAGACGGCGGGGGCCTGGCGCTTCAGGGCCAAGCTGTACAGCACGCGGGTGCCGGCGAGCAGGGCCTGGTTGGACGACGACCAGGCCGAGGTGATGACGACGGCGTTGACGACGGACGGGATGGCCTTGACGCCGGCGGCGCTGGCGGCGATGACGAAGGGGCTCTGGGCGGCGGTGCCTGACTCGTCCGACAGGCGTTCGTCGTCGCTGGCGACCAGCATGCCGACGATGAGCACGGCCAGGATGTAGAAGAGCGAGACGCGGGCGAAGACGCGCTTGCAGGCGTTGGGGATGGCGCGGCGCGGGTTGCGCGTCTCGGCGGCGGCCATGGCGACGCTCTCGACGCCGGCGAAGGAGAAGACGGCGTTGCTCATGACGGCCCAGTAGCCCAGGAACTTGCCCCAGGCGCCGGTGCCGATGTACTCGACAAAGGGGCCCGGCGTCTTCCAGTAGTGGAAGCCGAGGCGGTCGACGCCGGGCACGCCGCCGAGGTTGATGACCAGGCCCAGGATGATGAGGAAGACGATGAGCAGGATCTTCAGCACGGCGAAGAAGAACTCGACCTCGCCGTAGACGCGGATCAGCGACATGCCGACGACGAAGGTCAGCACGATGATCATGACGATCCACACGGCGCTGTTGAGGTCGGTCCAGAACTGGAAGAGCACGCAGATGGCCGAGATCTCGGCGGGGATGGACAGCCAGTTGCCGTAGACGATGTTGTAGCCAATGGCGAAGCCCAGGGCAGGGTCCACGAGGAACTCGGCATGGCGCACGAAGGAGCCCGTGACGGGCAGCAGCGCCGTGACCTCGCCCAGGGCGAACTGCACGGCGCAGACGATCAGACCGACCGTGGCATAGCCAAGCAGGGCGCCGAGAGGCCCGCCTGTTTGGATGGAGCCGCCCAAGCCCAGGAACAGGCCGGTGCCCTAGGTAGATGAAGCGTGTCAGCGACGCGGGGGGCCGAGGAAGGGGGAAGGGGGCACGCACGATGGCGCCAGCCAAGGCGATCAAACTGATGTGCCGCTGGTGCAGGCCGCGCGAGAGGTGCTGGCGCTCATTCTCGGTGAGAAAGTCGCCGTGGTGGTCGTCGCGCGGGGGGGCGTGGTCGTCGGACGCGACGTCGACGGCGCCGTACGTCTTGGTGCCGGCCGGGTCGGCGGCGGCCATGGTTGATGCTGCTGCTGCTGCTGGTGCGGAGCCCTGAGCCAGGAGAGGTTGGGCAGCGTCGTCCCGGCTCATGGCTACGGCGGCGGCTCTGACGAGATAAAGGCGGCGGGGGCCTTGGACAAGTGCCGGGCGCGATGGCGTGCTGCGCAGATTGCCGAGATGGCGGGTGCAACACCACGCGGCGGGCGTGTTGGGCGAGTCAGACGGGCGACGGAAACGGAGTCGAGGCCGTGGGCGTCGTGTCTGGATGAGTCGTGGGTGTCGTGGGTGGAGCTGGCCATCGCCCAAGCTGCCGGTTTCGCGCCTTAAGCCGCGCCTTCTCTCGCTAGGCGTCGTCGCGCCATTTCGAAGACTCTTTGTCTTATCTGGCCGTGGCCGCTTGTGACGCCGGGCTGAGGCTCGGGCGCTGCGAGAACGCGAACGGCATCGATGCAGGCAGTACAGGAGCGGGATGAAGGATGAGTGCTGTTGCTGAGACTTTTCGTGCGGCCGCTGTCGTGGTTTTGCTGCGGGGGCGCCGCCGGGTTGGTCACCGTGCCCTAGCCCGACGTTTTTCTCCATTATTGTGTGGGGAACCATGACAACACCACCACCATCCCAGTGCCGCAAAACTCGACCTCAAGTGAGCAAAAAAAAAAAGGAAAAAAAAAGGGAATTCGCAAGTAAACATCTACACGAAGAGACCGTGTAGGTGACTGAAACATCTTCATTCCACTTGACCGTCCAGTTCCACCGATCATGCTTGATCCGTGGATTCAATGCCCAAAGACGAGGATTGTCAGCAGCCGGCTTGCAGGTTAGCGGCACACCCTGAGCCGGGCCCTCCTCTCAAGAAATTACTGGACAGCCTACGGAATGGGCCAGCAACCATCCAAGATGAAGACAACAAGGCCAGCTGGTGATCAAAAAACAACGTAAACCCGAAGGCCGAACCGCCTCATAGTTGAGGGTGCTGAGATGACAACCAACAAAAAAAAAAAACGCTCAGTCTTACACTCGTCCCAGCACATATAGATATTTCCGTCCAGCTATTGGAATCTTATACGCTGATGCAGATCCTCAGCCAGCCACAACCACCACCCCGCAATTATCCCTGCGCAGATCGTCACATCTGATGACTTCAGTCCTGCCAACAGCCCCATTCGGAACCATTGCAGCATCACTTTCACCGATCTTGCCCCGGTTGCTCAGCAGCCATCGGCAGCCGAACCATCCGCCGGCATCGTGCTGTTCTCGCGTCCGCGACATATACCGACTACCGTCAACGTAGCGATACCTGCGCTTTCAAGCCGACCGCGTCGCATGCTCAAAGCCGGCCAACAACATGCAAGTACGTCGCAGCGGTGCCGCACTAGGCCGTGTTTCCATGATTACACCGGCCAACAGCCTAACCAAACCAGAAGTTGAACATGGAGCGAAAGCTCCGTTGTTGTGCAGCGAGCGGCTAGGTCAGAGAATAATGCGGGTAACGAACTACGGTAGCAGTGGTGGTTTCGACGTCAGAATTATTATTATTAGAGCTGCGCTGGCGGTTTCAAACCTCTGTGGGACCCAAGCTTTAGGCTCGTTAGTAGCCGAGCCGATGTTTTGCAACTTAGGCGGTGCGGGAAGGAGTGTTGGGAACGGACGAACCGAGCCATCAGCTCGACCGCTGCCAATCACTCAGCCATCGTTCCGCGCCGGGGCCGCCGCGAGCGAGCATGCCACACTAGTGGAGCGTGACGGCACGTTGGAGCGCGACGGCACGATGGAGCACGACGGCACGTTGGACCTGCAGGTAGAGTGGATGGGTGGTCGACGAACGGCAAGAGTTTTCTGACGACAACAAAAGGTGGTGGTGGTAGTGGTGGGGCACTGGTCGTCGACACTACCCAGGTACTAAACCAACGGCACTGCCGACGCGCCATTATTATTGTCCGAACTGTCAGATTTCCGGGATTTTCCTCTTCCGGAGCGGAAAAGCTTAATGTGATTGCTTCTTGGGTGGTAAGCTAACGCCTTCTACATGGGCGAAGGCAGTTTCAGAAGAAAAGATAAACATTATTATTGGTAAATCGATCTGGTGACCAGCCGCCTCGGAAAGGGAAAAATCTGACGCGTGTCTCTCTTCGGGACTCCGTGCAGCATTATTGGTATGCAGGTGGCTGACAGCTCTGGCACGAATCAGCCAGATCTGACAACAGCGTCCCTTGAGACAAAAGGGATTTGCCACGGGTCCGTGCCGCGCCCAGTGTCGTATTACCTATTGCATGTAGGTGAGCATTGGGTGCAGGGACGCCCCTGCACGGCGGGCGGGGACGCTTCAGCCAATGCCGACGCGATCTCCGACGGACCAGGCGGCAACCTTGCCGGAAAAAGGAAACCCATGCATCGCTCTCCCGGGGCTAATTCCGACCGTCAGAGTGGGTGGGTCGAAGTGCCGGGTGCTGGAACAACGAGGCCGTCGGTGAGCACTGATGAGCAGTAGAAGCACTTGTTTGGTTGTTTTTGCGTCTTGAAAAAAGAGAGCCTTCATTGGGCCCTCTTGCCTTGTTCATTAAGTTTACAAGATGGGGGGAAAAATTTGCATGTACGACATCCTAAAAAAAAAAATCTCCTTTTGCGCCTTTGTTTGTAGCCAGCCACACCCCGGGGCAAAAAAAAATAATCATATCTTCTTGGTATCCAGATCGACAACCTTGACCAGCCTCTCGCTCCCTGCCGCCGCCTCGCCGTCGAAAAAGGGTCGCACGGCGACGTCGGCCACCTCCTCGAACAGGCCCTGGACCAGGCCCGACAGCTTGGTGCCGCACTCGGTCTGGTGCAGCATGTCGGGCGAGGCGCGGATGTCGGCCAGCATGGCCTTGCCGGCGGCGTCGACGGCGAAGTTGACGGCGAACAGCTCGAACGCCTGGGGCAGGGGCTGGAAGTGGGCGCTGATCTCGCGGGTGGAGGCGGCGGAGAAGACCTCGCCGGTGATGGCGCAGATCTGGGCGAAGACGGACTGCTTCCAGCCGGCGGGGCGGTCGGGCAGGTCCCAGAACAGGCGCACGTTGCCGTCGTAGGTCGAGTGGGCGGCCAGGTCGGCCGAGGCGCTGCTGTCCCACGGCGGGCTGAAGGGCTTGGCCGCGAAGAGGGCGAGCAGCGGGCGGTAGACGAAGACGCGCAGCGCGCCGACGGCCAGCACGTACGCGCTGACCTGGAACTTGCAGCCGTCGAAGGTGAGGGGGCGCGAGACGTAGCGCTGGGCCACGACGTGGCGCTTGGGCGCGACGACGTCCGTGTGCTCCTCGGTGGTGACGGTGATGTGGAACCACGAGCTCCACCCGCCCGACTGGCGGGCCTGGGCGTCGCAGTCGTCCTTGTCGTCGGCGCCGTCGCCGGCGGCGGCGGCCAGCGCCAGCGCCTTGGAGTCGTGGTCCGCGGCGGCTTGTTGGGCGTCGTCGGCTTGCTTCTTCTCCTGGGCGTGCTGCTGCTCCTGCTCGTACTGGGCGTCGAGGTCGTCAAAGGCGGCCTGCAGCTCGTCGACGGTGCTGAACAGGCGCAGGTCCTGCGAGCCGTCGCTGAGGTCGGGGCGCAGCATCCACCACACGCGCTCGGCGGCGTGCTTGTCCTCGTTGGCCTCGAGGATGCGGCCCAGCGGCGTGTTGTCCAGCACGTCGTAGATGGACTCGGCCGGGTTGATCTCGAGGTTGGCGATGGTCTTGACGTTGGTCTGCAGCAGGCAGCCCGGGTGCTTGGCCGTCCACGCCGCGTACGTCTGGCCCAGCAGGTGCTTCCGCGTCAGCGCGTCGCGCGTCACGTACGTGTTGATCAGCATGCGCGGCTGGTGGAACGCCTTGTCGAAGTCGAGCGCGTCCTTGGCCGCGATCTGCAGCAGCGGGCCGCCCGGATACTCGTCCAGGGAGCCGATGATGGTGTACGTGTGCGCCGGCAGCCGCGCCTTGAACGCCGCCACCACCAGCGGCTGCAGCTGCGGGTCCTCGTGCTTGACGAGGCAGTAGACCTGCTGCCGCCCGCCCGCGAGCGAGATGCGGCTTATGCTTTCCGTCATGACTTCGGACATTGTGGCCGAGGGGAGGGAGGGCGAGGGCGAGGGCGAGGACGAGGACGAGGACGAGGTGGGTGGAGGGTGGAGAGGAAGTAAGTAAGTAGGTACCAGCTCTTGCTCCGCGCCTCCGCCCGCGCTCCTTTATGTACCGCCGCCGTGGCGGGCAGAGGCAGCGCTCGCAGCGCCCAGGGATCCTCCATGTGCTACGGACGGGAGCGTCGTGGTCCGGTGCAGAGGTTGGACCCTGATCGCATCTGTGGCGGACAGGCCGGGGCGCGATCCCGGCAGCGCGAGTCGACCAGGGCGAGCGGGCCAGTGGGCGAGTGGGCGCGGGTTGACCCGTACGGAGAGGTCGCATGAAACACCGGCAGCGCGTGGCAGCCCCGGCGGGTGCGCGTCCACGGCGCGGAGCTTGACTTGGGCTCTTCCGACGTGGACGCTGCGGTGCCGGCGCGGATCGCAAGCAAGGGCCAGACCCGCGCGAGCGTCGGACGCCTGACGAGCAAGCCGTCCATGTCAGCGGGTGCTGCTGTGCTGCGCTAGTTCTCTAGAGCACCGCGGCCAGCAAAGGATTCCACTGCCTTGGCCCCTTTTGCATGCACCTCCGCCAAACCCCTTGTCCGTGGCTGCCCGCGGCGAGTAAATGAGAAGCCTGCTCGCCGCGACGAGGGACAAGAGGCCGCCGCCACCTGGCCAGCGGCTCCGCCCCGTTCGGCCGGGATGGTGTGACGGAGAGACGTAGGTAGATAACGTCGAGTCGTCGACCCTCTCCCCGCCATAAAGGGATCTGCAGCCCGGCGTGGATCTGGTCCCAACAGCTGCGACTAGGCCGTCGCCTAAGCGGCCGTCTGGAAGGCATTTCCCTTCGACGCCCGGCTGATTCATGCACAATCTCCGCACGCTATTATTCTCTAGCTGCCTCGCTTTCCTATCTGTGTGTGTCGAGCGAGTCGGCGGCAGATGGTCGGGGCGGCATTGGGACGCTTCACAGCATGACTTGCGAATTAAACAGGACCCGGCATGTGCGACACCTCTTCTGGTCATCTGCTTGGCATCTGCCGCCCCCGGGCTGCCCTTCCCATTGGCTGGCTTCTGTACGGCCTTCTCCACGGCCATACGTGCTCCCCGTCTGGCCTCGAGCATGGCAGCCCCGCTCGCCGGCAGCAGCTAGATTAAAAAAAGAAAAAAACTCTCCGGCAGCCCCGCTCGCCGGCAGCAGCTAGATTAAAAAAAGAAAAAAACTCTCCGGCAGCCCGAGGGTACATAGCTAGTACGTAGTGCTGCTAGTACTCGGCAGGGCCGATATCAGTCCCGCAAACGTCCGGAGCTTGCGCCGCTACCGTGAGGAAAAGAAAAAAGAAAAAAAAAAACAAAAGCAGACATATGTCTGTGGCTGGACCTTCTGCCTCCACAGCCTCCTTTGCACTGGCCCCCCCTTGGTCCTGCTGCTGCTGTCCCAATCTCAACGGACCCACTTCCGCCAGTCTCTTTCGCGCGGAAGGATCGCGAGCTCAATCGCCCTCGGAGCGTATCTCGGGCAGTTACATCCTTCGGCTGCCTCGTGGCGTGCAGTCTGGGGATTCGCACAGGCCGGCCCACGCGAACGCCACGCCGCCACTGCGCCACACAAACACTGCTTGTTCCCTGGCCCTGCTGTGTACTGCCTACCGCACTGCTAAGGCTTCGGCCATGGTCCAAATCAAGCTCGCTAGAGATTCAGGTGCGACTGAAATTCGTCCTGTGCTGCCAAGCCATCGCCCGATCAAGCAATGCCTTGATGCACCTCTAGCGAGCCCGGCCGTGCTCTGCCGCCAGATGGCTTCTTCTGCCGTCAAGTACGGATGACGTCCCAGTGACCAGAACACACGGGAAGGGCGGCACGGTGGGACTTGGAAGGATTCCTTCGGCGGCTTTTGGGCTGCACGTCGGACGGGAAGGCCGCAGCACACGCTGCTTTCGGACATGGTTGCATGCCGCCGCTACCGCGCTAACGCACCATCGATATCTGGAGACTGAGCAGTACAGAACAGCCAAAGAGACGGCGGCATTATTATTGCCTTGTTGTTCAACCGGCTGCTACCTACCTATCTAAAGTCTGGGCCCTCGGCCTCACCGCGACGACGACTTCTTCGCGTCGTCGAGCAGCTGCTTCGCCTTCTCCGACTTCTTGTTCAACACCTGCATGATCTCGTCGCCCGTCTCCTTGAGCAGCTGCTCGGCCTCCTTGCCGCGCTTCTGGCCCACCTCCTGCAACAGCTGCAGCTTGGGCAGCATCTGACTGCCGCCCGGCACCATGTTGACGTACTGCTCCAAGCCACCCATGCCCTTGGTCTTGACCTTGTCCACCTGCCGCTGAACCTGCTCCTCGAGCTTCTCCACGTCACTGTTGTTCTTGACCGTCTCCCACAGCTCGCTCACGTCGCCCTGCTTCAGCGCCTCGGCGTTGTTCTCCAGCAGCTCCTTCGCCTTGGGGTTCTTGTCGAGATACGGCTTCGCCTGCTCCAGCCCCTTGGTCCACGCCTCGTCGCCCGCCTTGCTCAGCCGCTTCTTCGTGTCCTCGATGAGCTTCTTGATCTTGTCCGGCGTGTCGCCGCCGACGCCGCCGCTCACGAGGTCGCGGATCTGGTCCCACGTCTCGTCGACCTGCTTCTTCGCCGCGGGGCCGTACTTGTCGGCCAGGCCGTTGAGCTGGTCGAAGCTGCCGCCGAGCTTCTCCTTCAGCTTCGGGTTCTGCTCGACGATGTCCTCGGCCGCCTCGCCCGCGAGCTTGCCGACGCGCGTGAGGTACTTCTGCAGCACCGCCCACGCCTTGGTGGCGCTCTCGACGCTCACGCTGCCCTTGTGCGCCACGTCCTGCAGCTCGCTCCACGCGTCGCGCACCAGCCGGTCCACCTCGTCGCCGTGCTTCTCGCGCACGCGGTCCAGCTGCTCGAAGGCGCCGTCGACGTAGCCCTTGGCGCCGGGCACGAAGGCGGCGTACGACGACGCGGCGTCGCGCAGGTACTTGATCGCCTCGTTGGGCTCCGGCGTGTTCGACTTGACCTTGTCCACGCCCGACTGCAGGTAGCTGCGCGTCTGGTTCGCCGTCTGCACCGCCGACTTTGCGCCCGAGAAGTGGTACCACGTGTAGCCGACGGCCAGGGCGGAGGCGGCGCCGGCGGCGGCGCCGGTGAGGGCGCCTGATCCACCGCCGCCACTGCCGGTGCTACCGGTGCTACCGGCGCTGCCGGTGCTGTTTGGGCCGGTGGGCGACGAGGTAGATTGGCAACGTGCATGGCGGGGAGCTCGGACTCGGAGAGCCTGGCGGCGCACGGTGGCGGCGTGGCCGGCGCGGGTTGCGGTTTGGAAGGAGCGCATGGTGGCGGGGTGATGATGGGATGAAGGAATTGGAGATTGGCTTGGTGGAGATGAGAGGGTTGGTGGAGGATGTGGGCGGGAGGAGCGGAGGAGCGTTGGACGTTGACTTTAGCAGAGCGTGGTTTGTTTGTTTGGCGCATCATCATCATTACGTGTGGTAGGCGCAGCGCAGCCGGAGCCGCTACCGCACCTGCCCGACAAGCCCTGAAACGGCAGGAATGACGTCAGGGGTAACACCGCTGACCCTTCGCCGCCCCTGCTTTGGTTTATCCGCGGTAACGGTGATGCAACTCTCGAGCCTCGACGAGCTGAAAGCCGGCAGTTAGCCTGCCCCACTTCGAGGAGAAAGCGTTTGTCATGGTCGGGGCGATGGACGGAGCTGGCTGTAGGTCTGCGCTAACCGGTAGCTCCCCCACAATCCATTTCCTCCACCAAAACACCAACAATCACGGAAATACCATGGCCCTATTTCCGGGTGAAATTAGCAGTGGAGCAGGACAGCGCTGCCGATACCTTCACAACTCACACCACATTATTTTCCAATCAGATTAACTGATCAGTTTCGTAGCGCCGAATCTCGAGAGTGGAGTGCAGTTACGAATACAATCAGCTGGGCCATGAGCAGCCTCGTTGTCACACAGTCTCCTTCCACGAGTACACCGCACAGCAGCTCTTCGTCTTGCCGCCCTTCCTGCACGTCGTCTTCCGCGCATGATACCTCTTCCCGTCCACGTCGATGAATCCCCACACTCCATCGAGGACACAGGCCCCCTTGTCCATGGTGGCCTGCAGCACGAGATTCTTGGGTCCCTTTTTTTCCGCTTCGGCATAAACCCAGCCTTCGCGCAAGTACTCGTCGTCGACATCGGTCAAGTCACTCCACCGGCTGGATTCCACCACCTCCCCGAATTCCGCAATCTCCCTGGTGCGCGCGATGCCGTCGACGACGTAGCTGCTGACCTGGCCTTTGAACCCGCCCGTCACCGTGGGCGTGACGTCTACGTGCGTGACCTGCTTCTCGTCGACGTATTGCCTGTAGGTTTCCGTGACCGAGATGATTGCCAGAGTCTGTCAACAAGTCAAAGCAACATGAGTAACAATTTTTCCTTCTCTCCGTCCACGAGTCGTGACGAAAACTCACTTTGACCTTCACCCAGCTCAGCCCTTGCAAGGCCATGACGTCGTCCATGCCCGTGGAGAGCTTGCGCTCAAGCACCCATTTCCCGGACAAGTTGCTGATCGTTTTCTCTGGAGGTGCCGCCATTGTGTTGTGCTGAGAGCATGAAATGTTGCCAGACGGATGCTGGCTCCATTTTAATCGTGGTCCGGAATGCGCCACCATGTTTGAAGAATGCATGGCAGCCAACACGACATGTTCCTGTGCAAAGTCGCCGCGGATGCTGTCGAGACCTGGAAGTCGATGTCGTTATTGGACCTTTCAAACCGACTTTTAGTGCGGAGCAATTCGCTATTCTGGACTCATGATATCCTGCACGAGGTCGACGCAGGGAGTAAAGAGTCGGGGTCCGGGCGGAGAAGTTTGGCCATCCATTCCCCATTGACTGATTGGGAGTCGATCGCCCTTGTGCATGCTGCATCGATAAAATGCTCGTACTCGGGTGAGGCACTACCGAGTCAGCCCGCATTCCGGAGAGAGAAAAGGAGGATGGGATGGCATCAGTGCTCCAATATGCAAGGGAGTTTGTTTGCCCTCTTTGTCACTTTGCGAGTATGTCTTGAACTACCAGTGGAGAGATTCATGACAGACAGATCAATCTCGCCTCACGGCGTCGACACGGCCATCCTGTATTCGGTAGACGACCCTGTTGGAAAGCTTGGCCGACGACCCATGGCAGATTACATCCGCGTCTGCCATCCATGGTCGAAGTTGATGAGGAAGCTCCAGTCAGCCGGGCTGGTGAGTGGACTCGTCTGAAGTTGAAGGGAAACGGGAGAGTTCCAATGGAGACAACGGTCGTTGCGGACCCGCTGGCTCGAGGGGGTCAAGGGCTTGTGATGGCGGGAAGTGATGATGAGGCGTAGGTGTACCATAGTAAAACGACTCCAATATGTAGGTACGCGCGTCCGGGGAGCTGGGGATCTGCGAGATCTGCGGCTCGATCGACGCGTCGATGCCGACCGAGGACGGGCTGGCGCCCGCAGCTGCCGGCGATGGATCGATCAGCACAGTACGGGCCGCCGCCGACGCGGACGGTCGATCTTTCCCTGGCACCGCGGGGGGACCACCGCACGGCGATCGGCTGGGCCGGCGTCGCGGCGGCGGCGCACGGCTGGATTGACGGTGGAGCCGCGCGGCGGCGGCGACGGTGTCCGCGAGCCGTCCCGAGCAACGGCTGGCCGTCTCGTCGATCGACTGGGACGCGGTGCCGGCGGGGTTCGACGAGGGTGGTGGAGGTGCGGGTCGAGTTTGACACGAGCCCGTTCCTGCATCAGGCTGAGGACATGCGCGTGCCGGTCCGGAAGCGCGGCACCGTCGTGCCAGGGGATCCTGGATATCCGCGGCTTCCCGGAAACGGGCACCGGAGGCGGGCGTGATTGCCGTCGAAGCGCCCCACTTCCAGCGATCGTCGTTGTCGGCGGCAGCAGCTCAGGACGTTGGCTTCACCCGGTCATCCCGCACCTCGGCACCCGCGGCGCATCCGTCCGGCTCCGTCGCGCTAGGTCCGGCCGTTCCGCGACGCTCGCCGCTATTTTGAACCCTCTAGCCCACGACGACATCTACCTGCTCGACTGCTCCTCCGCGCTCAACGCCACGCTTTACATCAACGCCGCGCTCGACACCGATCCCCGGCTGCCCATGCAGTATTCGCTCGCGCTGGACTCCGCCGAGGCCAGCTTCACCCGCCTGCTCGAGGACCCGGATACTGCGGGGGATCTGCCGCCGGGTTGGACGCAGGCGGTGGCCGATCAGGTGTGGATAGGGACGGTAGCACTTGGCCCGACGGGTGAGGAGCGCTATTCGCTGAGGTCAAGGCCCAATTCGCCCGAGGTGTATCTTGAGAAGATCGTGCTGGAGACCCAAGGGAGTGTTGGACAGCAGGTGTATCTTGGTCCGCCAGAAATCGCGAGCCCGACTTTAAGCTGGACGCCGGAGACGAGCGACCGGGCGGAGTGGTCCTGGGTACCAAATCCTCGACGACACACAAGGGTGCTGATCTCGATGCTTTTAGTCAATAATACGAAGTCTGTCGGAGCCATGTCAGCTTCCTGCAGAGGTTCGACGTCGTTACCACAGCCACACCAGCCCGCGACCAGATGTTATTGTTTGTTTCCATTGAAGATAATAAAGACTGCAGTACCGTTACCTAGTAGGTACTATCCACAAGACGCAAGGGAAAAAAATCCGTAAGGAAGGGTATAGGTAAAGTATCATCGTAACTTTTTGATTCTGTTGTTCATTACTTCCTGCCGTGCCCCAGCTCCTCGTCGCTCACGGTATAATCCACCGTCTTTGTGATGTGGAACTGGCCGTGACCCCCCTGTCCCGGCGAGCCGCCATCTCTCAGGATCTGCCGCTGGTCCGATTCGACGCTGATGCCGTCTTCGCTGGCGGCTTTGGGCCTGATTGTTTCGAGCACGAAGGTCGAGTTGCCCGTGGTCTTCGACTCCGCGCTGCCGTCGAAGACGTCGGGCTCGGGGATCCGGGACGCGCGCGAGTGCCGCGATCCGTACTTGGCGTACTTCTGGTTGGTGCCGTAGCGGGAGGTGCCGGTGCCGGTGCCGATGTGCACGCCGAACCAGCGGCTGAGGATGCCTTCGAATGACGCTTTGAGCGGGGGCAGACTGGCTGCCCAGAGGCCGCAGTTCATTTCGACGCTGCGAGCCGTGTGAGTAAGAGAAGCTGACGCCAGCGGTAGCATTTGGCTTCTTACCTGACCCAAATGCTCAGCTCGACGCCGTCCAAGGTGGGATTCGTTGTTTTCATCAAGTCCGGGAGCTTGGTGATTTTCACGATGCCGCTGATCGTGGCGCTGCGACATGTGAGTACAAGGACTTGAGGGGACACCCGGGCTGGCCTACACTAAGCCGATCAGGAACACGCCTCTCAGCGCCCATCGGTTGTACATGGACAGCTTCAGCTTTGTAAGGCACACCAGCAGCCCGAAAGTGAGGAGAAGGTCGGTAAGAATATTGCCGGCTGAGACACGGTCAGTCTTGGTTGCTCCATCAGGAAGGAGAAGCTGAGGCTTACAGGATTGCAGGTATGCAAGCGACACGTTGACCTGGGTCGGCCAGCAGGTGCCGGGGATGCTCATGTTCCAGATCTTTTCCATGGGGGTGCAGCTCTTGAAGCAGCCCACCAGCACGTTCAGGTTGACCAGCACCGAGAGGGCCATGGTGAACCAGACGACGATGGTGAAGGTCCTGGCCAGCTGGATGCGGAGCATGGAAAAGCCGATGCTCATCTTCATGGTGCCCATGGCCACGCCGTTGGTGAGGATGCCGAAGTTGGAGAACTTCATGGCTTCGGGGATCTGCGCTGGAGGGATCGTCATGATCGACCTCCCGTATCCGTTGGTCGTGCTGGCGACGCCAAGGGAGGTGGTTGCTATGGTCGCGGCCTGCGAGGCGCGTGAGCATGCTGTTGCCGGGATGCGAGGAGAAGAAGCTCAAGACTTACCCAGGCCACGATGATGAAGCCATCGTCCCAGCCAAAGGCCTTGGTCCTGAAGATGCGCGTCCAAAGCCTGGCGACGACGAAGATGGAAGCGAAAACGGTAAGGGAAACGGCAACTGCGACGAACTCGGGCCCCCGGTCGCGGGTGTCTACGGCGGTCGCGGCGGTTGGGTCGCTCATGGCTCACGGATCGCGGATCCTGGGGCTGTTCGGGGAAGATCCAGAGTCGAGGACAAAGGCTCAATCAGCCGGAGACTGGAAGGGCATAAGTAAAGCGGGCTCAGGCGACGGGGCTGTCCATCTGCCGGCACGAGGGGCTGCATCTGGGCACATCCGCCCCGAGGCACTCTGGCTCTGAGAGCTTTTACATGTAGCCGACGAGATGACCATGTTTGGGGCTAAGGTGGACCGCCTCTCGCCGTTCACCGGGGGCCCAACCACTACGCGATTCAGCACGGGACACAACGGTCGTAGCACGCCAAGCGACGGTACAGCTGCTATTTCAATACGAACCGCGGCACCCCGACTCATTTCTGCTCGCTGCCGGAGGTTTCAGCGGCGCATGCCTCAGGTGAAGCTGCATCTGCACGGTGCCCCGGAGAATTTTGGGCGCACGGCGTTTGGCCATCACGCAGAGGCCCGCCCCACGCATCAGTGCTGCTGGCCGTGGGCAAAGGTAACGGCCGTTATCCGGGGTCGGCAAATGCCACGCTAATTGCCTGCTTACTTTGCTAGAAGACGCCACGGGCGGCCTGTCACGTCTGGAGTATAGTGCGCTACACTGCTTTCTCCATTGGCCGACGCCGCCGTCGCCACAATGGCGAGAGCTGTGTATTGTTTACCCGATGCGAGCAGCCTCTTCCGGCTAGGCTATCGTGCATGATGGCCGTCTTCTGGAAGCCGCGGAGCATCGAACGTCTCGCGTGCTATTGGCGTGCCACCTGGGCACACATGCAACGGGTGGCCCTGGCGTCAGGCCTCCTCTCGCGTATCGCCCCAGAGCTTGTTGATACGAAGCTCCAACTACCACCAAACATAGCCATCTTCTCGAGTAAGTCTTCAGTGGTGGCTGCCTGGAGCCGTGGACAGCGTCGTTCCCGCCGGCTTGTTCCAATGCCCCTTATCATCGACATTCCGCAATTGGCAGCCTCATGTGCTCGCACCATACGTCAACCGCCTCGCCGTGGCTACGGCTGCGCCCGCTTTCGGACCTATTTCCGGAAAAGGCCGCCCGTGACTCGCTCCGCCGCTACTCACACCAAGCGACCCCGAGGAGAGGCCAGTCGCTCTACTACCTGCCCCTTCATCAATTCGACTCGCTCGCATGGCGAATGCCGCCGGTGCTGCTGTTCGACTGGTGACAATCACCGTCGATGCATTTTCGGGCCAGCCGGGAGCCGGCACTTGATTTCGTATATATCAGCTTGGAAGCCTGGCTCAGGAATCCTTTCATCCCCTGTCTCGCAGTCGTGTCGCTCGTTTGAAACCCCTGCTGGTCTTCACCATGGTTCACTCTCTTTCACTCCCCATCCACTCCTTCTGGGGCAAGATCGTCACCGTCGCCGGTGTTGCTTCAGTCGCTGTTGCTGCTCCCGTCACCGGCTCTGTCGACGGCAAGACCTATGATTACATCATCGTCGGCGGCGGTCTCAGTGGCCTGGTGGTTGCCAACCGTCTGAGCGAGAAGTCGTCTGGTAAGATTCCGCCATGGCTTGCGCCTCGGCCGCCACCATACTAACCCAGACGTGCAGCCTCCGTCCTTGTCATCGAGTATGGCCCTGTCGACAGGAGCAACAAGACAACGGTGCCTTACCTTGGTACCTCGACCAACGCCGCCGGCATGTTCAACATCACCTCGGCCCCGGAGCCGTTCCTTGGCAACTCGACCTTTGCCGTCATGGCCGGCTCCATTGCCGGAGGCGGGTCGTCGGTCAACGGCATGGTCTGCGGAAGAGCCTCTGCGGCTGATTACGATTCTTGGGAGCAGCTCGGAAACGAGGGCTGGGGCTGGGACGGCCTTCTCCCGTACTTCAAGAAGGTATGTGTCGCGCGCTACAAACACGCACCGCGGTTTATGCTAAACTACTTTGTCAGGGAACAACCCTCGGCGCTCCGTCTGCTGACGAGGCCAAGGAGCTCGGATACACGTGGGACCCCTCTTACTACGGCAAGGGTCCCCTGCAGGTTGGCTACCCCGACTTCCAGTACCCCGACATGTACACCTTCTTCAGCGGCTTCGAAGAGCTCGGCGTGACGTTCCAGAAGGAACAGGGCGCCGGCAACAACACCGGCCTGGTCTGGTCTCCGAGCGCGCTCGACACGAAGACCATGACTCGGTCCTCGTCCCTGACGGCCTACTACGACACGGCGTCCAGCCGCAAGAACCTCAACCTGCTCTCCGAGCACCAGGTCACTCAGGTCATCCTCTCCTCGGACCTGACGGCCGAGGGCGTCAAGGTCACCAACCGTGCCGACGGTAGCGTCTCGACCATCTACGCGAAGAAGGAGGTCATCCTCGCGGCGGGTGCCATCCACACGCCGCAGCTGCTCCAGCTGAGCGGCATCGGGCCCAAGGCGGTGCTCAAGGCCGCCGGCGTCAAGGTGAAGCTCGACCTCGCGGCCGTCGGCAGCAACTTCCAGGACCACCCCGTCGCCTACTCGATGTGGAGCCTGAACCAGACCTTCCCCAACGCGGGCTCCCTGGCCAGCAACGCGACCTACAACGAGGAGTCGCTGCAAGCCTACCTCGTCAACAAGTCGGGCCCGTACACGCGCGCCCAGGGCAACAGCGTCGCCTTCCTGCCGCTGCACACCGTCACCGACGCCGGCTCGACGCTCGTCGCGGACCTCAAGGCCCAGGTCCCGACCGAGCACCTCCCCTCCATCTACACCGACTCAGCACTCCAAAAGGGCTTCAAGGCGCAGCGCGACATCCTGGCGGCGCAGCTGCTCGCCGGCAGCGTCGCGGCCATCGAGTTCCCCTTCTCGGGCGCGGGCTTCGTGCCCAACGCGGTGCAGAAGCCGCTCAGCCGCGGCACCGTCTACCTCAACGCCTCGGACCCGACCGGCGAGCCCGTCGTGTCGCACCAGGCCTTCGCCAACCCCTTCGACCGCGCCCAGGTCTTCGCCGGCTTCCAGTTCACCCGCAAGTTCTTCGCCAGCGACGCCGTGTCGTCCGCCATGACGCCGGCCGAGGCGGCGCCCGGCGCCGCCGTCGACACCGAGGACGCCTTCTTCGCCGCCATGACCGCCGCCGGCTTGATGAGCCCGACCTTCGCCCACGCCAGCGGCTCGTGCCCGATGATGCCGCGCAAGTCGGGCGGCTGCGTCGGCGCCGACCTGCTCGTGTACGGCGCGAAGAAGCTGAGCGTCGTCGATGCGTCCATCATGCCCATCATCCCGTCCAACCATCTGCAGGCCTCGGTCTACGCCGTGGCTGAGAAGGCGGCCGATCTCATCAAGGCGAGGGCGTAAGTGGGTGATGATCTTGAAAGAAACATTTTCTGGCTCTAATAATGCCGCCTTCGATTACATATTTGTATAAAAGTATAACTTTTTGTTTATATACCTATTAGCGCAATAGATTTTGATCAATCTTAAATGTGAATGGCCCTTGAACTGTGTTTGCATTGTTGTACGTTGTGAATATGTTTGTTCGACGGTTCGTTGTTGAGCGCGACGGCTCGATCTTCACGGCTCTCTAGCGTTTCGTGGGGGCGTCTCCGACCCTAATAACATTCCCGGGCCGCATCGAAACTCGGAAATGTATACGTGGGGTGATATCACCCATTCTCGTGCTATTGTAGCTTAAACTACGATAAAGGTACGCTAATGGTAAGACTTACGCTTTCTTTCCACATACACTTTCCTAATCGGGCGATGATTTGTGCGTTGATCGTGAAGATCAGGATCGCCCACATTCCAAACATTAAGGACAAGCCAAGTATATACCGTACTCCTTTTGAAGAATGAGACCTGAGTACTCAAGAAGGAATCAGTTCACAATTCACGAAGGTGTTGGGTCACGTGCTATCATGTATGTAGTACAAGCAGATTAGTCATTTTTCGGGATATATGAGACACTCCCGGGGGGGCAGGCCCTCCTGACTCTCATGCAACAATCAACACTCATTCGATCCTCAAAAGATCAACAAGAAGGAATCATATCACAATTTACAAAGGCGAAACCCAAGATGGCATCCGACGCAGCAAACGGTGCACCATATCCGAAGACGACTGTACTTATCCTAGGCGCAGGCGTGTCCGGTATTGCCGCTGCAAAAGCGCTGTCGGAAAGATCGATTTCCAATTTCATCATCGTTGGTAGGCCAGCCCTTCCTCTCTCAACAAGACAACACTGACTCTTGACCATGGCGACAGATCGAAACGACTACATTGGCGGCCGCATGCGCAAATCCGAATTCGGAAAGGAACGAGATGGAAGAGCGCCGTGGACAGTGGAAATGGGCGCCAATTGGGTGCAGGGCCTGCATACCCGAGAAGGCAAAGAAAACCCCGTGTGGTCTCTCGCCAAGAAGCACAAGCTGCAAACCTCCCCCTTTGACTTCTTCAGAGGCAAGGCTTACACGAGGGGCGGACCGATAGACGTTAAGAGTCTGGACGACAAGTATCTCCAGGCGGAACAGACTGCCAGAGCCTTTGCACTGGATACCCTCAGGGCCGGGGGGCCGGACATGAACGTGCGCGCCGCGCTGGGGGAGTACGGTTGGACCGCTGCTCCTGGGGATGCAAAAGCAGCCCTTATCGACTGGTGCCGCGTGGACTGGGAGACTGGGGTTCCGCCTGAGCAGACCAGCTCTTTGGACTTCTACACACACTTTGAGCGGTACGAGAAGGACGAAGAGCTGATTGCGTCCGAGTCCAACAACCGCTTTGCTCACGACGAGCGCGGCTTCGGCGTCTGGCTGCAGAACGAGGCTTCCGAGTTCTTGAAAAAGGACAATTCTCAACTGAGGCTCAACGCGGTGGTGGAGTCTGTATGTTACGGAGATACAGGCGTGACGGCTACGTTCGAGGATGGGAGCACCATCTCTGCCGACTACGCCATCTGCACGTTTTCGATTGGGTAAGAAGATCATGGCGTGGGAAACCTCTCCACTGACTGTTTGCCAGGGTTCTTCAACACGACCTTGTCGCTTTCCATCCTCCATTCCCTGCGTGGAAGCGCAGCTCCATCCAGGCTTTCACCATGGGGACCTACACTAAGCTCTTCCTACAATTCCCATCCGACATCTCCTCCTGGTGGCCTGACGACAGCGACCTCATCCTCTACGCCGACCCGTTCGAGCGCGGCAAGTTCCCCGTCTGGCAATCGCTCAACCACAACTTCCCCGGCTCCAACATTGTCTTCACCACAGCCACGGCGCCCCTGTCCTACAGGCTCGAGGCTCAATCGGACTCGGAGACGCTCGCCGAGGTGATGAGCGTCTTGCGCTCAATGTTCCCCGACAAGGAAATCCCCAACCCGTGTGACTTCACGTATCCGCGCTGGAGCTTGGATCCGTCAAGCATGGGCAGCTATTCGAACTGGCCGCCGGCGTTTACGGTGCGTCAACATCGAAACGTATGCCAGGAGCTGGGCAGACTTTTCTTTGCCGGCGAGGCCTGTTCGGCCGAGTTCAACGGTTTTTTGCATGGCGCGTGGCACAGCGGCGACGACGTCGGCCGACATGTCAGGAGGTTGGTCAAGAAGGAGCAGAATCGACGTGGCGCATCGAGCAGAGTGAATGAGTCACTCTCGGCGGTCTCTGACACCCGGCACACCCTTCGATTGAGGCCGCACCTCTAAAGCCTGTGTTGCAGAACATTCATTTCTCATTCCATGCCCATATGTCATTGACCAATCGGATTCACGGAAGGTTTCGGAAATTCCAGTCAGCATTGTCAGTTCTTTGCCGCAGCGGACGTCGCTCTTGGCCACCAGTATGCCGAGCACAAGCAATTAAAAAAAGATACTACACTACAAATGCACATCGCACGTCACATCCGATAGTAGTAGCTGCGACGAGAACATTCATGTCACTTCTACATCGTTCCGTCGCCTTGGCAAGGCCAGCGTAAGCTGACGAGCTGCTGCCTGCTTAGCGTGTACCACAAGCGCAGCCACCAACTATAAAGGTATACACCACCTCCGCGCAGCTGAACCGACATCAGTCAATCATAGGTTCCCGAGCGAGGAATCAGAACCCCAAAAAAAAAAAAAAAAGCTCAATCGACATCAACCCTCCTCCAACCCTCCCCCACTACCTCCAATTCCAACCCCCCCTCAAACCACCACCACCATCATGCCCCCAACCCACACCGGCGGCTGCGAATGCGGCGCCGTCAGATACGCCTTCGCCAGCGCCCCCGTCCACGTCTCCCTCTGCCACTGCGCCTCCTGCAAGCGCAGCACCGGCTCCACGCACACGCACACGCTCATCATCCCCGCCGCGTCTTTTACCCCCAACACGACCGCGAACACGAACACGACCAACACCGACAGTAACAACGACACCAACCACACCGCCAAAATCTACACTCGCACCAGCGACTCCGGCCGCGAGGTACGCAGCCACTTCTGCGGCGCGTGCGGGACGACCATGTGGGCGGAGAGCGATGTGGGCGCGGCCGCTGGGGGCGCGGCCGCGGGCGGGACGGACGGCGGTGGCGGCGTGCTGGCGGTGCGGGCGGGGACGCTGGACGACTTGGGGCTGAACGAGAAGGAGGGGTGGCGGCCGGGGACGGAGCTGTACTGTCGGGACAGGTATGGGTGGATGCGGGAGGTTGGGGGAGCGAGGGCGTTTGAGGGGATGATGGAGGGAGAGGGGGATTTGGTGAGGGAGGCGTTGAGTTCTGGAGGAAAGAAGGGCGGCAGCGATTCGGAGTGAGGAAGAGAGGGGGGGGTTGGGGTCTTTTTTCTGTTATGCCGGATTCGGTGGTGGATGGATGGATGGATGGATGGATGTACCCGCTCCGTACTGCTTTCAATGACGATCATCTTTATTCACATTCACGCCCACCATCACCACCTCCGTCTCCTTCTTTCTCTACTGCTTATACAACCGATTAAACACCCTCCCAATCAACATCCTCCTCACCTCGCTCGTGCCCGCCCCAATCTCGTACAGCTTCGCGTCACGCAGATACCTCCCGGCCGGCACCTCGTTCATGTAGCCCATGCCGCCCATCAGCTGGATGCCGTCCAAGGCGCACTCGCTCGCGCGCTCGGCGGCGTACAGGATGGCGCCGGCGCAGTCCTGGGTGGGGATGATCCACTCGCCCCCGGCGATCTGGGCGTGGTGGTTGTCGACGGCGCGGGCGACGGCGTGGGTGTAGGCGCGCGAGGCCTGGAGCTTGGTGTGCATGTCGGCGAGCTTGCCCTGGACGAGCTGGTTGTGGGCGATGGGTTGGTTGAACTGGGTGCGGGTGTGGGTGTAGGGGAGGACGAGGTCGAGGACGGATTGCATGATGCTGTCTCTGTCAGATTCGCATGTCTTTGATAGATTCGTCTTCAACACACCCGAGAGGACCGGCGCTGAGGACCAGGCGCTCCAGGTCGAGGCCTTCCATCAGGACGCGCACGCCCTTGTCGACCTGGCCCAGGACGTTCTCGTCGGGCACGAAGACATCTTCAAAGGCCAGCTCGCCCGTGTTGGAGCCGCGCATGCCCAGCTTGTCCAGCTTGCGGGCGCAGGAGAAGCCGTCGGCGGTGGTGTCGACGATGAAGGCGGTGATGCCCTTGGAGGCCAGGTCGGGCGACGTCTTGGCGTAGACGACGATGTAGTCGGCGTCGGGCCCGTTGGTGATCCACATCTTGGTGCCGTTGAGCAGGTAGCCGCCGTCGACGCGCTTGGCCGTGCTCTTCATGCTGACGACGTCGCTGCCGGCCGAGTGCTCGCTCATGGCCAGCCCGCCGATCTTCTCGCCCGACACCAGCCCCGGCAGGTACTTTTGCTTCTGCGCCTCGGACCCGTTGAGCATCAGCTGGTTGACGCACAGCTGCGAGTGCGCCGCGTACGAGAGGCCGATGCTGCCCGACGCCCGGCTAATCTCCTCCATGACCACGCAGTGCGCCTGGTACCCCATGGACAAGCCCCCGTACGCCTCGTCCGCCGTTATGCCCAGGAAGCCGGCCTCGCCCAGCTTCGGCCACATGTCGTTGGGGAACGCATTCTCGTGGTCTGTCCGCTGCGCGACCTCCTCGGGGATGTCTCGTCCTGGCAACCCCGGCAGGATTAGCTTCTATTTATTGTAACAGGTCAGGATTAGGGGAGAGGGACGGGCAGAGGAGAGAAAATGCGAGGCAGGGACCTACGCGTAAACTCCTGCACCCGCTCCCGCAGCTCCTCCAAGTCTTCGTCGGTCGGCGGCGTGAAGCCGGAAGGGTGCTTGGCCGTGGACAGGGCTGCGCGCTGCACGAGCGGGGCGACGCGCGTGGGTAACCGCGGGCGGGTGACGCGGCGGGCGCTATGGGCGAGGAGAGCTCGGGGAGTCAGGAGGGAGGCCATTGTGTCTGTATGCCAGCAAGACAGAGAAAGGGAGAGAGGAGAGAGAGGTGTGTGTGGGGAGTTGGTTATTCGAGAGCTGCTGTGCCGCCGGCAACCTTACCCCGGTTGATCCCCCGCAGGGTTCGGGGGTCCCTGAGCCGAGAGTAGCCGCCACGACATGCTCTTTTAGGAAAGTGCATACAGCATGCACCATTCGAGCCTCTGTCCCGTATTATTCTAAATCGGTGGAATTGCAAGTAAAGGCTGGAAGGCTCAGAGGACGGCTTGCTTGAGACAACCATCCAGCAATGAATCGCCGAGAGGCTACATGACGTCATCCTGTTCCCCCATAAGCAATTGTCTGCTGTTTGAAGCTCGTTCTGCTCGATTGCTTTCCGTGTCAATCCTTTACATTTGTGGGGCTTCGGAGGAAGACATTTCAGGTATTTCACCGTAAAAGTAGCACCACAGTACCATGTCGAGTGATGTTCTCAGTTACCATGTCCCTGTATAATAGAGCCTATAAAGTGAATCAACGAAATATACTCTAAGGAAGAAAAGTATAAGAATGCAGTCACGCTCTCGCAACCATGCCTTCGAGCAGTAGGAAATCAGTAGCACGCGCCCACCGAGGAAGCCGTGTGCCTTTATCAACGCCGACACCATCCGACCCCGTCCGAAAATACACCAGAAGAGAATAGAAAATAAAAATAAAGGGACGGAAAGGAAACCTAAACAGACACAGCAGGAAGCCTGGCCCCATCATACTCCCCCATATCCGGCCCGACCTCGTACTCAGGCCGATCCTTTGGCTCCAGCGAGTCCGGGCGAATATACCGGCACGTCAGAGCGAAGCGAAGCTTTCCGACAGGCTCGACCTTGTGCTATCCCACAAATCAGCAGCAGGAAACCAACCGCAATCTCACCAAAGGAGACTTACCTCGTAGTACTGCTGCATCTTCGCTCCGTGCATGACGACTATATCCCCATGCCTCAGATGCATCTCAAGCAGCTCCTTCGCCTTCCCCTTTTTCTTCAACTCCAATTCAGCCGGCAGCGCCTTCAACCGCTCCCTGTACGCGGCTGCATCCCCCTCCCTCTTCAACTGCTCCAGCTGCGCGTGCGCCGACAGCCGCTCCTCGAACTTGTTGCACCCCTGTATGGGCGGGATATCGACATAAGTCCTCGTATCGGTCGTGCCCTTCTTTTCGGTCACGCCGAAGTGATGCTTCTCCTTCATGCGGATGCTCATCGTCGCCGGCGCGCCGATGGACAGCGTCGCGATGGTGGGGCCGAGGCCCTTCTCGCCGTCGTCGTGGTAGCTGATCTTCTGCTTCTCAAAGTACCCGAGGGCGAGGAGCTCGTTGAACTCTGCCTCTCTGCTGTGCACGTCGGCGCCCACGCAGTGGCGCGCCGCCCAGTTGAGCCGGGACCGCGTCGCCGTGATGGGCCGCGGGGCGGAGCTGAAGGGTTGGCTGGCCGTCGCCACGGCGAATTTGTAGGGCATGCCGTAGTTCATGAGGAAGTGCTGCGTCAGCGTTTGGCCTTTGAGGCTGGTGGTGGCGAGCGGGCGCCGGCGGAGGCCCAGATCGCTGGCCTGGAGCTCCGTCCACATGTCGTCGGGTCCGCCCGCTTCCTCGTTGATCGCCTTGTTCGCAATGAAGTGTGCGATGAACCCATCCACGCCCGGGATCGTGAAGTAGTTGATTCGGTAGTTGTGGACAAGCTCCATACGTAGGGCGAGGTTTCCTGGGTTTTTATCCTTTGAAATCGTGTAGCCGTATGAGATGGGTCTGTACGGGTCGTGCAGGGCATTGGCTGGAATGTTTGCGTGAGGCAGCCTGTATGAGAAGTCGCAATCCGGGTTGCCGCAGTACCAGCCCTCCCAGGCTTCTCTTGAATTGCAGCGGCCGCACTGAGGACACACCAAGCCTTTAGCTGCAGCCCATGACACATCGTCTCCCAGCATCGGTGTTGGGCCCAGTGTGAGGTGGTCCGGTCGCAACGGCTGCGGAGCGCTGGCGTGTGGCCAGTCAGTCTTCTGCTTCAGGAACCGAGGATCGTATAATAAACCGGCTTCCTGTGGCTCATGCCCGGACTCAAGCTTCCAGAACCGAGGGCAATCTGGATGCAGACACATCCACCCCTGTAGGTAGACCTGTTCGCTCTTTTTCTCACATTGTAGACAAGTATGAACGTGAGGCGGTGCCTGTTCTCCAACTCTCGTTGGTTCCGGACCGGTCGAAGAAGCCCACCAGCTCTGTTTATCCAAGCGCAACTTCTCAAACCGGTAGCGGATGTTGACCATGCCGTTGAATTTCTCGGCCCAAATGTGTGTTGGCTTGAACCAGTCCAGAACGGTGTAGACACGGGGGACTCTCGAGGGGCATTGCGAGTTTCCTTCGCCGGCGAGGATGGCCACCGGGTTGTATTGGTGAATGCTATTCCTCACACTCTCGACCTGCTTGGTTTCAGACTGGTCAACATGGCGTGCCATCTTTCCGGTGACATGATCCTTGGTCAAGCCTCCACCTGAGCGTGCGATGACCACCTCTGAATCCATATAGTCACGGCAGGATCCTTCCTTATCAAACATGAAGGAGTATGCCAAGCCGTCCGCACAGTAGCCGGCGCTCTGGTATCCCCGGAAATAGGGCAGAGACTCGCAGAGGGCCTGGCGGCCATCAGCCCAGACCTCTGGCTGACCAACGGGGGGTGGCTTGGCGTCGATTGGGCATCCACTGAGGTGCATGAGTTGCCTCGAAACATGGGCCAATGGCTCCAAGTCTTGGGGAATCGGATCGGGAGCAGCTTGACGACCGTTTTCTTCAGTCTGAGACTCCGTGGCTGGCCCGATGAGACTGTCTGTCTCTTTGGGCCAGCGGCGTTTACGACTCAATTTGGTGGGGGTCTTCTCAGACACTTGGGAGGTAGGGTCGACATCCATGGCGCCATCTGTAGGAGTGAAGGTTTCGCATTTGGTGACGACGAGAGTGGGGCTGGGAGCATCCCGAAGCTGGGCTTCGGACTTTGGGCTCGAAGGTAGTGAGGTCAAGGGGCCCTGCGCCTCTTGTGTCCTGATTGGTTCCGGAGCAGAGGCAGTCGGCAGCGATGGGGATGTAGGCTCACCAGAGCTCGGCCTTGTAACAAGCTCCTGGAGCTTCTTGCCATCAAGCTTTAGCACAATTGTCGATGACCTCCTTCTTGTCCTCTTGTTAGCTTCAGTGGTAGTATTTTCCAAAACCTTCAGCGAAGGCTTGCGAGTTCTTTGTGGCCGAGCGATGGGTGCATCGACCTTCCTTTTCTTGGGGGACCTCTTTTCTGCCTCACTCCAATCACTGACATCCTCGGCTGAAGACAGCTCACTACCGCTTGGGTCACGGCTGGCGGAAACGCTTGTCCAGGACGAAGGCACGGAGGAGGGTGGCGTAGGGGCTGTTGGGCTCTGAAGCGGGGCCGAAGGCAACGGGGATAAGGCTAGGCGATGGTCCTGCTGGTGCTGTCCCTTCTGGGACGAGCGGCGCCTCGGCGGGTTTGACGACGCCTGCATCTGATCTGCATCCTGTTTGAGCCCGGCGTAATTCCACTCACCGGCAGCCAAGCCCATTAGCTCCCTGACCGACATGGTGGGGGTGTGTGGATCTGGGTCGGTGTCAGAGCTGTGGGCGGAGGGGACGCCGGAGTGTGGTCGGAAAGTCTTTGAAAAACATCAAGAAAAAGGCGGAGGCTGTATCAGTAGCATGTGCAGATGTATCAATTTAAGATTCGCAAAAGAAAACAATGGCTATTGTGTGTCATCATAACAATGGCTACCGTGTGTCACGCAACGTGACCTGTGTGACTTCCAAGTGAAGCAAAGCGAACATACCCAGCGATTGCGGGCTCTGATTCGCCCGTTTCCACACGGCCAGCGAGAGACAACGGTGGAGCAGATTGAGCAGATTGAGCGTGCAATGGCGGGCGAGAACACGGTGGCTTCCGGGCCGCTTGCCGGATGGAGCCACTGCGGAGGTCGCAGGCTTCGACGTGGCCCGGATTGGAGAGGCGAAGGGCTGGCGGCGGACAGTGCTGGATCGCTGATGCGTCGGCGGCACGGCGGAGAGTCGGTGGTGGTCGGTGATGATGTCGCTGCAGTCGTCATCGCACCCCTGCCCCAATGCCTTCTTCGTGCCCGCGCGCCAGCCTTAACCGAGGTCCTCGAGCCTCGGTTTGCCCTCAACGGGCATAGCGGCTGGCCATCGGTGCGCCTTCCCCACACTCTCGGCGCGCGTCCAGCCCAAGTCCCCGGGTTGCTTGACCCCCATCCCGATTTCGCAGTCTTTTCTCCTCCCTTCTCCAACCGGCTTTTTTGCAGCTTGTGTTCAGCCCATCTCTCGCCCTCCCCGTCCAGCACAGCCCGGAGTCGCTTCGTCCTGTCTCTTCTGCGCGGCTTCCAGCTTTCCTTGTCATTCGCGCAATGGTCTTCCACCCTCCACCATGGGTCCCGCAACTCCCGTTTGATCCGCCCGACACGCTCTCCATTCACGACTTCTTGTTCGACGAGAACTATGGTCGCCATCCCCTGGGCTACTCCTTTGCGCCATTCACCTGCGGCCTCACTGGGAAGGAGTACTCGGCATTGGACGTCAAGGACCGCATTGAGGCTCTTGCCCGCGGTCTTTCCAAAGAACTCGGCTGGAAGCCAAACGAGGGGAGTGAATGGGACAAGGTCATTGGCGTCTTCAGCATCAATACGGTATGCGCCGTCGAGATTCTGGGGGCCGGAATCCATCGCAGTCGGAGCTGACCATCGCCAGATCGATACCCTTACCCTGGCATGGGCCACGCACCGTCTCGGCGGAGTTCAGACGCCCGCCAATGCCGTCTACTCGGCACCTGAGATCGAGTATCAGCTCAGGGACTCGGGCGCAAAGTGTCTCTTCACCTGCCTCCCCCTGCTCCCCACCGCCCTCGAAGCCTGCTCCAAGGTCGGCATCCCCAAGAGTCGCATTTACATCCTGGACGTGCCCAAGGAGCTCGCCGGCGGCAAGTCCGCACCAAGCGAGTACAAGACGGTGGACCAGTTGATCAACGAAGGCCTGAACGCACCCAAATTGGAGAAGCTGGATTGGTCCGAAGGCGAGGGTGCCCGCCGGACCGCCTTTCTGTGTTACTCCAGCGGCACCTCGGGCCTTCCCAAGGGCGTCATGATCTCGCACAGAAACGTCATTGCCAACACGCTCCAGATCAAGACGTTTGACAAGATCTGCAGAGACAAGAAGATTCCCCCTGGAACACAGAGCGACTACACCGAGACTGCTCTCGCTCTGCTTCCCATGAGCCACATCTACTGCCTGGTCGTCATCTGCCACGCCAGCGTGTACCGCGGAGACCGAGTCGTCGTGCTTCCCAAGTTCGAGTTCAAACCCTACCTGGAGACCATCCAACGCTTCAAGATCAACTGCCTGTATCTCGTTCCGCCCATCATCATCATGATGACGAAGCAAAGGCAGATCTGCGACCAATACGACCTCAGCAGCATCGACGCCGTCTTCACCGGCGCAGCGCCGCTCGGCGAGGAGACGGCCGTGGAGCTCAGCCAGGCGTATCCGAAGTGGGTCATCCGCCAGGGCTACGGCCTCACCGAGACCAGCACCGTCGTGACCTCGACCATCGACTTCGACATCTGGTTCGGGTCCTCGGGCTCCATCGTGTCGGGCATCCAGTGCAAGCTCGTCACGCCCGAGGGGACCGAGATCACCGGCTACGACCAGCCGGGCGAGCTCCTCGTCAAGTCCCCGGCCGTGACGCTCGGCTACCACAACAAGCCCGAGGCCACCAAGGAGACGTTCCAGGACGGCTGGATGCGCACGGGCGACGAGGCCGTCGTCCGCAAGTCGCCGCTGGGCTACGAGCACATCTTCATCGTCGACCGCATCAAGGAGCTCATCAAGGTCAAGGGCCTGCAGGTTGCGCCCGCAGAGCTGGAGGCACATCTGCTCAGCCATCCGTACGTCAACGACTGCGCCGTCATCCCCGTCCCGGACGACAGGGCTGGCGAGGTCCCCAAGGCCTTCGTCGTCAAGTCCCCCAAGGTCGGTCTGGAAGAGAGCGACAGAATGGTGGCCAGGGCGATCGAGAAGCACGTCGAGGAGCACAAGTCCCGACACAAGTGGCTGAAGGGCGGGATCGAATTCATCGACGTCATCCCCAAGAGCCCCAGTGGGAAGATTCTGAGGAGACTGTTGCGGGACAAGGAAAAGGAAAAGAGGAGGGCTGCGGGGGCCAAGTTGTAGAGGGGCACGGCTGTAGATGGCACTTGGAGAGGGCGCAGAGTTGGGTCTTCGTTTGGACTTCTTCCCATGTTGTAAAGATATCATTTGCCACTGCTGGTTCCTCGGCGTGGTCGTTCTAGATGTCTGCTGATTCAAGCGTTTCTGCTGCTCTCGGAGATTTCTTGCAGTTGACTTAGATTTAGCGCTAGCTCCTTTGTTCTATCGCAAGACAAAACCAACAACAGTTCCGTTTAGAAGTCGCAATACGAGTGACGGGCGTTGATAGGATTCTCTCCCTTCGTTGACAAGTGATACAGAAACATATCTGATCGGGCTTAGGGCCGCACTTGACCCCGAGACCCGGGCACGGGCGCAGGTTTTTAATCTACACCTACGTAGGTGTACTAATCGCATCGATGGAGGGAGGCCGGGCCTGCGGACTGATGATGCGTGACGTAAGCGCGCATTGCCCCGCCCCCGCGGCATGGATTTTTGCGCGCGGCGAGAAACAAAAATAATCCCCGGCGACAATTTCTAAGCACAAACACACCACCGCCACCTACAAAACATCCCTCTTCCCTTTCCCAAGATACCCCCTCGCCCAAGCGCGCCGAAAATTCTCTTTTACACCAACAATGGCCTCTCAGCAAAACCAGCCACCGCAACGGCCGGACGAGGACGAAGAGGTCCACATGCTGGACCCGGAGGAGGCGGAGGAAGTCGTCGCGGACGACCCCGACGCGCTCATGGAGTCGGACGACGAGGGCGAGAGCGGCGCGCCCCTGCAGGAGATCCAAATGGAGAACGACAGCGTCGCCTACTTTGACACGCACAAGGACAGCATATTCACCATCGCCCAGCACCCCAAGAACGCGCACATTGTGGCCACCGGCGGCGGAGACGACGTGGGATACATATTCGAGGTGGCAGTCAAGGAGGAAAAGCGCCCGCCGCTGCCCGCCAGCTGGTCCGGATCGCAAGACGGCGGCATGCCGCAGGAGCGCGAGGGCCTGAAGCAGCTGTTCAAGCTGTCGGGGCACACGGACTCGGTCGCGGCCATCGCCTTCACGCAGCCCGCCGGCGAGTACATCGTGTCGGGCGGCATGGACGGCAAGCTGCAGGCGTGGCAGGACACGTCGAGCGGGGCGTGCATGGCGTGGAAGTTCGCGGGCGAGGCGCAGGAGGTGGAGGAGATAGCGTGGATAGCGCCGTGCCCGCACGCCGAGTACCCCAACACCATCGCGCTCGGCGCATCGGACGGCTCCGTCTGGGTCTACGCCGTCAACGCGGCGGACAAGGCGTCGCCGCTCACCATCGTCCAGGCCTTCTACCTGCACACCGGGCCCTGCACCGCCGGCGCGTGGACCCCGGACGGCAGGCTGCTCGCCACCGTCTCCGAGGACGAGTCGTTCTACGTCTGGGACGTCTTCGGCGAGGCCGCCGCCGCGGGCATCACGAACCCCTCGGCCGGCCAGGCCGTCGTGGGCCTCACCGGCGAGGACGAGCGCTTCCGGGTCGAGGGCGGTCTCTACAGCGTCGCCATCGCACCCAACGGCGCCTTCGCCGCCGTCGGCGGCGCCGAGGGCCACATGCGCATCGTCGGCCTCCCGCGCATCGGCGCCGACGCCTCGTCAGTGACGAGCGGGGCGCGCGGCGCGGGGGCGCGCGGCAAGGCGGCGGGCGGGAAGCAGGCGGGCGGCCCCAAGGGCGGAGCGGGGGCGGCGACGGGCCAGGCGGGCGCCATCCTCGCGAGCCTCCAGACGCAGCAGGACAGCGTGGAGACGATTTCGTTCTCGGCGCCGCCGCTGACGCTGATGGCGGCGGGCAGCGTCGACGGGTCCATCGCGCTCATCGACACGGCGCACCGCTTCGCCGTGCGCAGGCACATCCAGCAGGCGCACTTTGACGACGAGACGGAGACGGAGCAGGCCGTCATCAAGGTCGAGTTCGTCAAGCCGGCGGCGCCGCAGCAGCAGCAGGGGTCCGGGCCGGCGGCCGCGGCGCAAGCGGCGCCGGGGACGTGGTTGCTGACGAGCTGTGGCAACGACGGCGCCGTCAGGCGGTGGGATGCTCGTGGCGGCACCGCCGCGGCGAACCGGGGCCTGGTCGGCGAGTGGAGGGGTCACAGGGGCGGCGGTGAGGGAGGCGGTGTCATGGGTTTCGTGCAGGGTGCTGGTGATCGGGTCGTCACTGCTGGAGATGACGGTGTTGCGCTGGTGTTCAACACGCCGATTGCTTGAGTTTTCCTTACGACCTCCCTCCCCTGAAGGCTTCCGGGCGTTTTTTTTTTTTTTAAAGAACAGACGAGGGCACTTCGCAGTATTGCAATAGCGAGGATTGGTACATATATAGTCGGAAGTGTCTTGCATCCGGCCGGCAGCATTTGCGGAATCCATATGGGCAAAAAGGCATGATATCCAAGAGAAGTCCAAATACCTCGTACGCAGCGAACCGACCTCAAGCTTCGTTCACAATGATACACGACGGCAGCAATTCTCCACACAATGCACGCCACGCAAACGTCAGTCCAAGGGCAGCGGGCGGCGCGGGGTGCTCAGTCCACGCGCCAATCCCCGCGCTCTTGGCAGGTACCGCAACGGGCGCATACGTCAGCGCTCGACAACACAACAGGAGTCGGGCGGCCAACTAGAGGCTCGAGGGTGACCACTTTATCGGCCTCTTTTTGCTTAGCAATTCGGTCCATGGATCGTCGCCCGTCGTGGGGCGATCAAGCTTATATACACATCACTTCATCCCACTCCCCACCCTGAAGCTAGCTGCATCATTTTCTCTCTCTATTCCTGCGTTGAACTATGCCGACCATCTACTACGAGCCCTCCGTTTGCAACTGCGACGGCGTTGACTACTCCAAGGCCGACATTGAGAATGCCGCTACGCTGGCACTCGAGCTTGCCAAGAAGGGTAGGACGATAGGTATGTGAGGTCTACCTAGGTGCAAATCCTCTTGTACGATTCGAGACATCTGGATGTCCGCCTCACCTGCCCCATATTGCAGGGCGAGCAGAGTCGGACATCAGAGGTCGAATCCTCCGAGGCCGACCAACCCCGACTCCAGACGCGCATCTGCAAGACGTACAGTTTCCTCTCAGCGCTAACCATAATCTCGAACGGCGCAGGCGACAGCAAATACCCCCACGTCTACAACGACCGTGCGTGACCCATGAGTGGGAAATCCCCGGCCCCCTTCTCTCTCCTTCATCATCGACGTATAAGAGCGCGGTGACGCTGATCCTGCCCGCGCGGCGCATCCAGACAAGCACTTCGACTTCGCTCACGCCGAGGCGCCGTATCTCGAGTTTCCCATCCTGCAAAAGGGCAGGACGTACGACGGTCTTTCGCCCGGCGCGGAGCGGCTCGTCATCGGGAGCATCGCCGACGACTTCAGCTCCGCTGTCTACTGCGCCTGCGTCACGCAGAGCGGCGAGGAGAAGAACGTGTTTGCGGCGTGCAAGGGTATGTGGCTCGATTTCGGGTGAATGCGCTGATGGCGAGGCCGGTGCTGACGCTTCTTCTTGCTGTAGATGACTCGATGAATCCGAGAGGGAAGGGCATGTTGCCGACGGAGGGGAAGAGTCTGGTGGGCGAGATTGAGCTGTGATGGAGATGATGGCGTAGATAGTCTGTTAGCGTGTAATGATATGTCATGGGTTTGAGGTTTCAGTTCTTTCGGCTCCGTCTTGGGTGAGCGGCCAGTGGTCGTGAGTGTGAGTGTGAGTGTGAATGTTTTGCCCAAGTGGACCCCTCGCTCCTTCCTATTGCCCACTGGCCCACTGCGCCCCTTCCTTTCTTGGTCGTCCTCACGGCAACGGCCACTCAGGCGACCCCGTATAAGACCCCACGCAGTCCCTCGCAGTCGGGCCTTACATAAACCAACCTTCAGTCCACCTCCCCGACCTTTCCTCTTCATTCAAGCTCCTTCTTTGCGCTCGAGCTTGGATCAAATGCAACCTTCTCCCCCACCCACCAACCGCATTTGCCTCGTCGTCACACATGCATGCGCACAATCATCTCACTCGTTCGCACTGACTGCACCATACAGTTTCCATACAGCACAATCGATCTCTCGGCTCTGCCTGACGGGACAGGTTCACCAACCCTTTGGGTTGATTAACCATTTCAGCAAAGTTGGACGCATTCCTGGCTCTTCCACTGCGCCCGGCTACTTGGCGCCTTTCACGGTCGTGTGAGTGTCCACCTCACCTCACCTTACTTCCCTTCACTTCGCAACGATTGCTGCACTGACTAGCGTCGAGACCACAAACCTCACCGTGCCCGCCCTCATCCCGTGCTTCTTGGCCACTCCGTTGGCTGTTGCATCCACTCACTGTTTAGATCGGCCTTGATACCGCTCTTGGCGAAATCCAACATCCAGCTTCCATGACAACTCAACTTCTGGATACCACGCTCTTTATCTTCGCTTCTTCCCTGGATTCGCCTTGGTCCGATCCTTTTGTCTCGCCTTCGTCTTGTTCCCTATGTACCTCTTCTCGTCCTGATACAAACTGTATCCGTAAGTATCTCCTCTTCTTCCTCTCCCCTCAAGACACTTTTCAGCATCTGCGCCTTCTCCATCTTTTTCTTCCATTCGAGAGCTCGACTCGTGGTCCGCACTCGTTTGCCCTTTTTTTTTCTTATCATAAGAAGCCCCAACCTAACAGCTTCTTTCTTTCCTTCCCTTTTTCTTCATCCATTCGTCCATCCATCCAGCTCGAGGGGACGCCCGGTGATGATTTCATACAAGAGATTAAATTTGAGAAAGACAAAACAAGATCATGTGTGGCAACCGGTACATCCCCCGGCTTAGAACACCGATGGGCGAGTTGCCAATGAGAACAATCCAAATAGATATCTGAGGGCCGATCGAGCTTTAGATAGCTTATACTTTTTTTCCTTTATCCATTTTTACATGATCAAACAATTGAAGATGTTTCACAATCGACTGTGTCTGTCTGTCTGTTTGTTTTCGTGCTTGCTTGCTTGCTTGCTTGCTTGCTTGCTTGCTTGCTTGCTTCCCCGGTATGGGTATGGTGAAGCCACAACACAAGGCCAGTATGCACGACTCCATGATCGCAGTCGAGCAATTCGTCGTCGGCAACTGCAAGTGACGCCCAACAACCGGCGGCAAGGTTGGAAATGCTTCTAATTTGCGCATTCTAGTAGTAGTCAGCCCCATAGAAGGAGGCATCTCTGCATGTCCTGCAGGTCCTCCAGCCCCTCCAGTGGTAATAGTACATACTCTTTCCCCCCTTCCCCAGGTAAAACGCCGAATCCAGATACCTTGTATCAGCCCCACCAAATGAAAAGAAAAAGAAAAAGCCCGCCGTGATGCCCTCAGAACCCCAACGTTCAAGCCATAAAACCGGCGGTATAGGGTATTAAACTAAACCCATCCACGTCCCCATCTTCCTCGTGTCCGATTTTTTTTTTGCCAACCTACCAACCCACACACACGCACACGCACACACACACACACACACACATCCCTCATTTCTTCTTCTTCCCCACATCCAAATCCCCGCTCGCGATCAAGTCCCTCCTCCTCGCCTCGACCTTTTCCTTGCGCTTCGTCAGCTCCTCGAGCTGCTTGTCCACGTCGACCTCGGCCTGCTTGAACAGGCGGATGAACGTCTCCTCCATCTGCTTGCTGTACGGGTTGCGCTCGGTGCCGCGGTCGGGCAGCTCGACGCTGCGGTCCTCCTGGCCGGCGGCCCTGCGCTGGGCGGCGGCCTGGGCGGCGGCGGCGGCGGCGGCGCCCTTGCCCTTGCCCCTGCCCGTGCCCGCGCCCGCGCCCTCGGGCGGCCACTGGCGGTCCTCGTCCGTGAGCGCGGCGTAGAGCACCTCGGTGGGCTCGTTGAACTCGACGAAGTCGAGGATCTCGGCCTTGACGAGGTTGGCGGCGCGCTGGCGCTCGGCCGTCTCGGGCGGGCCGTACGGCTCGAGGTAGAGGTAGTGCGAGCGGACGGCGTGCTTCTCGCCGACGAAGGGCTGGAAGTAGAGCCGGATCTCGACGGTGAAGCCGCCCCAGCCGGTTTCGCGCACCTCAAAGGGCGGGTTGGCGATCACTGTGGGAGGGGAACAATCGATCGTCGTCAGCTTAGCTCTTCGAAAAGTTTTTTTTTTCCCTTTCGCGAATGAGGGCTACACATACTCCTCTTGTTGTTCGGATACGTCTCGTGCAAGCTGAATTGCACCTTGTTCAGCCAGGTGCTCATGTCCGGACCGCCATCCACGTTCTCGACGTACACGCGCCATCCCGTGGTGTGGTCTTCGGGGATGCCGGGCGGCCGGTTCTTCTCGTCCAACTTCCAGGCCTCGGAGCCAATGCGGAAGGCGCGGGTTATCTTCACGCCCTTGACGCGCTTCTTGTCCGACAGGCCGACCATGGCTGAGTAGGGCGTGGTGGGGGTCGAATTGAGCGTGGCGGTGCGGCGGTGGCGGCTGCTGGCAGGAGCGGAGGTGTCGATGTGAGGCAGCGACTGGGCGTGTTGGTGGCGGGCGGCGGGCGGACGATGGAGATGGTGGGCGGCGGCGCTGGTGCTGTGGCTGTGCGAGTGGTTAATGTGTTGGGCGGTGGTCTTCTTGCGCGCAGAAGAAGAAGCGGCGATGTTGGTGCTGTCGTCGGCGACGCCACCGCTGCTGGCGCGGTGGGGCAAGGTGGTGGTCTCGGGAGCGCTGCGCTTGCGGCCGGCGGTGGCGCTGGTCTGGGAGAGCGGCTGCGACGTCTTGCGGCGATTGCGGGCGTTGTCCTCCTCGTCGGACGACTTGGGCTCGGCGAGCGAGACGTTGCGACTGTGGGTGCGGCGCTTCTGGTTGGCAGGCTCCCACACGCCGGGGGCAAAGTCGCCGCGCAGCTCGGCGGGGATGAGCTCGATGGGAATGCTGCTCTGGCCGGTTGGGGTGCGCGAGGGCGTTGGGCGGGCGGACGAGCTGCTGCGCTTGTGCCTGTGGGCGGCCGAGTCTAATTTTTCGGCGTGTTGGGCCGACAGGGACGAGGGCGTGTTCTGGCGCAGCGGGGGCGAGGCAGCCTGGGGCGTACCGTGGGCGTCGGGGCGTCTGGCAGGGTCCTGGGCGGGGGGCGGATTGTGTTTGCGAGGCTGGGGACTGCTCGCGGCGGCGATGTCTGTGGAGGGCGGCTTTGGCGGGCTGTCGGCTACGCCATTGCCTGCACTAGAGCGCTGTTGCGCAGGCTCAGCGGACGCGGCCGGCGAGGCGACGGCGGGCTTGCTCGGCGGGTGCGACGCGGCGGACGCGTGCTGCTGGGCGGGCAGCGGGGGCGGGGGGTCTTGGTGGTGGTGCAGCGAGGGCTGTGGTGTTTCCGACGGCATGCTTGGCGCTCCAATGAGGTCAGGATGCGGCGCTGCCATCTGGGAGCTCTCTAGAAAAGGCGCGGGAAGCTCTCAGGCCACCGCGGAACAACAACAACACAATGGCGTCGTCGACTGCGAGGAAGATAGTGGTGTGCGGAGGCAATGGCTTCCTTGGTACGTGCTTGCTTTAAACCACGCGCACCCAGCCATGCCAGAGCTGCTCCACCGCCGAGACTCAGAGCCACGACTGACGGCCCGCTCCCACAGGTTCACGCATCTGCAAGGCCGCCGTCCACCGCGGCTGGGCCGTGACCTCCATCAGGCACGTCCAACTCCCTCCCAAACACGCCCAAACACCCAGCCCGCACCCCTGCCGCCCCGCTGCCTCCGTCGCTCCCCTCCATCCGTCCTCGCCATCCCAATGCCCCCCATCGCCGCGTCGCCGTCGCCCAGAGACGACCCCCCCTCGACTCCCTGACCCCTCGACTCCCTGCCGCCCCTCTCCCCGCTTAGGCATGACGTGCCGCCGCCGTCAAGCGCCGCCGCCCGCCTCCTGACCGCCTCCCGTCAACCCGCAACAATCTCCCGACCGCGGCAGCCCACACCATCAGAAGCTGACACGTTACACTCTTGCTGCAAACAGCCGCTCCGGCGAGCCCACATGGTCGACCGTCAGCGCCTCGGCTGAGCGCCCCTCGTGGGCCTCGGGCGTGCAATGGCGCCGCGCCAACGTGCTCAACCCGGACGAGTACGCCCAGGAGCTGGAAGGCGCCGACGCCGTCGTGCACAGCATGGGCATCCTGCTCGAGGCCGACTACAAGGGCGTGCTGCAGGGCAAGGAGTCGCCCTTCAGTGGCCTGTCGCGCGCCTTCTCCGCCACCAAGCAGGGCAGCCAGAACCCGCTCGACCGCAAGCCCGGCGAGGAGCTGCGCCCGCAGGAGAAGGACGGCCAGCTCACGTACGAGCTGATGAATCGGGATTCCGGTAAGAATCATCGCCCTCTGACCCCCACCGTCGTCGCTCCCATCAATTGACTGACTCGTTCGTCTACAGCCATCCTCCTCGCCAAAGAGTCGTCCACCCACCGCGTCCCGGCCTTTGTATACATCTCTGCCGCCGCCGGCGCGCCCGTCCTGCCCAAACGCTACATCACCACGAAGCGCGAGGCCGAGTCGACCATCGCCTCGCAGTTCCCGCTCATGCGCAGCGTGTTCATCCGCGCGCCCTTCATGTGGGACTCCTCTCGCGCCTTCACCGTCCCGCTCGCCGCCGCCACGGGCGCCGCCGCGCTCGTCAACAGCACCGTCGGCGGCCGCCTGACGTGGTTGATGGGCGCGGGTGGCACGAAGCCTCTCAAGGCCGATCTTGTCGGCGAGGCGATTGTCGAAGCTATCGAAGGCGGTGAGGCGAGTGGACCCGTTGAAGTGCCTGAGATTGAGACGCTGGCGACGAAGCATTGGAGGCGGAATATGCTGTAACGCCATCACCATCCGTCAACCCTGCGTGTGTCTGTATCATGCTGTATGACTGGTATGGCTATTGTAGAGTAGGTATTGCTGGCCCGGGGGAAAAGATGGGACACTCCACTCGGTTCCTTTTGGTACAGCTGGGCCGTGATCGGAGCACGAGCTGTCACACCACTCAACTCCCTGCTTATCGGGATAGATACGGACATATCCCCATGAATGAAACAGAATCGAATCATCATCGTGCATCGGAAAAGAAGTCGTGCATCCGATCCAGCCTGTTCCCATGTCAATGGTTCCACAGCGGGTACCACAGCTGGCAAATTGTATCCACCACAACCTCAACACTGTTCGGTCGAAAGCGTTATCGTGGCAGGCGAAATGCACCAACCAATCAAACAAACCCGTCTGATACCCCGTCACGAAAAAAAAATACATGCCAATCTGGTATTAACAAGGACTTACATTGCACGCGTGTCATACTGCGCGCGGAGACGTTTGCCTCTTGCGCCCTTATCTGCTGCTAAACGCTGTCAGTAGCAGCGACTTCTCGGCTCGCAACAATGCAGCGTCCAACGATGCGGAGTCTGTATAATGACGCAGTGGAGTTGTAGTACACCCGGACGCCCTTCTGTTGTGCAGGTGAAACTGGCATGAGCCACGTAGTTCTGGGCGTCTGCTTCAACTGCCAATGTTGTAGAAGGAACATATGTAGCGTCCTTTAGCAGGGCATGGCGGAAACGACATCGGTTGATTCGTCTGCCCAAGCGCCCGCGTCAGTCGAAGTCATGTCTCCATATGATACACGTGATGTAGGTATTCGTGATGGTGAAGCTCTCTGTTTTCGAAGAACAGAAGCAGTTGGCTGTCCCGCTGAACAAATACGTATTACGGATGAAGAAGGGAGACAACCGTCATCCCAAACCACCCCACCCAACAGAAGAAAAAGAAAACGCCTATTGATGCTTCCACCCCCCGCCCACCACCGAACAACGCCCCACCCTCAAAAAAAAAAAAGAGAGACAACCGTATTAAACCACCATCACCCCTCACTCCCCAGCTCAAACCGCCATCCCCCTCACCAACTCCAACAAGCTCCCCTCCCCCTCCCCTTCTCCATCCCCGTCGAGCGTCGGAACGGCAATGACATCATCCTCATCCAGCCAGGCCTCCTCGAGCGCCAGCGCGACGAGGTCTTTGACCGAGTGCAAGCCGCCATATTGACCGCCCTTCGCCGCCCAACAGCTGCCGCGGCCGCCGTCGACGTCGAGGAGCTTCTGGACCTTGCGGAGGGTCTTGTGGAGCTTGCGGCGCTTGTCGGCGATGAGTTGGGCCGTGGCTGCGCGGTCTGCTTCTTCTTCTGCTTCTTCTTGTCGGGTCTGTTGTTGTGTCTTGGCGATGACGGCGGCGGCGGAGGAGGAGGAGGATGAAGAAGAGGAGGGAGCTTCAACATTGTCGCCGTCATCGTCGTTGTCATGGTCGTTGTCATCGTCGTTGTCGGAGTCCGGGATGACAGTTTTCCTCTTACTGCTTGTCTTCTTCTTGGCCTTCGTCGTCTTCGTCGTCTTCGTCTTCCTCCTCGTCCCGCCCTTCGCCTTCGCCTTCCCCCTCGCCTTGCCACCACACATCCCCCCTCTCTTCTCCTCCTCTCCCGCTTCCTCCCCGATCTGCTTCATCATCTCGTGCAAGATGAAATGCAACCACACCAGATTCGTCTGCGGATGGTAGCCCACCCACGTCCTCCCGCTCTCGCACGCGTCGTCCCACCTCTCGGCCACGTCCGCCCGCGGGTCGCCCAGGTACATGGCCGCGCGCATGCAGCGGTACATCTCATACTGGTACTCGACCTCGGCGTCGCCCTCGAAGAGCGCGGGGTCGGCGTCGAGGTCGAGGTAGGCGATTTCGGATTCGTCCGGGTCGGGGGAGGCGGCCGGCGCCGTCATCTGGGCGCGCGAGAGGGTGTAGTCGATGATTGTGGATTCGAGGCCGGTGAAGTTGAGGTTGCGGGCGATGTTCGTGATGGAGGAGGGCGAGGGGGCGGCGATGGGGCGGTTGGCGTTGGCGGGGCGGATGCAGATGTTGCCCATGTGGAGGTCGCGATGCTGTCTTTACCGTTAGGGAACGAACTCGTTCAGGGAGTAACATGATGATGGGGGGATGGCTCACCTCGAACCTCGCCTCCTCCTCTCCCTTGGCCAGCGCCAGCGCCACGCTCCAAAATATGTCCCACACGCCAAACACGCCGCCGACGTCGTGCATGCTCAGGTTCTCCAAGTCCGTCCCCGCATCCTGCATCTCGATGATGGCCCACAGCTGCTCGTCGTCATAGCTCCCCTCCTCGGCGGGATCGGGGAAAATGCTCCTCTTCTCCTCGCTCCTCCCCTCGTTCCACTCGGCCCAGGCCCGCGCAAACGACCGCGGCGGACACCCCTTCACGACCCTCACGTCCCTGAAGTTCGTAAACCCCGGGACGTGGGCCATGCGGCGCATGACGCGAATCTCGCCCGCGACGCTCTCAACACTACTCATCCCCTCGACCCTCTCCTCCCACTCCCTCTCCTTCTTCGTCTTCGTCTTCTTCCCCTTTTTCTTGGCTGGCCTTTTCTTCGGCGCCGGCGGCTTCAGCGCAATGACCTTCAGCACCGACTCGTCCGACGCGCTCAGCCCGAAATCCTTCTGCCGCCGCCGCCGCAGCGACAGCCGGTACACCTCGCCGTACGACGCCTCGGCGATCTTGGCGACGCCGAAGTAGGGCTCGAGCGCGGCGGCCCACTGGGCGAAGGGGGTGGGGGCCCTGCGGCCCTGGCGGTCGGCGCAGAGGCGGAGGAGGGGCTTGGCGTGGATGGTGAGCGGGTCGGGTGCAGGTGCAGGCATGGAGGAGGATGGGTTTCGCCGCGGGGTGGCGGGGGCGCGGGATCGGGATCGGGATCGGGGCTGCTGTTGGTCGGGGGCTGCTGCTGGGTGGGTGGTCTCGTCCGGGGTTGCGGTGTCGACGTCGCTGTCTGGGCGGATGGTGGGGATGTTGGCGGGCTTCCCGCGCGGGCGATGTTTGCGCTCGGTTTGGGGAGGGGGTTGCTCGACGGTGGGGGGCTCGATGGGGTCGGCCTTCTTCGGCGGCAGCAGCTTCTTCAGTCGCTGGGGTGTTTTTGGGACGACTGTTGTGGTGGACTTATTTGCGGGGCCGTGGGCGGTCTTCTCCCGGTTGGCGGGTGGAGAGGAGGCGGCATTGGCGTCGATGGCCTGCAGGGCCGCCCTGTCGCGCTTCTCCTTCCTGCGGGCTTCTTTCTTCTCCAGCTTCTCCTTCTCTCTTATGTCCAGGCTGTGCAGGGTATTTGTGATATCGTCCATGGCGGCTGCGGGAGCGGGCTTGGAATTGGCGGGAGCTCTGTCCGGGCTTGACCAGAAATCGGTCGAAGGGGAGAAGGTGGTAGTGGCCTTTGGCCGCTTGCCGTACGTCGTCTTTACGCGGGCCATTGTGAGCGTGGGGTGAGCGAGCGTGGTGTGCGTCTGGTGTGGGAGACTGGCGAGGACGAGAGAGGTTGCGCGCAGCTTGCGCACCGCACAGCTTGCGCACAGTTTACGCCTAGTTGGCCTGGCGATTATCGATACGCCGCCCGACCCGCCTTCACCCCCGACGTCACCTCCCGACTCCGTCTTCCCAGCAACCACGCAATCTGCAGCAAAAACATCCGGTCATGGATGCGACGTGAACAGACGTATCAGAAAGGTTCTTGGTATTCAATACTATTTCGCCTTTGATGAGAGCACTTTTCCCCTGGTTACTGTCCAATTCACCTGATGCATAGCTCGCCAAAAAGAAAGAAGAAAGAAATGCAGCCCAGGTGGTTGGATGGAATATCCAGCAAGTTGATGCATATCATGTGTCGCTTCAACGGCAACCGCCAACCAAACCTAGCAGAGATTCCGCTGTCTGCTGGCTCGGATCGAAGAGCGAATCCTCAGTAGTACCGCTGCTGGCCATCGGAGCCCTGGTTCCGTCGCGGTCGCATTCGACATCCTTGATCTCCCCGTCAGTTGAAGTCCATAGAGCAGCCGGCGACGGGCATCTTTGTGGGCTGTTTAATCCCTCCATTGACGCGCTTCCAAGCGATCTCTCTCGAAATCGCTCGCCCACTCCCCAGTCGTCTTTACTGGCCATGCCTGGGGTAAGCAGAATACGTGTGCTTGCCTGCTTCACCCCCGTGTATCTTGGTGGCGACCAATCTAGACGCTCGATGGGAACGCCGGGTCGAATTTCTGGAGCTCCGTACCGCTCTTGCAGCGGCCCTGCATACATTTGCAATTCTTTCTCAAACTGGGAAATGGAAACGCCGGCTTGGGCATCCGCGGCTCGAGCCAAAGCCGATGCAAGTTCCCTCTTCTTGTCCTCTAGCTCTTCTTTTAGCGCCAGCATCTTTTCCGGGAGTTTCGTGGACAACGGCGTATGATCCACCGTCTCGCCGCTTTCCACCCTTCGATCCTCCGGCCTCTCGGCCCAGTACCTCACTTGCTCCTCAAGGTACTTCTGACCAAGGTCCAGCCGGTCCTGCATGTCGCATGTGCCCGTGCCGTCCCGCTTGCGCTTGTCCAGCTCCGCTTTCAGGTTCTTATACGCCCCACCCAGCTCGGCCAGGGGCATTCCTGCTTCTTCAAACACCCGCACAGTCTGCTGCACCCTGACAAGGAGAACGTAGTGGTCGTAGAATTTCTCTCGGATCTTTTCTTCCATGGTCTTTTCTTGACCATGCCCGGCTTCTTCATCCGGAACTTGCTGCTCGTCTTCATCCTCGTTGTCGGACGAGTCCGATGAGATGTCGATAGGACTCACGGCACTGCAGCCATCGAGACACCTTTGCATGAGGTCGGGGTACGCAGAATGCCAAGCATACATGTGCTTCCTGAGCTCCGTCAGCCAGAAGCTTGGTTTCTCCGGGTGCTGGCATGCCTCGATGACCCAATAGAGAGCCTGCAACACGGCGTCATTACTGCACATGGCGCAACGTCCGCCTGCGAGAGCCTTTTCGCCCGAAGCGGACCTGGGAGCCTTCGACGAAACATCCCGTCTGCTCCCTTGTTCCTGGTCGAAATAATATGGCACTTTGGTGATGAAGATTCTGCCCGCTCTGCGGTGGGTTTCGATCTCGGGGAACTTCTTGGCCACATCTTTGATTGTTCGCTGGATGACACTCAAGGATACTTCTTGGCCATCTTTCTGGTTTTCGCACGCCTGTAGGATCAAATGCAGCGCTGCAGCCCACAATTCGTTGGTGCATAGCTCGCATGAGGACCTCTTGTCTTTCGCCTTCTGGAGTCTTTCCTCGGTAGAGCTCAGCTGAGCTTTGAGCTTCTCCGTGGCTTGAACTTCCTTGGTCAACTCGTTGATCTTTTTGTTTTTTTCCAGTACCTCGGTCTTCCCTGCCTTGAAGGCCTTGGAATACCATTCTTTCCACTTATCTCTCTCTTCCTCAATATCGCATGCTCTGTCCCCCCACTTCTTAATTTTCTTTTCCGCTGCCTGAAGCTTCTTTTCCAAAGCATCCGCTTCGTGTTTCTTGGCCGTGAGCTCCTTGCTGACTTCCTTCTTGTCTACCGAGAGTTTCTTGTACTCGGCTTTGTGGCCTTCAATTTTCTGCTTCAGCCCCTCCTCACGCTCTTCCCCCTGGCTGACTTTATTCGTAAGCCTGGCCACTTCCTTCTTGAGCTCGGTAATAGTTTTCTTCAAGTCTGCTTTTTCCTTGGATAGCGAGGAGAGCTGCTCGCCCTGCTGTTCCAGCTTGACATTCTTCCGCTCCAACTGTCCGGCTACTCTTCCAACGTTTATGTCTTCAGAGTCCGATGCCTCTTCGTCTCGCTCGCGAAAAGTGTCGATTATCGTCTGCTGGTCTCTGATCGCTTTCTCCAGCTCTTTAACCCGGACGCTGGAATTCTCAAGCTCTTTCTCGTATGACTCTGCTTCCACAAGTAGCTTTTGGATGCGCGAGATGAAACCTCTCCCCGCCGGGAGTCTGGCTTGCTGAACACTTGCCTCCGCCCGGTCCACTTTTCGCCGTTTCTCGACCGGAGCGGGTGATGGTGACGAGCATGGAGGAGACAATTCCCGATGCCTCTTCCCAGGTGCGACGTTCCTTCCAGGGGAAGATACTTGGACGTCTCCGGCACTTCCAACATTTACCATCCTCGCAGGCTGATTTGACTCTTCAGCACCAACCCTCGACTCTGAATCTGGACGTTTTGAATGGTAGATCATCGTATCCGTCGAGCCTGATGCCAGAGGCGTTTTCCGCAGAGGTTTCCTCCACCCAAGGCCACTCCTCGACTCCACAAACCCGGCGTTATTCTGCCTCACTTGAACCCGCTCAGCCGGAGCCGGTCCCCGGACTTCGACCCTGGAGCCTTCGATTCCCGCAATCCGTGGCGCCGGAGCACCAGATCCCGCCGACGACGCAGCGCCCGCAACTCCACTTCCCACCACCCGCGTCATTTTCTTCCCCATGACCGCCGTCCCCTGCCCTGGAACCGTCGCCCTCTTCCCCATAACGGGCCCTCCTCCTCCACCACCCCCACGGCCATCCGCCGCACCCACCGCCTCTTCTTCCCTCTTTTCCCCGCCATGATCCGCCTTCGCAATCATCGCCTGCATCCTCTTCAGCCTCAACTTCTTTTCCTCCACCGTCGGCGTCGACCCCTTCCTCTCAAGCTCCTTCTCCTCCCCCACCGCCATCCCGCTCTCACCCACCCCGCCTCCTCCCCTTCCCCGCCGCTCCTCTAACAAGAATGGCGGCCTCGACGCCAACAACGGCTCCCTCTCGACCCCAGCTCCACCAACAGCACCACCACCAGCACCACCAGCACCACCAGCACCACCAGCAGCATCACCAGGAACGCCGCTCGCTTCCGCACCACGCTCGTCGTCGTTATCATCACCATCACCACCATCATCGTTCTTCCGCATCCGAACCTCCCCCGCCATCGCCATCGCCCGACCCGCCGTGTCGGTGTCGCCTGCCCGCATCTTGCTAGCCGTGCTGCCCATGCGCTCGTCCACGACCTCGTCTTCGTTGTCGTGGGGTGAGAGTGAGGGTTCGACTTTGCTTTCGGCTGCAGCGTCTGCGGTAGTGTTGTTAGCCGTGGCGGGAGTTTTGTTAGTGGTGGTGGTAGCCGTGGTCGTGGTCGTGGTAGTTGCTTGGTGAGGTGGTGGCGGATGTGAGAGTTCGGTGGGTGGCTTGGTGGTTGTGGTGGGAGATGGCGGTGTGGATGAGGAGGGAGCTTCACTGCGTGGTGGGTCGGCGCGTGCACTGGTGTCGGCGGTGCCGGCAGCGGTTGGGGTGGGAGGGTAGTGATGGAGACTTGAGTTGTGGGGCGACATGTGAGAGGGTATGTGTGTTTGTGAGGGGAAAGATATTCTCTGGGTGAGGTAGTGGTGTTGTAGGCGAGAAAGAGAGGAGGTGAGGAGATTCAAAGTATTTGTGATGTAGAGGATTTGCGGTGAAGGATTGATTTGGAAGGAGTGAGAATGGATGAGCTGTGCTGCGGTAGAGGTCAGCTGTCCTCGGGCGGTAACTAGTGTCTCTGATGTTGAGCTCGATGACGTCCGTTCTGGAGAGGCTGGAGCTAATGGACTTGGTCGGTGCCTGAGGTCTTTGGGCTGTAGTTTAGGTAAAGGCTGAGAAGTACTCGATGTGAGTTTGTGTAGGTCAGGGATGTTGCCAAGGTGTTGGTTGATGTCGTTTACTGGAGGAAGGTGAAAAGTTCCACGGAATCACGCCTCAATGCCATGGGAACAAATGCGGATACGTTGTTTCCTTATCTGTAAAGGTTTTACTCTTCTGTGACACATGATTTTGCGAAACATGAAAGATCAAGCATGCAGTGTGATACGCACTGTTAATGCCCAGTTACACTCGGTCAAAATTGAATCCTTCATCAGCAAGCGCCATATCTGAAAGATAATTGTTGAGCTTTTGTCGACCTATGGTGACGATTATCAGCTCCACAAGGAGAAAGTTACAAAAGCACAAGAATTTTTAGATATCCCTTCTTTGCAGGCGGAGTCTGACAAGATGTAAATTCAGCAGACCGTAATCTGAACATCACATCCACGCAACGTACTGATGAGTTACCACTCAAGGTCGGTTTTAAGATGACTTCACAGACAGACAGCACATGTCTCTACTACTACATTGCAACATTGCCAATCCGAAGCCCTCATAGACCAAACCACACTAGTGCTCCGCCACTTCTCCCACTCACTCCAACCCCTTCCCCTCAGCCACCAACTTAATCCCTTCCTCCTTCAACTTAAACTTCTGAATCTTCCCGCTCGGCGTCTTCGGCACCACGTCCGTCCAAAACACATACTTCGGCACGAGATGATGGCTCAACCTCTGGCCGACCCACTCCCTGATCTCCCTCGCCGGCACCGATCCCCGCATGCCCTCGTGCGGGATGACGAAGGCGGCGACGGCCTCGCCGTAGCGTTCGTCGGGCAGGCCGACGACGGCGACCTCGAAGACGGCCGGGTGGGCGAGCAGGCAGTTTTCGACTTCGAGGGGGTGGATGTTCTCGCCGCCCTTGATGATGAGGTCCTTGATGCGGCCGGTGATGGAGACGTAGCCGTCTGCGTCCATGGTGGCTTCGTCGCCAGTCTATAGTAGAAAAAAATCGACGGTAAGTACCAAAAAAAAACAAGATACAAGACGGAAGGAGAAAAAAAAGAGGGAAAAAAAAACTCACATGCATCCACAACACGCCCTCCTCATCCGGCACCAGCACCTCGGCCGTCCTCTCCTCATCCCCCCAGTACCCCTTCATGGTCAAATAGCCACTGACAACCAGCTCGCCCCTCTCGCCCACGCCCACCACCCTCGTCCGATCCGCCACGCTCACCACCTTGGCGCTCACGTGCGGCAGCAGCCTCCCCACCGTCGCGATCCTCTTCTCCAACGGGTCGTCCGTCGTCGTCATGGCGCTCACGGGGCTCGTCTCCGTCATGCCGTAGCAGATGGTCAGCTCGGTGAGGTTGAGGACGCGGTGCAGCTTGCGCATGAGCTCGGCGGGGACGCTGCTGCCGGCGGCGATGCCGGTGCGGAGCTGCGCGAGGCCGGTGGCGGGGACGGCGCCCGAGGCGAGGAGTTCGAGCTCTTGGAGGAACATGGTGGGGACGCCGTAGAGGGCGGTGGCGCGGTGCTCTTGGACGGCGCGCAGGGCGGCGGCCGGGTTGAAGCATTCGGTGGGGAAGATGATGGTCGCGCCGTGGGTGGCCGTCGCCATGTAGCCGAGGACGCAGCCGAAGCAGCTGAGGGGGGGTCGCGTGTGAGAGGAAGGTGTAATTTTCGTGGAATCGAAGGGGTGGGACTTACTGGAAAAGAGGTGGTGGGCAGCATACGATGTCTTCGGGCGTCAGGAGCATCCGGTCTCCTATGCTTTTGCCATTGTTTAGAATCGACCTGTGGGTCAAACATGCTGCTTTTGGCATTGACGTGGTGCCGGAGGTGAATTGAATGTTTACAATCTCATTGGGATGCAGCTGCTGGTCAGGCAAGGGCCGCTCGGCATCCGTCCCTTTTTCTGCAACGTCTTGATACTTTGTCAAAGACGAGAATTGATCGGAATCGATGCGACCGTCGGAGTTGTTCACAATCACAACACTTTTCAGGGAAGGGACCAGCTCTGACTCTACACGTGAGCTTTCCCGTAGGTTCGGTAGCAGGTGAGTGAGGAGCGGAACATTGGATCGTGGGTCCTTGCGGGGAAGGTTCGTCTCGGTGTTGATGATCAAGTGAGAAGCCTCGAGATGGGCGAGGGCGGAGACGACCTGGGTAGCGTTGAAGGCGGGATTCAGGGGAACGAGAATGGCACCGAGCTTGAAGAGTGCGTACGTCAACTGGAGGTCTGGTTAGTCGATGCGCGGCCACTGGAGCACGGACCAGGTTACTGTTGCATGTTCGATATTGTTGCCCAAAGACACGGCAACTCGATCGCCCTTTTTCACCCCGAGACGTTGCAGGCCGCGGGCAAGAGCATTGCTTGCTCGATCCAGTTCGTCATACGTGAGCTGGACTTGCTGGTGTCGCGAGATGACACTGGTGGGGCGGAGTCAGCAACCATATTGGGATCATTGACGAGTTGGATAGCTTACGCTTTCCGGTCACCATGCTTGGCTACTATGGATGAGAAATAGTCGGCGACGGTTTGTTCCAGCAGTGGCGGCTACACGAGCAGATGTTGGCGTTGGCCGAAATTCAAGAATCGATCGGGGCGCAATACCTCGGTAGGGCCTCGTGCAAAAGCCTGTGTCAACAGACCACGACAGCCGCGAGGCAGTAGCGGTGCTGACGGCAGGAATAAGGCGGGCGGATTCCGTCGGCGATGTGGCCTGGAATGGGCGGCGACAAGGGGCGAGGCTGGCTTGCTCGATGATTTGGCCAAGGCAGGGCCAGAGAAGCAGCGGCGCGTTAAAGCGGAGCGGCGCAGCATGTTGGCGGGACTGGAACTCGAGCGGGAGGCAGCATGGATGGTTCTGAGCCATGGGCGGCAGCCTGAGCCAGCGGCGCGGGAGGGGGCAAGCTGCGGCCTCGGGTAACGCACAAAAGACGCATGGTGCGGAGCGGATATCAGCGGGGTGGAGCGAGGAGCGAGGAGCGAGTGGGCTGCGTTGTGGTCAAGGATGCGGGGTTCCGGCAACCCGCCTGCAAAGTTGGAAACGCCGCGGGGTTGGCTCGCTTCTCACCCAACTGCCCAATTAGGCAAGTGGTCGGCGGCTTATACACTGCCAATCCTGCTGCTGGCACTGCTGGCACTGCTGGCACTGCTCTCCAACTGTTGAGGCCTAGCATCCCTCTTGCGTGCCAGACCCGTACATGCTACGCTCTAAAGTCGCACTTCCACCACATTTCGTATCGCGAAGCCTTGCATTCCGAACCAGAAATTATATGATCTATCCTGTCTCTGTTCATTTCGAGACCGGGCGGCTGATGAAACGCCCGTCCGGTCAAGAGCCTCAACCCCGTTGCGACGCTAAGCTAGCCGGCCTCGTATGTATGTACATACCATCAAATGGCCACCTGACCCTGCAACGCGCGACATATGCCTTCGTCCGGACACCCGTCGGCTCCTCGGCCATGACTCGAATCGTCGGCAATGGAAAGTCAGCCAGAACGCCGCGCATTCATTCATCGTATCTGATCCTCGTCCTTGCTCTCACATCTACTAACTGCTGCAATAACAATACCCGGGTCCGAGCAAAGGAGAGTACTACGGCAACTAAGACTAGTTAGGTACACTGTACAGCGTCTGCCGTGAAATAATGATAAAACGAAACCAAACAAGGAAACAAATATTTAATGCTGTACCCAATGTACGTGATGATTCCAAAAGGTATCAAGCCGCCCAAGCCCTCCCGTAAAACACCGTTGAGTACAGACATCGATCGCTCGTGGTCGTCGTAGGCATTGCGATGCTGCCTCTGCTCTTAGCGTACTCCTCAACACCGCTCCCTTGATAGAATTTCCTCCGCAGTCTGCTGAATCGTCACCGTGTCGTTTTTTTATGGTCTTTTTTGATTCGTACGTCATGGCACTCCTTCTCAGAAGTCCTTGAACATCTCGTCGTACTTCTTGGCCATGTCCTCCGTGTACGGTGCACGGCCCTCGGGCTCCGGGTCATACTCATCGAAATTCCGCGTGTCGGCAGGCCCACGCAGATGTGGTACAATCGGTCCCTGCACCTTGCGGTGGTACAGCGCATCCCAGTCGATATGCCGGAACCAGGGGTGTGACTTCACCGCTGCAGCACCGCCCTTGAGGTTACCGAGCCGTTTGGACGTGTCGACCGTGCACAGTTTGCTGATCAGGTCTCGTGCGTCTGGAGACATGGCTGACGGGAAGCGGACTCTGCCCTCAACGATCCTGGGAGACGCAAAGTCAGCGGCAATCGATCCAACGCGAGCGTGCGGTTTGGAGCTCATACTGCTCGTAAATCTTCATGGGGTTTTGGTCCCAGAAAGGAGGCTGGCCGACGAGGAATTCGTAGACCAAGATCCCAAAAGCCCACCAGTCAACGGCGCAGCCGTGGCCTAGTTCTCAATCAGCCAGTCACTCAAACCAGCGTAGACGACAAGAACCTTACCCGTATTCCTGATTACCTCTGGTGCCAGATACTCGGGAGTGCCACATAATGTGTACGTTTCCCCTTTGGGCGTGGTTAGCAAGTTCACCGAGGGAATCGCGATGACGACTGACTGTTTTCGACTTTCTTCGCGAAGCCAAAGTCCACCAGCTTCAGGTGGCCCTCTGCATCTATGAGAATGTTCTCGGGCTTCAGGTCTCGGTAAGCAACGCCTTCCTTTTCGTGGAGGAACTCCAAAATCAGCACGATTTCGGCAGCGTAAAATTGCGAGGTCGGCTCGTTGAAGCGACGTGCTCGGCGCAAGTAGCTGAAGACCTCACCGCCGGGGCAGTAATCAAGCTGCGGAAAAGAGTCAGTCGGGGCAGATGGCGTGCGGGTGCGCGCTACTGACAAGCATGTAGAGCGAATCGTGGTCCTGGAAACTCGCAACCATGGTGGTGATGAAGGGGTGGCCGGCAACGGCGGCCAGGACGTTGCGCTCGTTGCGCACATGCTCGACTTGCTTGAGGCGGATCACTGGCGCATGGTCAGGCTGGAGGCTGGCGGGAGCGGGGCGTGCTGGAAGGCATACCGTCGACCTTGCGGAGGATCTTCAGCGCAAAGACCTTGTCCGCGTCGCCTTGCCGAGAGCTGGACAGGCGCGCAAGCCAGACTCTCGCAAACGTCCCTAACAAGGCACAGGCTTAGCAGGCGTGTCGCCGCGCGGAGAGCAGGCATTGCGCATACCGGTGCCCAGAGTCTTTATGAGCTCAAAGTCCTCGCAGCGCAGGTGGCGCGAAGAGTGGCCGACGCGCTTCTTGGCCGGGTCCTGGGCGACGACGTCGGGCTCGAGCGTCTGCTTGTCTGCCTCCCAGGCGGCCAGATGGTGCTTTTCCTGCTCGCGCTGCGCCATCTGTTGCGAATAGTGGTGGTGTGGGTCGTCGTTGTGCGAGCTGCGCATGCTGTGCGGGACGAGGTGGTGCATCGCGGCTGCGGCCATGGCCGATGCGCTTGGGGCGACGAAGGCTCTGCGGGCGGAGATGGGCGCTGATGGATCTCGTGGTGCGTGGGAGGCTCAGCACATCGCGCGTGCTAGGCCGGCGCGGAGGAGCGGCGGGGTGTGGTTCGGGGGAGCGCAACGGCTGCGGAATAGGTGATGCAAACCGGCGGTCGCGATTTGGGTGCTTGTGTTTTGATAGAGGGGCCTGAGCCGGCGCGAATCTCCAGCAATGACGCTTCACATTCATCTGACAGCCGCTGACAAGGAACCGGTCCCGCCGCCCACCGCCCCATCCAAGCCGCACGCCGCCCTCCAGCGCCCCAATGCCGCAGCCCAGGCCCCGCGGGCTCCAGCACCGCTCGAAACCACGCCGCCTCTGGGACCGCAGCCACGCTCGCCCAGAAAGCCCCAGCCCCAGCCCGCCAGCCGCTCGTCCCTGCCGGCGCCTGCAGCGTGGGGGCCCAGCAGAAGCGCCGTGCAGATGACGCACGTGCGGGCCGCCTGGGAACACGCCGGCCGACGGCCGTGCTCAGGGCCACCGGGCCACCAGACCAGACGCCTGCAGACTGCACCTTGCCGTCGAGTGTGCAGGCCAACACGCTGGCCGACGAGATCCACCCGGCCCTCGACAAATATAGGCACTGCCCTCGCCGCGCTGCCGGAAGCTTCCAGAGCTTGCTTATTGGCTCGCCCCGACGTCACTCGCTGCCGACTCGCCGACGCCATGCGCCGCCCACCTGGTGCCGTCCCGAACCTCTCAAACGCCATCGAAGTCTCTCTATTTGCATGATAATTCTGGCCCGGGCGCCGACTGCAGCATGAACCTCGGCTTGCTCTGCCGTCGCATATCCGTCTTGTCTGCCATGTGAACCGTAAACTCCCTTTATTTCCCTTCGTACAATACATCCAATTCGCCGTGGCCTGACACAAGCGTACATGCCCCGCCTCCCGGCTCGCATTGGGGCCATCGCGGTGCGAGAGAACCGATACGCCATGCACCAGAAGCAGCACCACAAACCCTCCTGGTGAGGCTGTCCAGAATCCCTCCCGTGTAACACAGCTGTCGGGCAAGTCACCCGTGCACTAGCAGGGGTCTGCTCGACGCCCTGAGAATCCACACATGCCTCATCAGAATAGATGCTTAACCCCTGCTGTGGGTGTTGAGGATCAGACCGACGATGAGCCTGCCAAGACGTTAGTTGTCGCCCTTCTGGTTTCGTGAAGCTCGATGCATACCCGTAAAGACCCAGGACTTCGCCGAAAATGAGAATCAGAACCATGCCAACGAAGATCCTTGACTGTTGCATGTACGAGCGGACACCCTGATGAAGTCAGCACACAGCGCCTCCCCCCGGTGTTTCGTGACTCCAAACGCACCATGTCTCCCACTTTGCCAATCGCATATCCAGCGGCAGTGCCCGTCAGGCCGACTGACAGACCGCATGCAAGATGCATGAAGCCGCTGAACAAGCTGTAGTTCTGCCCCGGCGGGGGGCCCATGTCGCCGGCGATGAGCACGGCAATGACTAGCGCGTAGACCGCGATGATACCCGACATGACGACTGGGATCAGCGACTGCCAGCAGTTAGCTCGTCCGTCCCTTCGGCAGCTCTGGCGCAGTGCTTGCCTTCATGATCAGGTCCGGCCGGAAGGTGCCCACACCGGAGATACCGATGCCAGACTTGGCGGTGCCGTATGCAGCTCCGACGCCTGCGCGCTTGTCAGTGGGTGTTGCTCTGCGGCAGCGGCCATGGTTGCATCGAGTCTGCGGGCGACATACATCCGAAGATCATCTTGACGGCGGGTTAGCGAGAGGTCAGCAGGCGGGTGCGATGGGAGCGAGCTTACCGCGAAGGCAATTCCGCCCTGGAGAATGTTAGCTTGGACACGGTGCTGGTGCGGCGGCGTGCTGGGCGACGTACCATGCCGAAGAAGGGCGCGAACTTGGGGGTCAGGTCGGACTCCATGGCGGTGCAGTGCAGCGGCGGGCTGGGCGATGGAGAGGGCGGGCGTGGATGCGGGTGTGGTGTTGATGGGGTGGGTGCTTGGGTGCAAGCTGAGACGCTGCCCTCGGCGGCGGAACCTAAGGTTTGACGCTTTGGCGGCACTCACGCGGCCTTAGCCCTGGTGCGTTCTTCGCGCGAGACAACCCCAGGCCCTCGACCTCTAGTCCCTCAACCCAGTCCAAGGCCGACGGATCTAGCGACTTCCCCTCTGCCTCTCTCTCCCCGCTCATTGCTATCCGCCGCGCCCGCCTGCTCCTCGGCCCTGCCCCTGCGCACCTCGAGCCCCCTCAGCCGTTAGACGACAGATATCGTGCCCCAGCCGCGACCACGCCCGCTCTCCCGGCCGCCTCCCAGGAGCACCAGCACCGTTCCAGCGGACAAGTCTGCCCTCTCCCCCACCCCACCCCGAGTGCTGCGCCGAACGCTCGCTGAACGCCTGCCCCCGTCCACAGAGCCCCGAGCGCGTCCTGCCGATCGCTGCAGGGTCATCCAAGCCAACGCCGCCCCGTCCACTCCTGCCTCTCGCATCCCTCACTCCCGCCCAGGGCCACGCAACCATACCCATACGCTGAGGAGCGGGCTGCCGCGCTGCCCCTCGCACATCGCCGTGCTGGCTAGCTCCACATGGCAGACTATAGCGCTCAGCAGGGGAGGGACTACGGCCGTCCTGCCGGTTACGGCCATGGGGGTCGCGATGCCGCCTTCAACGACATCTTCGGCGCCCGCCCGCAGGACGGTCGCTCGCAGACAATGACATCGCAGTCTTACCAGCGTCCGCCAGACCGCGCCGCCACCATGTCGGGCCAGGTCTCGGACATGATGCAGCGCATGCCGCCCATGAGGCCCGGAGCCAACGGCTACGGCCCACCCCAGCCCAACGGCTACATGCCGCCGCCAAGAGGCCCTCCGAACGGCCCAGCTCCTCCGCGTGGCCAGCCTCAGGCCAACTACTTGCCGCAACCCATCCGCCCCGACCGCCGTCCGTACGACATGCCCCAGCGCATGGACCCACGCGGCATGCCGCCACCCCAAGGCTACGCCAACAAGCCCCTCCCTCAGAGGGTTCCTCCTGGTGGCCCCGGTCCGGCCTTGAATTCCGATGCCTACCGCTCGCAATCGCTCGCCTCCGCCCCGCGCCCGCAAATCTACCCCCCTGGCTACAACGTAAACCCCGCCCACACTTTCCGCCAGGCTCCCTACATGAACCAGGCCAGGATGACCGCTTCCGGACGCGTGGTGCCCGAGCGCTCCGACGAGAGAACCATGTCTCTCTCGTCCTTCAACCGTGACCACGAATACGCCCAGACCATGAGCGGGCGCGTCATACCGAACCGTCCGAAGCAGGAACCCAACGGCGTGTCCATGGAGCGCCCCCCGCCTGGCCCCCCCGTACAGCCATTCGTCCCGCAACCGGGCACAAAGACGAGGAGTCCGAGTCAAGGAAGCTTCAGCACGCAGAGGACCATGTCCATGGCCTCCACCATCTGCCCACCCTCTGAAGCTGGCGAGAACGCACTGAAGCCAACCAAGTCTGGCTCTGGCCGCCAGGGCGCCCCCGGGGCCCCTCGAGAGCGGCCATTGGTGTACCCTGCGCTTTTGTCTAGGGTTGCCGAGGTGTTTCGGGAGAGGATCGTGCTGGGCGAGAAGGATAAGGATGGTCTGGTCTATCAAAGTGCTTTCACCGGCGCCGAAGCGGTGGAGCTCATAGGATACATCATTCGAACATCGGACAGAAATCTTGCGCTTCTTTTGGGCCGGTCTCTGGATGCGCAAAAGTTCTTCCACGAAGTCACGTATGCGCACAGATTACGCGATTCGCAGGCCGAGGTCTACCAATTCCGCGAGACGCTCATGGAGGACTCGACCGAGGTCAACGGCGTCTTTACCCTCCTTACCGAATGTTACTCCCCAACTTGCACACGTGATAAGCTGTGCTACTCGATTGCTTGCCCCAGGAGGTTGGAACAGCAGGCAAGGCTGAACTTGAAGCCTCAGCCGGGTCTTAAGAAGCAGGAATCGAAGACCAGTCTCCACGAAGATGACGACGGCGAAGAGAAGAAGCTCTGGATCATGACGGTGTCCAAGGAAATCGCCGATAGCATCACGGACAAGGAAAAGAAGCGCCAGGAGGTTATTTCCGAACTGATGTACACCGAACGAGACTTCGTGAAGGATCTGGAGTATCTCCGCGACTTCTGGATGAAGCCCCTGCGGAATCCCCAAACGTCGCCGATCCCCGAACACCGTCGCGAGAAGTTCATCCGCACCGTCTTCTCCAACTGCCAGGAGGTTTACAAGGTCAACGCCCGTCTTGCGGAATTCCTAACGCGCAGACAGCAGCAAGCGCCGGTCGTACACAACGTCGGAGACATCTTCATGGAGTACGTGCCGCATTTCGGACCTTTTATCAAGTATGGTGCGAACCAGCTTTTCGGCAAGTATGAGTTCGAGCACGAGAAAAAGACGAACCCGGCCTTCGCAAAATTCGTGGAAGAGGTTGAGAGGATGAAGGAATCGAGAAAGCTGGAGTTGAACGGCTACCTGACGAAGCCGACGACGAGACTGGCGCGTTATCCGCTGCTGCTCGAGAACGTGTTGAAATACACGGCAGACGAAAACCCGGATAAGGAAGACATCCCCAAGGCCATTGCCATCATTAAGGACACCCTCTCCAAGGTCAACGTCGAATCAGGAAAGGCGGAGAACCATTTCAACTTGGTGCAGCTTAACAGGGACCTGAAGTTCCGTCCCGGTGAATATGTGGATTTGAAGCTGACAGAGGAGAACCGCCAACTCATCTTCAAGGGCTCGTTGAAGAAGACACCGACCGATAACACCAGTGATATCCAGGCCTACCTATTCGATCACGCGGTTCTGCTCGTCAGGATAAAGACGGTCAACAAGAAAGAGGAGATGAAGGTGTACAAGAAACCAATCCCACTGGAGCTGCTGGTGATTACGCAAATGGAGGAGGTTTTGCCCAAGCAAGGTATGGCAAGACGGTCCTCATCTAGCTTAAGCCTCGGCGCCAACAAAACAAATTTAAATGCAGGTGCGAAAGCGGACAACAAACAACAGGGGTACCCGATTACCTTTAAACACTTGGGCAAGGGTGGTTACGAGCAGACGTTGTACGCATCGACGCAGATCTCCCAGGAGAAGTGGATGAAGCACATTCAGACCCAACAGAAGAACCTCAGGGACCGCAGTAATATTTTCACCAAGGAGATTGTGTGCGAAGGCTTCTTCAACCAGGCTATCAAGGTCAATTGCTGCGTGCCTCTCGGTCAGTGTTTTCGTTTTCGTCTTCGCTGGTGGTGGTTGCTAATCCCTAAGCAGATGGTGGCCGGAAGCTGGCCTATGGTACTGACTTTGGTGTTTACGTTGCTGACCGCAGGCCGAGAGACGCTTCTATCAAGCCGAAGCGGGTCTTGGAATGCAAGACGGTCACTCAAATCGACGTCCTGGAGCAGCATCAGATTCTCCTGGTTCTCTCCGACAAGACCATGTACTCGTATCCTCTGGAAGCGCTGGACCCCGACGAGAACCAAGGCTCAGTATCCAAAAGGGGTCGCAAGATCTGCCATGCCAACTTCTTCAAGGCCGGTGTATGTGTTGGCCAGCACCTCGTGTGTTGCGTCAAGACATCAGCTCTCTCGACGACCATCAAGGTGTACGAGCCGATGGAGAACATGGCCAAGAAGGCAAGGAAGACTGGTTTCTCCAGGATGTTGGCCGGTGGCCAGGACGTGCTCAAGCCGTACAAGGTAGGATATCATCAGGCGGTGCGGGCTCACATGGGCGTCTCAACTAACGCGACTGTAGGAATTCTACATTCCCACGGAATCGACATCGATCCATTTCTTGCGTTCGAAGCTTTGCGTCGGGTGTGCCAAGGGATTCGAGGTCGTGTCCCTCGAGACGCTCGAGACACAGTCCTTGCTGGACCAAGCCGACACTTCTCTGGACTTTGTCGCAAGGCGCGAGAACATCAAGCCGATCCACATCGAGCGTCTGTCGTCCGAGTTCTTGCTTTGCTACACGGATTTCTCGTTCTTCGTCAACCGCAACGGATGGCGGGCGCGTCCGGACTGGAAGATCACGTGGGAGGGTACGCCGCAGGCGTTTGCTATATTCAACCCGTACATCCTTGCTTTCGAGCCCAGCTTCATCGAAATAAGGCACATGGAGACGGGTATGCTGGTTCATATCTTGACTGCGAAGAACATCAGGATGTTGCACTCTTCTACGAGAGAGGTAAGCATGGGCCGAGGCTGGCATCATTTGGCGGTAAGTGCATGCATGCTGACTCTGTACCTCACAAGATCCTGTATGCCTACGAAGACGAGATGGGCGAGGACACGATCGCATCGCTGGACTTCTGGTCGCGCCCGCAGAGCCCGCCGCAGCAGACGAAGCCCTCTGTGCCGCCGCAGATCCCCGCGCAGAGCTTCTCGCCGTAGAGGGATGCCCGGCACGCGCACGCGCACGCGCACGCGCACGCGCGTTTCGAAGCGCGCTCTTGTACGCCTACCGTGTTCTCGTTTGGTTCCGTCGGGCTTGTGGCACTGTTGTGCTCCCGGCGTTTTGTCGTTGGTTCCCTTTTATCTCCGGCGCTTCCGATACCACCTCTGCAGCAGCGGCATCATGCATCGTGTTGAACAGATCGTTTTTGACGCTTCCTCATCATCAAAGAACTCTGGCCTATTGTTTCATCTCTTTTTCCTTTCACTGCCTGTTGATGCAGGCGTTAATTCATCAAATACATGGGACTACCTTTTTTTTTTGGCACGTATGCGTCCGTCCTATTATTTCCGTTGCGGCAGTGTTCACATTCCGGGCTTGATCTACCTACCTTGGGCACGGATGGTTCGGAGTTTCCTTGTGTGGCGGGGGAGACTGGTCCTTGCACAGGGAATCCCCACACCCATTTCCCCCCTTCTTTTTACTCTCTCCACGACGCGCATGCATGGCTCTTTCTCCTCCCCGTCTGGCGCTGACCCTTTCGTAAATCTCTTGTTTCCTCTCGAACGAGCCCCACCCCTTTTTTCTCTTCCCCAATCTCCCTCTTATCTATCTCTCCCCACAGACCAACGCAGCATGTCTCGACATTTTAAAAAGCGCGTTAATGCGATCTGTACAAAGAATTGAAGTCTTTTTTTTTCGTGTTAGCTTTTGGATCCACGGTGTTTTTTACTCTCTTCTTTTTCCTCTCTCCCCCTCTCCCCGTGTCTTCCTCCCCTCCTCTCCCCCTCCCCTGAAGTTCGTGCTCGGAAGCATGTACTCCCTCTCTCTCTCCCTCCCTCCCTCCCCCGTTTATTCCCCTGACCCTGAACCCTTTTTTCTCCTTCTTCCCTTCTGGCTGCTTACTTCTTTATGATATGATCATTTGCTCGCCACCTCTTTTCAGCCTTGGCCACATACGTTTTTTTCTGTTCACCCTGCTTTTTGTTTTTGCGTTATCATGTAGTTGGTTGGCACAAGCGCTCCTCATTTACCATGTCGAGTGAGTGAGTGAGTGAGTGAGTTGAGTGATTTTTGGTTGTTGTTGATGGCGCCAACGCTGCTGGTTCGAAAAACTCCCCATGTCGACTGGAAGTTGCCTGCCCGCCTGCTCACGTTGTCCCATGCCATCCTTACCCCCACTGCTTTTGTCTGCGCCCACCCCAGATCCGGTGATTGTGTCGAGTGCCGTTCCTTGCCGCGCTTGCGCGCTCAGGTCTGAGTGAAGTGTCTGTGTGTTTGTGTTTTACGCGTGCAGCCTGCCTCCCTGCGACAGACGGATGGATAAACCGCATGTTTGAGTCATGCCGGGTGTGCTTATCGCAGGAGTCTGAAGGATTACCTATGGGAGATGGGAGTAAAGGTGGTGAAGTTCAACAGAGGCTTGCAGCCGGAGGAATGCCTCTTGATATAGGTAGGGCTGGGAAGGGTTAGAGGTTTCTTGTTTTTGTAATCCGGTATGGTGACGTTGTTGTCGCACCAACGTTTGATCCAATATATTGGCAGTTCGATGAGTCACCTCAGTGAAGCGCTAGTTGTCTGGTTTCTTCGTCTTAAAATAGATAAAGAGCTATAGTGATATGTAAAAGAGTATTATTTGAGATGTACACGCATCAACACTCCATTCCCAAAATTGGCTCGAGTAGACGACGAGCTCCCCTCCTACGCCCGACATGTGCCTCAACCGCGATCCCGAGCGCCAAAAAAAACATGCTCAAACCCCACCTTTCAGGCCATGGGCCGTGGAAATTCCTGACTCTGCAATGGGGTCCCTCCATGGTTAGGGTCTAGCGTCTGCAGAAATTTCTGTGGTCCTCGACCTTGGACTACCAAGTCTGCCGCCATCGGGCTCTGTTGAGCTACCAGTAGCCATCGACGCCGGCCGGTTCTGCAGAGGGTCGTCACCACGCTCAACGGATATACCATCGAAGCGGCAAAGCCTCGAACCAACGGAGGGAGAGAGACCATGGGAGAATTGTGCCCAACGTTCACGGTGTCAACGAGTTGGGTCGGAAAGCTGCGTCTCGGTACCACGGTAGCGCCGGAGAGAAGCATTATTGGGCATGGGACTGTCGTGCGCAGGATCAGGAAAACCTCAGGCTCCACATCCGTCCGAAGCACAGCAGTGACGACAACGACTTTCCGTCGTCTCCATGGAAATCACCAGGTCCTCACTTGATCCAAGGGGTCGGCCAAGTTCGCCGCCGCGGGGTCACGCCGCCAGTCGGCGTCGGAGCCCGACTTGCAGCCCTGCTCGGCCTGCGAGTAGGCGGCGGCGCGCATCAGCGCGTCGCGCGTCACCTCGTGCAGGATGCAGTTGGGGCTGAGGTTGCACCAGGGGGCGACGAACTGCTTCTCGGGGCCGGAGGCGGCGGCGTACTCGAGCTTGCAGGTAGCGGGCACGCGCTCGATGAGGCACGACAGGAGGCGGGTGCAGCCCTCGAGGCCGCGCTGGCGGCGCGCGGGCTCCCGCCCCGGCGGCGGCTCCGCGTCGTCTATGGCGGCGATGCGGAGGTGGCGCAGGCGGACCATGGCCTGGAAGGGGCGGAAGTCGGCGTGGGCGTAGCTGGAGGCGTGGGACGAGTCGATGATGTCGACGACGACGAAGAGGCGGCGGATGCTGGAAAGGGCTGGGGGCGGCAGCTGGCTCGCGCCGATGACGGGGTTGCCAATGCGGTGGACCTGTGGTGATGGGGGTTGATGTCTAGGGTTTTTGTGGGCGGTATGGGGGCGCACGTCTGTCTTACATCGGCGTGGATAAAGACGGTGTTCTCTTGGAACAGAACGTCGCGGGCTTCTGCGTAGACTTGGCGGCAGGTGCGGAGCAGAGAGAGGGACAGGGCGGGGTTGATGCGATTCTTCTCATACGAGTAGTATACGCGGATGGCCTTGTCGGGTGCAGTCAGGGCGTGCTCGTAGATGCGGAGGCGGAGTTCGGCCGGGAGGTCGAGCAGACGGAAGGGCTTGAGGGGCTCAATTGGGCATCCGTTCATGATGTTGGGGTGGTGGAGGTGGCATCCATGTCATGCGTGGGGAACTGGGGATAGTCGCGGTACTTTATAGGTCGTGAGTCGTGCCTTCCCGACTCGTGGCGGGGCAGAGCTAGCTGACCCCGCGTCCTCGGCGCCTATCCTCTCCATCATCTCGACCCCCCCTGCGCCCGCCTGACCGCATCCATCCTCGTGGGGCCTGGCGCCCTTCGGCTTCCTCGCTCGGGTCTTGTTGTTCTCTCGAAACTCCTTCGCTCTGGATCCATCAATCGCTGCACCCATGATGTCATCTTGCAGGTACAGATATTCATTGATCATTGCCATCAGGAATACCACATATTTCCCTTGCAACACGCACCTCGACAATTTGGCCTTTTTACTGCCTCGTACGGTTCGTCATTCGTTTCATGTTTTCTCAACCTCAAGCACCTGCCGCTGCGCGTTGACAGCAATCCTCTTCTTCTCCAACGACGCTTTGACGGGGTTGGAAGCGTGGAATATATCGTCCAGCTCCTCGAGCTATGGGGAAGCAGGTCAGATGGCTTCTCGCTACCCCTCTCGTTCAAGGCCGAACTCACCGTGCGTTTCTTCGTCTCGGGAATGACCAAGTAGATGACTGCAGCCTGGAAAACATCCCACACCGCAAAGATGATGTACGTCCTCCACCCAATGTTCTTCATGGATACCGGCCATGCGTAATTGTTCAAGAGAATCGCTAGCAATCCAGTCAGTCCATGCCTGCAAGACCGCCGTGTTGGACCTCACCCAAATTCATGACGAATGCCGAGAAAGCCATGCCCTTTGCGCGCATCTCGAACGAGAGCACCTCAACCGGCACCAGCATCTGGAGCGGTGTGAAGCCGAATGCGTAGATGATGTTGAACATGAAAATAAAGGCAATGGCCGCCGTACCCGCTGATGAGTTGCTTCCATCTTTTGCCAGTGTTGCCGTCGATGCGGTGATGCAAACCCAGCAGATGGCACACCCAATGTTCGCAGATAGCAGCAGCGGCCGACGTCCAAAAAGCTCCACCGTCCTCGCTCCGGCCAGAGCTGTGACGAATTGCACACAGTTCAGGATCAGGTTGATGTTCTTCTGTTCAATCTCATCATGGTAGCCCGCCGTGTCGAGAGCACTACCCAGGTAGTACGACAGAACAGCTTCACGCCTTGTCAGCAGATGGTCCAAGGTCAACCCAAACATCACTCACCGTTGCCCGCCCATTGTCCGAACACGACAATAATCAGGTTGCAAGACAGGCGATAGACTGAGGGCTTGTCCCGGAACAGAGAACGATAGTCCCACCAGCGCTTGTCAGAACCGTCCATCTCCAGGTACTCCTCATACTCTTGCAGTTGCAGCTGCACCCACACGCTGTTCGCGTTGTCGTGGCCATGCCAGTATGTCAACATTTCCCGACACTTGTCACGCTTCCCGCGGGTGTACAGCCAGCGAGGAGATTCGGGCAATGTCCATACAAAGACAAAAACGATGCCCGCGAACAGAAGCTGCAGCCATGTTATGACGAGCCACGAGTTGTTGCTGTGCAACCCGACAGTACCACGAGCCGCGCCGCTGGCCAGAATGGACCCTGTGAACCTGCAGTCACGTCAGCTTATCCGTCCATAATCCCGACCCTGGAATCCCCTTACCAGAATGTGTTATACCAAGCCGTCATCACTCCACGATACGCAGGATGCGATATCTCAAGGACCAGGATCGGCCCACCAGCCGTCATGAAGCTGACGCCGAAGCCGAGTATGAAACGACCGCCCATGAACTGTGCGCGGCTCGCATCATGCGAAGTGGTGCCCTGAATGATGGTCCCTGCGATGATCAAACAAGCACCGATGGACATTCCAGCACGACGGCCGAACTGATCGAGCGATGGACCAACAAATGGAAGAGCAACAACACCGCCAATGGTGTACATGTTTGCAACGATGCCTGACCAGATACCCTTGTTCTCGATCTTGAAAAATTCCAGGAACTCGGGCGTCTCCAGGAACGAGTTCATCAGGGATCCATCGTATCCGTTCGCCGTCGAGCAAAGGAAGCCGACCAAGCAGGCCAGGTACAGGATAAGGGATCTGGTGGCAAACGGGCGTGGAGGCTCCTTGAGCTTCGCCTCTTCAAAGGCGGTTGTTCCACTGATGACCCTGACCTCTTTCACGCCGTTCAACTGGATCCATGCGTGAGCTTTGAACATGGTATGAATGCTGCAAAGTGGAGGGCGTGCTCACCGACTCCACACGAGTGATAGTTTCTGTCTTCCGCATGTTTGAAGCGATCTGTAGCCGTCTTGCTGAAGTCGGCTTGCTGGTGTTCTCGACTGACTTATATGCCCTTCGCCATGGTTGACCTCCTTCCCCGGATTGGCGGAGTAGATTTCTCCGGTACTCCTTCAGACTGAAACAGGTGACAGATGCAGCCACTATCCGCAGCGAAGGGAGCTCGCTTGCTGCACGATTTGTTCAATTGAAGATCCCATGAGCCACACGTTGAGGGGGTTGGCCAATCTCAGGGCTGTCACGGGGCCATCGGCGCCGGTATCAGCACACTTCTCGAATTTAGGAGAAACCAATAACGCAGGGCATCGTCTAGATGCTGTTCGTTCGTTTGATGCTAGTTTCCTTCCACCAATTTCGTGCATGCCCAAGCCGTTGGAATGCGGAGAACCCCAGTCCGACCATCTGCACAGTGTCTGTGCACCCACGTGTTGCAGTGCGGAGCATTTAACCGCCCGGGATTACGGCCAGAAGTGCCGGACTGCTTCATGCACTCTTCACTTACAGAAGCTCATTAGGTTGAAACAATCAGGTTGCTCTCGTGTGACACCTTGCAGCTGTTCGGTGTGTTCAAAAACAAGTGTTTCTCAGGTACGAGTTCCGGGACGCCGTCCAGCCACCAGCTATTCCCATGCCGCATCTTCTTACCTTCGTCTGACATTGCTTGAATGCGTTCTAGCACTTCGGCACCGCGAAATCCATAGGCTTTGCCCTTCTCAAGCCTGTCTCGGTAAACGAGCTACTCCCATGCGTGCAGTCCAATGGGGTCGACTTACCAAGGTAGCATCACTGGGGAACCAGGGCACCTTTTCCTCCACCCAAGTCTTAAGAAAAAAAAAACAAGGCAGAGCAAGGCTCGGCAATACTCGGCAATGCATCCGAATTTTCTATCGAGCGTCTCCGCGAATTCCTCTGCTACGTCATATATGTCGACTACCAGGCCGACGCGGCAAATGCTGTTGTCTCACAATGCTGTCGTCTCACTCTCCGCCGACGCAAACCACTTCCGCTACTGGCTCTATATGACCACATTGGAGACCACGATGGTAGACGTAAGCGAGATGATATATCTGGATGCATACTCTTGGGAAAACCGTGTACGCACCCGTCCGAGCACTCTACTTGCCGGGTGAGGTAGTCTTGTGCTGCTTGGCCCGATTTGGCAAGGCCCAAACATGCCAACAGACGTACTACTACCTACGAATTTCAGACCTCAAGGAAGCTCCAATGGAAAGTTCAGGGCAGTCGATGAGCAGGAAGAAGACCCCGCATTTCCAGTCGTTTGTCTTTGGTGGGGCTGAAACTTGTTTGGCACGGCTCGAAGAGAAGTCTTGCCTGGATTGCGTGCTCCGATGATGGAACGAGCCATTTCTTACTCTCTCCCACAGGGCGAAGTCAAAGTAGGACACCAGGCTATGGGCAGACTGATCTATTATATAACCCTGGCCTACTTAATCGATTCTGGAACGGCGGGAACAGACCTTTGGCCGCGAATGGTGTTCTTTGTATCCACCGACGCAGATGAGAAATCTGTCGGCGTGGGGGACCTCATCGTGGTGAGCCCACGTCGTCGTGCCAGCTCCGGCAACCAGCCTCTTACCTTCCGCGAGGCCGCCCCTTCCTGCTTGCCTTGGGAAACCGATCCGACTGTCCTCGACTTTCCACACGGATAATCCTGGTACTCAACATCCTCTCCGGTTTGCAGATGCATCAGTACCCATTTTTCAGAATCGACCATCGGCCAAACTTTCCAGTGATGGCTTTGACACAGCGTGTGTTCACTAGTGAGGCCTCTGCCCACAGCTTCCCCGCCATCGTGTGGTTCTGTCCCGGAGGGTACCTGATTTCCAATTCGATTTGTTTTTTTTTTTTTCACACTTGTCCGCTAACGCCAAATGCTTTTGCCTACGGAACAGTACATCATAAACCGATCGTCAGACCCCCACTGTCGTCACGTCGCGGCTCACATTTTGCGATTGTGCTCTCGCACGCCTGTGGACCGTGGTTTCCGGTCGCTCCATCAACCATTTCCTTACTTCGATTCAAACCCGCGCGTGTGTACTGTATCCGGCCGGCCGACGAATACCTAACATCATCACCACAACACATGGCGCGCAACAGCGCCCATCTCCCCGAAAAAAAAAAAAAAAAGCATCATCGTCGATCCGAGAGCGCAGCAGCACCGCCATTACCACCACCACCACCACCACCACCACCACCCACCACAAACACAAGCAAGTCTGGCACAGTCCACACAAAACCGGTGCAACGCATGACGACGGGGCCGGCGTTCCGTGCTTTTTTTTCTCTTCTCCCTTTCCTTTTTTTTGCTTCCCCCGTCGATCAATCAAGTTCCCCCCATCCCATGCCATGCCATGCCATGCCATCCCATCCCATGATCGCCCATCCCGCTCACTAGTGGAATGTCTTGGTTCGCGGCGGGACGAGACGAGAAAAAAATCCTGTTTTCCCCCCCTTGCCGAGGGGAGAAATGGTACCAGGTGTATCATTGCCAAGACTATGCGCTGGCGGAGAGGGGAGGGAAGGGGGATGAGCAGTGGTACCTGGTGGGACCGAGGTACATATACATTTGCGCCGTACGCGCATGCCAAGGGGAGGAGAAGGGGAGGAAGTGAGAGGAAACGTTGCCTTGCATGCAACAGCAGCGGCGGCGCGCCCCGCCGCGGTCTTGGCATTTTTGTTTGTTTTTTTTTTCTCCCCGCCGTGGCAGGGCGCACACATCATCGGCGCCAAGACGTCGCACGGGGGAGGGGGGGACGGAGGGAAGGGAAGGGTAGTGTGTATGTATGTGGCGGGGAGCAGAAGCAGGACCGGCTGGGGGAGCACGCACATGCGCGCGTCATTTGAGTCTCTCTCTTTCTCTCCACTTGAGATTATTGGAGGAAAAGGCAGGTGATGGGTTTCTTTTTCCTTTTTTTTTTGACAGGTAAGGAGATGGAGAAAGAAGGAGGGAGGGGGAGGGAGAGAGAAGGGCAGCCACAGGCGTCATTATTGGTCATTTGGGCGGCGGCGATGGTGGTGGTGGTGGTTACAAGCAATGGCTGGCTGAAGTCCAATTTTTCGTCGCTTTTGCGCTGCTCACACGACGACGGCCGGGCGAGGGGAAGGACGAACAGGGGTGGCAGGCAGGTATGCAGTTTCGGGATGCCTTTTCCAGCCAGTCTGCCGGCTTGCCGGCTTGCCAGCCAGCCAGCCAGCCAGTTTCCCTTCCTGCTGGCCTGCCTGCCGTCCTCCTCCCTGCAAGAAAGACAATCTGCGCGTAAAGCGGGGAGGAGAAGAATGGGTTGAGAAAAAGGTCAGGAACAGGTACCTAATTCGCGTTAGATGGAGATAAGCGGGGAAATACATAGGTACATGTCGTGTATGTATGTACACTGTGCTGGCGTCGGCATAGTGTGTGGTAGATTAAAGCGCCTCGTCGTTTCGCATGTTCTTCCCAGGGGCAAGCCTGCGTGCACGTTCCGAACGCTAGGATCGGGAAAGGGGAGATCAATTTGCAAGCAAGCGATTCTCGGCTTACCTGCCTTGTGACAGGCGCAAGTGGAGGATGCTGGTTCGCTGATAGGAAACTGGTAGAAGCCGAGAACAGCCGAAGGTGAGAGCAGCAATGCGGGAGAAATCGTATGAGCGGGACGGCAAGCAGCCGCTTTTGCTGTTCAGCCGCAAGCCTCTTGTCAGCGGACATTCTCCTTTTCCTCCCGTCGTCCGTCGGAAAAAGGAATGAGTGAAGGGTGAGTGAGGGGAAGCTGGTGTGCATGTGTGGGGGGCAGGCATATGCAGTGGTGAATCGCGGATCGTTTTCTGTCATTAGTTGCCGGTGGCTTGCTTGCTTGCTTGCTTGCTTGCTTGCTGTCGTGTGAGGCTTGGGCCCCGCTTGGGACGATGCGGAGGGCGATGCGACAGGCCGCAAGCTGTTGGGTGCATGTCGTCTGCCGTGTCGTTTTCCTTCACCACGGCTACTTTTGGACCAGGGGTTCGACGGGTTCCACCAGCAGGAGTGAGTGTTGATATCGGTGCGACTGGGCGAGTCAAAGGCATTTGCAATATCGAGCCGTCAAGGTGGTGGGCCGGGGCTTGCGCAGCCAAGCATTCCATGCATGAACTGGGGGCCACGGGCTGTGGGGTAAATGCAGAGAAGGGTTCAACGGGGCCAGGCCTAGTGGGCGTCGCAACGGTGCCGTCCAAGGGTTGCGCGGATCCGCGCGTGTATGCTTGGCGGCAGAGTTTGCCTTGCTGCGTGCGTCTCGGCGGAGTTCCAGAAGGGCGTGCTTGTCTGGCGTCGCATCGCACGAGTGCGGCGGTGCGACGAGGCCGTCCAGCAACGCGGGGCGGGGAATCTCGCGATCTGGTGCGGCCGGGGCAGATGTCGAGTCGTCGTCCTCAACGCGTCGGGATTCAGCTTCAGCGCCCGCATTCACACCTGCGTCACCCGCCTAGGTCACCCCCACGGCAGTCAGCGCCAAGCACGGGTTGCGGACAAGCCTTTTGGTCGCAGCCACGGACGCGAGCCAAGATGCCCCCGGATCGGCCGCCTTGTCTCCTGCTGCTCCCGTCACCCTCGGCCCGGCCGCCGTCTGGATGCGGGCAGCGGTGCGCGGCGGTCTGCAGCTGGTCACACGGGCGGGCGGGCGTGATGAGGCGGTGGGTGAGGCGGGCGCCCCTCTCTTCCGCAGCCGGGGGAGCTGGGGTGACGAATGCTGGGGGAGCCGGAGCCGCGGCAGGCTGGCGTCATTGCGCGCGACGTGCTATTTTTCAGATGGTAGCGACACAGCAGGATGACAGGGCTGACTCGGCGGCCTTGGCTGCATAGCCCACCATGTGCGGTATTATTGTTGCGGGCACCGGCTGGGCAGGGCAGCGTGCAGCGTGGGGAGTCTGGGGCAGCACCGATCATGCGCAGGGCCAGCGCTAGTAATGCGTAGAAGAGGTGCGGTTGAAGGTTGCGTTGCCCAGTGCGCAGCGGCGCATCCGTGCCCGGAGGCCACCGAGCGACGGCGAGTGGCGACGATCCTGGCACCCTGGGATCCGGGGGTCCTGGGGAAACCCTCCCTCTTGGCAGCCCGACCAAGCATCCCGCGCGCCCGCTGCTGCCGCCGCAATCTGCCAGCTCGCCCGAGCCTGCCTCCCCCGAGACAAAAGCCCGCCCTGCGCCCCGACGCCAGCGAGCCAGCCATCCAGCGGCCCGCCCAGTCCCCTCTGCGCCCCGCGACCCTCCTCGACCGCTTCGCTGCCGTCTCTTCGCTTTGCATCTGTGCGTCTCCTCATTCGTCATCCGCAACCGTCCTAAAACGCCGAGCGCCCAAGACAAACCATGCTTAACCCGCCCACTGCCCTCCACGCCCTCCCCGACTATAACACCGATGGAAGCACCACCGAGAGCGGGAGCGACCACCCTGAGCCCGTCACTCCCACCAGCGAACAGCGTCCCGCCTCCTTCGCCGCCCTCCGCCTCGAGCCCACCCGCAGCAAACCCGGCGACATGGCCGTTGCAACAATGACGGCAACCCACCCGCCGCCCATCCAGTGCGAAAACCCTTCTCACCGCGCCGGCCTCAAGAAAATCGGCACTTTCGTGAGGAAGACCATCAAGCGCGCCGACTCGAAGCGCGACGACGACGACGCCACCCCGGACAAGGCTGCCCTCCCTCACGAGCCTCTCTTCGTCCGCACCAGACGCCTCAGCTCCTGGTCCCGTTCGGCCCGCAGCTCTCCTAAATCCTCGCAGTCCAACAGCCCCCCCTCTCCACGCTCACCTACCATTACCTTCGAGGAAAAGAACAAGGACGGCAGCGCCCCACCTGGCTTTTCTCGCCCGAGCCAGTCGCCCTCCTTCGACACCTTCATGTCGAAACCTGACAAATTCGGCCCGTCCTCGCTGGTCGACCGCGCCGGCTACAGAAATAGAGCCGCTAGTCTCGAATCTGTTCCCAAGTCTGTTTCCCGTCACCCCCAGGATACCACGCTTCCCAAGTCGCAGCCCGCTGGCAGAGCCGCCGAGGGTGCTGGTCTGAAAGCTCGCCGCCTGAGCACCTGTCTGCCCGACGAGTTCTTCGTCGACCACTGCGAGCTGGACAATGAGTTCAAGAGCACAAGCGCCATTCCCTTCCGCCGAGGCAAGAAACTCGGCGACGGCGCCACGGCCGAGGTGCGCGTCATGTCCAGGCGAGGCGGCCCCGGCGACGAGCTGTACGCCGTCAAAGAGTTCCGCGGCCGCGAGAAAGACGAGTCCGAGGACGACTACGTCAAGAAGATCAAGTCCGAGTACAGCATCGCCAAAAGTCTGCACCATCCCAACATCGTCGACACGGTGCGCCTGTGCACCCACAACGGCCGCTGGAACCACATCATGGAATTCTGCACTCACGGCGAGCTCTACGACCTCGCCAAGAAGGGCTTGTTCATTCCCGTCCAGGCTGGTGGCTACTACAAAGCCGCCGACCGCCTGTGTCTCTTCAAACAGTTGTGCCGCGGCGTGTGCTACCTGCACGATCACGGCATCGCCCATCGCGACATCAAACTTGAGAACCTTCTTCTAGACAAGGAAGGCCACCTCAAGATCTCCGATTTCGGCGTGTCCGAGGTTTTTAGCGGCGAGCATCCCGGTATGCGTGCTGCTGGTGGAGAGTGCGGCGTCGACATGGGCGAAGTGCGGCTCTGCAAACCAGGCATCTGCGGCAGCAGGCCGTACATCGCCCCGGAGGTTCTCGCAAAGAGCGGTAAGCCGAACAACTGCAAGGCTTCAACCAACTCCCCCCTCTGTCTAACATACTTCACATCCAGGCCCTTACGACCCCCGTCCAATGGACGTCTGGTCCTGCGCCATCGCCCTCTTCTACCTCTCCAGCCAGTCACCTTGGGGCGCCGCCGACGCCGCCACTGACGTCAAGTACGCAGCGTACCTGCGCAACTGGGACGACTGGATGGCCCGGCACCCCGACGGCGAGGTGTGCGACGACTCAGACGGCGCGCCCAAGACGTCGCCCGCCTTCCAGGGGCTGGACAATCCGGGCATCAAGCGCTTGATGATCCGCATGCTGTGTCCCTACCCGGAGCGCCGCATCACCATCCGCGAGGTGCTCGACTCGCCGACCATGCGCGCCGTCGAGTGCTGCACGCCAGAGAACTACGCCGATGAGGTCGCGTGCCCGACGGTCGTCGATGCGAGCAGCAAGAAAGGATGCAAGGCCGCTCGTCAGGCCACCGTGCTCAAGAAGCACAACCATTGCCCGCCCAAGGGTAGTAGGATCCCGAAGGCGCTGCAGCATCGATTCGACATGGGGCATGGATGGTATTGATATCGGATATCTAATGATACTTTTCTTTTTTCCTCCATATTCCTCTTTGGTCATTCCCCCGAAAATTCCGCAGCGCGGCTGGTTCGTTATCATCGGCATTTTGACGAGGTAATAGAGTGGGTTATTCTTATGAACGAAAGAACGTACATACATAGTTGGAGAAGGAAAAATCTCTTCTGTTTTTCTACTCTTTCTTTTCCTTTTCCGTCCCTTCCGTTCTTGGCTTGTCGTAAATGCATTGGGTTGGCTCCGTAACGGCGGTTCTGTGACGATTTCTTTCTTTGGTGGGATGATCGGCATCGGTCTTCTTTGTGTTTTGGGGGTTTGACTCCCCTGCTGGTTTTCTCCTTTGTTTTCGTAACGATTGTACAGAAACGACTGAAGGAGTGTACAAAGAAGGGGGCAGTCGGTCGATGACGACGGAAAGGCCAAGGATCATGACGATTTTGTTATACATCCAACGCATATACACACGGAAAGCGGCGCACGGCGATGGGGCGGAGAGTGGGCAGGTACACATAGAAGGGGGCGAGGGGTGGGGTGTTCTGGTCTGTTTGCGGAAGTTTGGGTCGGCAGTTGTGTCGATGAATTGGAGAAATAACGATGATGTCTGTATGAGTGCGTATCTCGATATGCACTGCGCGGTACAAAAACATTTCGAGCTGTATTCTGCTGTTTTTGCTATACTCCTTGCGCCCTTGCAAGTATCTCTTTCCCGCACTTGTTACGGACGCATTTATTGATTCTGGTCATCTGCTCTTTTTTTTCTTTTTTGTTCTCGCGTTTTGCACTGACTGTATGTAACGATTGACGGACAGATGTGGATTGTTCTTACGAAAACTGGGCGAGGTTTTTATCTCACATACCAACACCTCCCCCTAACGAACAATAAAGAAGCGATATACAAGATTTTTCACATACCACTTGGCACACTGCTTTGTGCTGTTGCCAGACTGGATCCGTCCGCTCATACACACATATACACACACGGAGAGAGAGAGAGAGACAGAAACGAAATCCCCAAAAGACGTCACACCATCCGCCGCCCTCGCTCATCAACTTCGTTCATCCATTCACCCACAACAATGATAATGACGTTGATCTCCCCCTCTTTCGCCTCCTCCTCTTATGAACACGTAAGCCCTACTGGCAACCGAACCGAACCGACCGACGGGGCCGCGTGTTGTCGGCCCTCCGTTCGATTAATTCGGGCTCGGCCGCGGTTCGCGTTTTCGGAACTCCGAATGCTTAGCTGAGAGAGCCCTTCTTTGTCCGTTTTACTCTTCGCTGCTCCTTTGTTGACGCATATGTGACTGGCCGTTGGCGTATGACATAAGCCCGATTCCACATATCCGCGAATGGGATGGGATGGGGATTGGAGGGTTGGTTGGGGGTGGGCTTTTCTTTTTTTTTTGGGCGGGTGGGGGGGTGTTTTTCGGTTTGGTTCGTACGAGGGGGGGTTTTTTTTGGTGTTGGTGCGAGGTGCGAGGTGCGGGGGGCAACGATGGAGGGCGTGGTCGGAGTGGGGATTTGGGGGTGTTGAGAGCGAGTGGACGGACGGACGGACGGTTGGAGAGGGAGGGAGGGAGAGAGTATGCGAGGGATTACAGCTCTGACGTAGCAAAAGGTTGTCGAGGAGGAACAACAGGCCGCCCCGATGCATTTCAGTGCTACGACAACGAGTCTTGGTGAATGGCTTCAAGGTGGGGACAGATTTTGAATGCGGAAACATCAAACATTCGATCGATGAGCTTTCAGTCGGCGTGGCCCTTTGGAGGATGCAATGAGAGTCAATCCAGAGATACCGAAATTCCGATTGCCCAGCAAGGTCTTGTAGTATTACGAAAGCCACAAAGTAGTTGAACCCACGATGTGTTGTCGAGATGGGCTTTATAATCGGTCCGAGTTGTATAAGATGCCAGTGTCCAAGCTATAAAAATGCATCTAGAACCGAGATTCCACCCACTACCTACGTAAAATAAATGTATGTGAGTTCTATTCATGGTCGGCATCGAATTCTCGATATTGGTGCAACCCCCGATGAAAACATGAATGTGAACTACCATTCTCGACACCGCACAGCACAAGCAAAGCAGTGAAACCAATCAGTTCATCTGAGTCTTCTTCTTTTGGAGGACTCTTCCCATACTTTCTTGTCCCTAGCCTTTATGTCCCTCCTTATCGCGTGCTCGACAAGTCGTTTCCTCTCCGCCACACCATCTGAACCGGCTGGGCTATTGTCATCGGCCGGCGCCGGTACGATGAGGAACTCGTCGTTTATGCCGGGTAACGAGTGAGACGGGAGACCGACACAGAAGGGGCAAAACTTTCCCTTAACTTTCGTCTTGCTGTGGTCCCCGGGCCCAAGCAATACTGGGAAACACTCGTCACAGTTGGGGCATTTGCACCAGGCCGGGCCGTGACGGTTCGACGGGGCGATATCGGCCTGTGCGCGCACGAGCTCCTTCCAAAACTCGTCGACGGGATCTAGGGCGGACTGGAAACGCGGGTTCAAGTACAAGGCGGGGAGGCGGGTCTTGCAGATGCCCAAGAAATAGACTCGGAGCCTCCGACCCATGGACGACGCTGGATGCGTGTTGTCGTAGACGAACTTGATGGTGTCGGGGAAGGATTCCCGCATGTAGTATGCAAATCCGTCGTCTTCGTCTTCCGTGGCGTCACGGATTTCTCTGAGTGTGTAACCCGCCATGTGCGGAATTTCATACTTATCGGCCGCCACATAACACTTGATCAAGGACAGAATCGTCCAGTGCTGCTTCTTTTCGCCATCATCGCTGTCGAGTTCAGCACCAATGCACTCAACCATTGCCTTATCCAGACAGAATCTTCCCGTGTAGAGGAAATCGACCATGGCTTCGACGACGAATGGGTCATCCTCGACGAGCTCAATGAAGCCCGTCCGCGCCTCCTTCGAACAGAGCGGTCATTAGCCGAAGCCGAGGCGGAGAGTAGACAAATGGGCTTCTTGCCTTGAAGGGCGAGTCCGGCTTGCAAGCTTTGTGGAAGAAAGTTGACTGTGCGCACACAACGGCTTTGTGCACCTTGAGCTCCTCCCCATTGTTGCATCGAAGAGTCAAGTCAGTATAGAGGCCCTTTACTCTCAAGCTTTGGTCGCCATGATTAGCTTGTCGACCTTGGACCTGAAAGGGCGAGAGGGGCTGACTTGCAGACTCCCATATGGAGGGGAGACAGGTCCTTGAGAAAGCCGGGGGCGTCACTCATGATCGGATTCGATTGCGGAGGCTGTGTCGTTGTTGATGCAGCGAAGGAAGGCGTGTGCGCGTTATTTCACGAGTTAGGCCTCCCCTATCCGATTGGCCGCATACACCTCACCGCTTTTACACCCGAGACAGGGTGCTTGCAGGTGGTCCCACTATCCATCCCAGTAAGCAACAAAACGTGCATCGAGAACGGTCGCTCACATCGAAACTCAAAACATCATTAACGCCACGCCCAGAAGAACTGACAGCATGAAAAGAAAAAGATATCATAACTTCAATTTCCATGAGATATAGCACGAAGACCCCGAAAGAAACCCCCTGAAACCCCCCCAGAAAAAAGAAAGACTCCCAAGACATCATCATCATCAATCCATCCTCTGCCTCTTCGCCGCACGTTCGGCCTCCTCCTTCTCCTCCTCCTCGTTGGGATCGTACTTGACCATGTTGGCGCGCCACGTCCTATGATCATCAACAGCATGGCAGCCCCAGCACGCCGGCGCGCTCGTGTCCTCCTCCCACGGCAGGTTCATCATGACCTCGCCGCACGTCTGGCAGCGATACAGCTCCATCCACGGCCACGTGGCCGAGTACTGGGCAAACGCCGCCCAGAAGCCGTCGATGCCGTCCATCTCCTCGACAAAGGCCGGGTTGCGGGTGAAGTACTTGAGCCGCGTCTTGACGATGGCGAGCGCCACGCAGCGCAGCCGCTTGTCCGACTCGGGCGTCGTCTCGAAGACGCGCGCCACGACCGACGGGAAGTCGGGGTGCCGCCAGCCCTGCCCGCGCACCGCCCCGTCCATGAACATGCGCCACGCCTGCTCCTTGAGCTCCGACACCTGGTACTTTTCGGCGATGCTGTACAGCCCGACGGCGTACGCCATCGACCGGCCCGCGTCGGCGCAGATCTCGGCCCCGTCGAGCACCCGCTCCGTCTGCACGCGTGACGTGTAGAAGTAGCCGAGGAGGCCGTCCACGAGGCAGGGCTCGTCGTCGTCGAGTTCGATGACCCCGGTGCCCTGCGTAAGGGTTTCGGTCGTTAGCTTTTTCATTCTTTACTCTCCCTTGACTTCACCTCTCCCTCCCTCCCTCCCTCCCTCTATCTCTCTCTCGCTCTCTCTCGCTCTCTCGCTCTCTAGCTCTCTCTCTCTAGCTCTCGCCAACAAACACACAAAAAAAAAAGGGAGCAAGCATACCCCAATCGGCGAGTCCGGATGCAGCTGGTTGGCGAAAAAGTCGGACTGCGGGCCTATGACGACGCGGTGGGCGTAAAAGGTGTAGTCGCGGCAGCGGATGATGAGGTCGCTCCAGTTGTGGTTCTCGAAGCGGCCGTCGTAGAGCCTGTCCGGACAAAAGAATTGGCACGGCCCGTCAGCCACAAGATTCCTTCTAACTTTCTGCTTTTGCGCGCGCGACTCATGGGTCCCGGCGCTAGCCAACAAGGGAAGAATGGGAGCCCCACTTCTCCAAGCCGCGTTTGAAGTCGCTGTTGATTCTGTCCGACTCGGGCTCCGTGTAGGCGCCGTCGGGCTGCGGCTTGACGTTGTAGCCCAGCGGCGGGAAGCGGTAGAAGCCCGGGGTCGATATCTTGGTGCTGCTGGGCCGGGTGGGGATGGAGAACTCCCCTGAGCTGCGGGCGCTGCGGGCCGTCATGGGCGGCGACGGCGGCCGCGACGACTGCTGCGAGGCAAACGCCTTGAAGCGCGCGAAGGAGGCGTCCATGGTGCTGGCAGGCGGAGGGTGGCTCGGGCGCAGGGACGAGGGAATATGACAGCGCGGCACAAAGGTTTGCAGCCGTGCCTGGTCTTATGTAGTCCTCGCGGTGAGCTCATCCCACAAATTCCCTGATCCGGTATGGCGCCATGGACGTGGACACTGTGCACAGGCCGCAAGAATGCTTCTTCACCGGTGAGCAAAGTCGTTGCCGAGAGAACCTCACGCCAGGAGCGAGCGAACTGCTGGCGCTGGCTTGGCGGCATGGCCATTGTCCGCTCCGTCTCTAGGTAAGCCATCAACCCTCTAGGCGTCTATCCCGCCGCTCTCGCCGTCCAGTGCTGCCTACGTCGCTGCCGCCGCCGCCGCCGCCGCCGCCACCACCGCCCTGTCTTGCTCCTGCACCCTGTTGCGCCAGTTGGTCCCCATCTCTGCCGGCACGTCCCAAATCTGCACCTCGCACCACTGCGCTTCCGAGTGCTCCAAACCGCACGCCGGACACTTGCTCAGGCCCGCCGGGCGCACCTCCAGCGCCACCTGCGAGAGGCACGACGGGCAGAAGCGGCGCTCGAGGTCCGGGAAGGCCTTCCGGTACCTCGCCAGGTCGTCCCAGAACGTCTCCAGCGCGTCCATGTCCTCCTCAAAGTGCGGGGCATACCTGCTGGTGAACCAGTGCAGCTGGGGGGCGACGGCGCTCAGCACGGCGTGGCGCAGGCCCATGTCCTTCTCGGGCGTCAGCTCCCACACGAAGGCGATGGTCTTGACAAAGTGCGGCGACTGCCACTCGCCGGCGTTGAGGTAGTCGTGGAAGGCGGCCCAGGCGCGCAGCTTGAGCCCGGCCACGCGGTACTTTTCGGCCATGGCGTAGACGGAGGCGAAGAAGCGCGTCTTGCGGCCCTCCTTCAGCCGCACGTTCTCGTGCAGCGGGATGTCCTGGATGTAGAAGTACGCGAGCAGCACCTCTACCAGCTCAGGGGGATCCTCGCTGAGGTCGATGACGCCGGTGCGTGCTTCCTGCGGGCGTGTTTAGCTCGTCGGTCACGCGGGCTCGCGGGGGGCTGGCGCACCACGAAGGGGGAGTCGGGCTTGCAGGCGTTGTCGAAGAAGGCGCACTGCGAGCACACGACGATGCGGTGGACATTGTACTCTCGGCCTTTGCATTTGACGACGAGATCGGTGTACTTCTTGTCGGAAAATCGGTTGTCCCAGTGGCTGGCGGCGACGATCAGCTACCCACGCGTGCACGGTGGGAACGACTCTCGCCTCACCCCTTCAGCGCATCAGACATTCCCCGGTCACCTCGGGGCAGCCCGAGCGTGTAGCTGCCCGTCCGCGGCTTCAGATCGTACCCCAGGGGGCCCGCCATGGTCGCGCGCAGCCAGGGAAGCTTCTGGAAGGGGATGCTGCCCGGCTGAGGCAGAAGCTCTTCGCCCGGAAAGAGAGGACGTGAGGATAAGGAGTCACGGAGTCTTGGGCCGAGCGAGCCTGAAACCATGGCGTGTGGCGCGCCGCGAATTTCACAGCGCCTGGGCACGTGGCATGAGGTGCACAGACAGACCACCCCTCTATCGATAAGGAAGGCGCAATCCGTATCCCATGACATCATTCCACTGAGTTTGGACGCCCGCTGCATGAAGCATTCCCGAATGCTGTCTCTCCTCACCTGCAATCGAGACGACGCCATGGAAGCCCCAACGCTCCGAGACCCAGTCAACATCCTCGACCAATCAGCCTGCTACCGGATACTAGAAATGCGTTTCTACATTGGGTGTGGAGTCTTGTCAACAACCGATCGAATGTCGGGTGGGAGGAATCCAACCTCACTTTGCTTCACACGTCTAACTTCACTTTGGCACACAAGCACAGGCGGCTAAGCATTCACATGACATGGATGCACTATAAAACCTCAGCAACCAGCCCGGTTTTCTTTCCTCTTTCCTCAACCTAACACCACCCCACCTCACAGGCAACTGGGGCACAATGTTTCATACAGTCACCCAACGCGCGCCGAAGCGCGATTTCGCCACCATGCTGTCGGAGAGCAACCGGGCAATGTACGAGTAAGTCGTCCCCATAACCCTCTCTTCTCACCTACCATGGGCAACTGAGCTGACTCTTCCACAGGACAACACAGGTTGACACCTATTGCGACCTGACGCTTCGCCTTGGCGACTCGACCGAGCTTCGATGCCATCGGGTCGTAGTGTGCACGCAGTGCGAATTCTTCGCGAACTCGGTGAAGCCGGGGAGGTTCAATGTACGGCAAACACTTGACGCTACCAAAGGACCGCAGCTCACCCAAAGTGTAGGAAGCCTCCGGCATCATCAACTTGAAGAGCGATCCGCCCCACGCAATCCGGTCGATGATTGAGTTCCTGTACACAAAGAGTTACAGCGCGAGCAAGCAGATCGAAGAGCTCGACCCGGAGATTGACACGGAGGAGATGGACCTGGAAGAATCTGACGAAGAGGACATGGATGACCTGGAAGAATATGGCCCAGAGGATATTGACCTGGTGGAGATAGAGCTGGAGGCATCTGACTCAGAGGAGATCGAAGACGAGCTGGACGAGATGTTCGGCAGTGCAGAGCTTGGAGGCAAGAGGGCCGGCAAGAAGTCTAACCTTGAGAGGTTTGGATACACCAACATGCTGCCCGAAGAGTACGCCGAAGCGGTCATGGGACATGCCGAAGTGTACGTGGTCGCAGACTTCTTCCGCATCCCCGACCTCAAGGAGCGAGCCGCAAGGTTCCTCAGGTTCTTTCTGAAGAACGAGGGCACGCTTGACGTCTTCCCCCGGCTTGTCAACACCATCTACTCCGGCGTCCCGGATTCGCAATGCTCCCTAAGGGATGACTTGTTCAACTTCGCCGCAGAGCACGTCGCAGAACTGAGTTCGGGAGGCCGTCTCCGGTCTATGATGGAGGACTTGCCGGACTTTATGGAAAAGCTTACAGCTGCAGCTCTATCACAAGTGAAACAGACGCACAGCCAGAACCGTCTGAACGAAGATAGGTTGAGGACCCTTGGGGCCGCCAAGCGCCGTTATAGGTGCCCTGAGTGCGGTGGGAACTTTGACGGCTTTAGCATCGCCACGCCGGACGTCAAGCTCAAGATTAGGTGCCCAGACTGTAGCAGCAGATGGTTTGCCAGGCCGAAGAGGTCCAACAGATCTTGAGAATCATGGCATGGCTCAGCGGATGGGTTTTCCTTTTTTCTTTCTCAGAGATTTGGTGGCGTCATTGGCGCCGGTCAACTCATGCATTGCATGGGCACTTGATGAGCTTCTTATGGAAACCCCTTTCATGGCAGATGCTCAGATTCTCAGCGATACCCTGACAGATTTGCAACAAATTCAACAGCTGGAAGGCAAAAGACGAAGAGTGTATAATCAAGCCGTGAATCATTAGTCAAGCGTAATGCCATCCCCACCCTCCAACACACGTGCCTGCTTTGGTAAATGAACAGAAAGTAAGTAAGTGACCACCACCCAAGATACCGAGAACACGCACAAGCCCACTCACCCACTTACCCACCCACCCACCTCCATCACCACCCCGCGCCGCCATCCTCCCCCGCCACACTCGACGGCCGCTCGGCCAAATCCTCAGGCTCAGGCGGATCGTCCGGCCTGATGAGCCTCTTCTTCCACGTCGCGGGCGCAAACCCCGCGCCGCAATACATGCACTGCAGCAGCTCCGTCGGGCAGGGCTTGGGGATGTTCCACGCCACGGCGCGGCGACAGACGCTGCAGCGATACCGGCGACAATCCACAACGACGTTCTTCGCCGGCGGCGCACCGTTGACACCATTCGCACCATTCGCACCACCACCCCCACCCCCACCACGACCCGAAGACGAAGACGCGAGCCCCAGCATCTCCCGCGCGAGCTCGCGGCCAAACACGCCCAGCTCGTCCATCATCTCGTCAAACGCCGGGTCGCCGAGCAGGTCGCGGGCGTGGGCGGCGCACACGCGCAGGGCGACGTCGCGCAGCGCGCGGTCGGTGGCGGGGGTCGTCTCGTAGATGGCGCGGACGGCGGCGGGGAAGCGCGGGAAGCGGTGGGAGACGTCGCGCTCGAAGTTTTGGACGGCGAGGCGCTTGAGCGCGGGGATGGCGTAGATGTCGCCGACGGCGTACATGTGGACGTGGAAGATCATGCGGTCTTCTTCCGCGGGTTGGTGGGACTGTTGCGGCGCCGGTGGTGGTGGCGGCGTGTAGGTGAAGGTGTAGCAGAATTCGAGCATGGCGCGGACGGTCGAGGGGTCGTCGTGGCGGAGTTCGATGATGCCGGAGAGGGCTTCCTGGGAGGGGTGGTGAGGGTGGTGGTTTGGGGAGATGGGGGGGGGGGAGGATGGAGGAGGAGGGGATGCAAAAGGGGACGAAGATGACGAAGGAGACGAAGGATGAAGGAGATGGAGGAGATGAAGAAGACGAAGGAGATGGAGAAGATGAAGGGGAAAACGATGATGATGATGATGATGGCTAGGACTGCTGCTACTGCTACTACTGCTGCTGCTCACGCGGAGTGCTGGGTGTAGGTGCTGGGTCTCTTGCAGTTTCTCGTCTTCTCGTGATTGGTGGTATGTACCTTGAAGCCGGTCTTGGGGTTGCATGCGCGCCGAAAGAACTCGGATTGGCTGCACAGGATTACACGGTGGGCTCGGTGCTCGTCGCCATTGTTGCAGCGAATCAGCAGGTCCGAATACTCGCTGGATTTCCAGATGCTTTGCTCGGATCAGCAACGTGGGCACACACGGTTTGATGAATCGAATCTATCGCACTTGACGAGATTATTCTTGAGACGAAGTATGGGATCGTCCTTGTTGGTGGAGGCCATCACCCGCGACTATTCTTGACTGCGCAATCCCGGAAATACAGCAACCGAAGACGGACGTTTGCGACGCAGGAAAAACAAAAGTGGGCGGATGACTGTGGTATCGACGACGTTGCAAAAGCGTTGCCTGGCGGCGGGGGAAGCTGGAGGCTGGTCGCGAACTGGAACAATTGAGCCCCGCTTTCCCACGCCAGGGAAAGCGCCGTGTCACTATCTAATCACACACAATTTAGCGAGGCTCGAGAGCATCAAGGGTTGCGCGTTTCCCGACGAAGGGCATCATCGTCTCCAGAGGAAGGAGAGTTGAGGCCTGGCGCTTTGGCGACGCGCGAGCTTTGGCTGGCGCAGATGCACGTGTCTACCTAGCGGAAGGGTGGGCGGCGCTTTTCGGGAAGTGGCATGGCAGTGGAGCGTAAGTGTTTTTCCGACCGCACAGCCCATGGCCGCCGCGGCTCCAGTCAACGGCAACCTTGTAGCGACCGGCTGAGGCGGACGGGGAGCGATCAAGCGTATCAAGCGTATCAAGCGTACCTCCGCAAAGCCAACGCTCGCTGGCCGGCGCGTCTCACGATGGGGCACATCCCCCGCATTGCAGAGTATGGGGTAAGCAACTGCGCCGTCGGCTTCGCGACACGGTTCCGATTTGCTGACCGGCGCTGACCAGCGCTGACCAGAGATCTCGGAATTCGGGCGTCATCACTAATGTCGCGAGAGCAGCTGCCGCCGGGACGCACGTTTGTCGACGAGCAGGCCGTTGGTGATACCTGACGTATGCTGACATATGACCGGCAGGAAGCGTGCTAAAGCGGCGAGGATCCGCTTCTGCGATCATCCCCAGAGCGTCGCGAGAGGCAGTCACGTCGGCAGATCCTGCCCACCACCCCAGACTCCTGACGCCGGCAGACGTCGTGATGACAGGGTGTGTTGCAGTCCTGGGCGCCACCGACACCGGATGGGTAGCAATGCCTGAAACGGAAGCTGGGTGCGACATCGGCGCACACAAGCTTGGCGGGCGTCCGCGTCGGCATGCCAGTTCTGGGCAGCATGCAGCATACGAGGCCGCACCTTCGAATCTCCCGCAAAAGCCTCCACCCCTGTGCGTTGTCGTGCTGCGCGCTGGCATGATGCATGCTTCTGGCAACCTCGTGCGGCCCGCCAATCCATTGGGTAAGCATAATGCCCCATGTTAGCCTTCACAAGCTCGGGGCCGTTGGGACGCCCACCGCTTCTTCATGTGGCCGGCGGTGGGCTCAGCTTCTGACAGCAGCGGCACCGTGGTGGACTGAGTTATTGCGTGATTAACGACCATATGGGAAATATCGGCACAACACGACTCTGCGCGCCGCGCCTGGAGGTGGCCTTGGGTACAGGAGAGTGAACAGGGGGAGGGCGGAGCGCAAGCGGGAGTTCCGGAGAGCCTACACGGCAGTCCGGTCGCCCGGGGTACAAGCTACCTAGGGACACGAAGTCCAAGGCGGTGACGGTTTGATGAATTATCAGATGCCACCGACGCGGCTAGATCCAGCGATAACAGGCTGATGGACGCACCGGAGGGGCCACTACAGCTCATCATTACCAAGCTGTGAAGGCCTGACAGAACCCGTGTGGTGGGATTGTCAGGGAGGCGAGCAGCAAGGAACTTTCTGGATCAGCCCGTGCCAACGGAGCCGCCAGCAAGCATTCCGACGTGGCGGAGCATCAGCCATAGGCTCGGCGGCCCACGATACCGGGCTCCATCGTGGGGGGGAGAGCGAGTCCTGTGGTGGAGCAGTCCGAGACCGGAAATTATCAGATGGAATGCCCAAAGGGGCTAACACGGCAGGGGGAGAGATTAGATTTTCCAGAAGGACCTGGACGGGCGTGTAGGGCTGATGGTTTCGATGACCATGGCTGCAGCAAGCCACCGAGTCGATCACGTCAGGAAGCTCCGATCTGGGCCCCCGCCGCCCTGTTTGAGAGCGACGAGCATCGCCGCACTGGCGCTGATGAGCCGTCGCAACAGCCTCAGCGACGGCCACAATAGAGCTCTGCGATAAGGAGACGCACCCCGAACGCGTGGCAGAGCGCGGGGTGTTTAAGCAGGCCAATGCGAAGGGTGTGGTATGGCCTGCCACCCTGCGTAAGCATCCGGCGCGCGGCGCAATCAAGGCCAGCCGCATCGCGAAACATCGCAACGCGTCGCACCTTTCGCCCCCAAGGCCGTGCCAACCCGTACCTGCGTCAGTCCAGCGCGGCGCACCCATGGAGAGTACGCGGACGAGCTCGCGACAGTGCAGCGGGCGTGGGCGTGCGTGGTGCTGCTGGGCGCCGGAATTGCGGGCGCCGATGGGCGTGGAATGGCGTGCTTCTTGCCGGGCGCGCAGCCGCTGGCGGAAGACGGAACGCGAGAGCGGTGGATCGCGTGAGGGAGCCGTGGGAGGGCAGCGTGGTGGCGGGTGTTCGCGGGCAGTGCAGGCCCGAGGCAAAAGTCTCCTGGCAAGTAGTGGCACACTGGGGCAAAAGCAGCGCTGCCAAGACGCCCGGTTCCAGCCGCAGATCCTGCCGCTTCAGGCCCTGCCGCTTCGAGCCCTTCGGTCCGGCAAAAGATTAGGTAGATCCGGGCATCGCTTGCCCAGAACCACCGTATCCTCAACACGCCCACGCCGACTCAAATGCGCTAGATGCCCCCCGTCCAGCTCTCCTCTGTTCCTCTTCCTCGTAGCAGCCCTCACTCTCCACCGTGTCGTCCCTCGTCCCGCGTCTTGTGGCGCGGCGCTTGGTATTTGGCAGTCGCGCCTGCAGAGCCCGCCCGCCGTCTCGGACGAAATTTGATCAGATAACTGGTGAGCCTCCATGCCCCTCCCCAGCCCGCCACTCCGTCCATGCCGCCGTGCCGCCATGTCGCCATGCAAGCCCGTGCTCTCCCACACCCTCCCATATCTTCGTCGCCTCCCGCGCCCACGCTGACCATTGCATGCCCGCCCAGCTGAGCCCTCCCACTCTCAGCGTCGCTCTCTGCGTGCCACTCCCACCGTCGCCATGGCCGTCACCTCGAGCCCGCGGCAACACGCCGTGCCCACCACCGACACCTCCCACCCCACCGACCCCATTCCCCACGAGCCTGCATCCACCGCCAAGTTCAATGCGCCACGCGCCGTCCCCTCGAACAGCTCCTTCCGCTCTTCCCACGACAGCCTCTCTTGGTCCGACTCGAGTGACTCAGAGGCGCCCTCGACGCCCAACACAGAGCCCATGAACGACCAGCAGGCCGATGAGCTTGTGGACAAGCTGGAGAACCTGCCTGCCCCCTCGGTCGAGATCACTCCCAAGCAGGGCAAGACGCGCCGGGCCTCGACCACTCTCATCTCCGAGGACGCCGAGGGCATGCGCAAGCTGCTCGGCGAAGGCGAGACCGGCACCAAGCTCATCGAGAAGTACTGCTGTGGTGGAGGCTGCTGCTTTGTGAAGACGCTGCCGCCAGACACCACCGGTCCCGACTTCACCCCTGTCGTCCTCCCCGACAACGAGGCCTTCCGCAGCCTGGACCTCAAGCTGGGACCGCTCAGCCTCGATACCAAGCTCGAGCAGACCTTCGAATTGCCCCAAGAGACAGTGTCCTTCGATGCTGCCCCCCGGTCCGAGCACAAGCATGCACCCGAGGTCCTCAAGAAGCCGCCTCCCTTTGTCCAGCCCCACCCGCCGTACAATGTCTTCTCCGCACCCGTCCACCACGCACGCGAGCTCACCAAGCCTGGAGCTCAGAAGCGCACCTTCCACTTCGACATTGACGTGACTGACTATCCCGACGAGGGAGGTGTTGACTTCAAGGTCGGAGGCGCCATCGGCATCTGCCCCCCCAACGCCCCGGACATGGTTGATGACGTATTCGACCAATTGGGCGTGCCAAAGTTCGTTCGCGATAAGCCTGTCACACTCAAGACTCAGCGGATGAGATGGCCCACCATCTGGGGAGAGGAGGAGGAGAGAGAGCTCGTCACCACGCGTCGTGAGCTTCTTACCTGGTGTGCAGACCTGCAGAGCACCCCTCCCACCAAGCAACTGCTGCGCCTTATGGCCGAGCATGCGGACGCCCTCAACGAACGGAAGATTCTTCTTTACCTCACGTCAGCACAGGGTCAGGCCGCGTTCTGCGAGTAAGTCACACGGTGTATTGTCCTGGAGGCTCGAATATTGACACGAATTGAACAGCCTCCGCACTGGCTCCCACGTCACGGTCCCGCAACTCCTCCACGCCTTCCCGTCGTCTCGACCCCCGTTCCATGCCCTGCTTTCCGTTCTTCCTCAGCTTATGCCACGCTTCTATTCCCTGTCCAACGACCCTCACATTTCTTCGACTCGTCCTGGTATCCCTGGAGGTCGCCGCCTGATCGAAATGGCCGTCACCATCCACGAGGACCCCGACTGGCGGGAGGGCAAGACGCGTACCGGCGTCGGTTCTGGATACCTGGAGCGTCTCGCGCAGCAGTACATCGAAGCGGAGCAGTCGGGGATTCGTGATCCTGCGCATGTCCTTGACCTGAGCATCCCCATGTTCCGCGGGCTCATGGCCAACCCTCTTTCCCGCCAGTTCGGCGGCGACGGACCGATGATGCTCGTCGGAGCCGGCGTGGGCATGGCGCCATTCCGCGGCTTCATCCTCAACCGACTGAAGAACGCCAACTGCGCCAACAAGATTTGGCTGGTCCAGGGCGTCCGCGACAGCATGCTCGACGAGATCTACTCGGGCGAGCTCGGCGCCCACGAGAAGGAGATCAAGAAGGTGGTGCAGAGCCGTCGGGCGGGCGCGAACCGGTACGTGCAGGACGAAGTCCGGGCGCAGGCCGACGTCGTCTGGTTCGTGATCAACGCGCTCGACGGCCGCATCTTTGTCTGCGGGAGCAGCAAGGGCATGGGCGAGGGCGTCCACCAGGCCCTCATCGACGTGACGATGGAGAAGGGCAACCTCAACCGCGAAGAGGCCGAGGAGTTCTGGAACAAGAAGAAGGAGGGCGGCCAGTACATTGCTGTAAGTGACGGCCGTGTCCCCGTGTCCGCAACCGCCGACTGGAGCAAGATGTGCTGACTTTTTTGCGTTTCAGGAAACCTGGTGATCGATCCTCTCCATAACCCACCCACCCGCGTTCATTGTTGATGTGCATCGCCATACACACACTGTACAAACACGCTTCCCCCGCATGTTATGATCATTTCCGGCGTTTTATTTTTTTTCTTTTTTTCGGGGAGAGGAAGGTATGACCATGGCCGTGTGTCGTCGCATCGTTTGCGTTGTTGTTGTCGTCGCCGTCGACGCCCGCTTTTTCCCGATATGCGGCGAGTCTTTTTTTTTTCACCTTTGGGCATATGTTATTTGTCTTCGTGGCGGGGCTTCTTAGCATGGCGTTTCATCCGGATGGGGCTGAGAAGGAAAGAGAAAAAATGGTCTCCCGACGCATGGGTTTTGTTGTTGCTGTTGTTGTTGTCGTGTTGGTGGGATGAGGATCGGGTTGAGGATTGCGATGAGGCTTGCGACGACGATTCGGATACCACGCTCGCTGCTGCGTGGTTTGATAATGATGACGACGGCGCTCCTCCTGCGAGGCCCGACGTGGGCAGTCGAGTGGCCGGTATGCTGCAGATGGGGATCATGATAGATGGATGGGACACAGAGAGGAGGGAATGGGATGGTGTAACAATGATTTTTTTTCGAAAAGAAGCAGCTTTGAGTCCCTGCGTGAAGGTGATGTGCTGAAGTGTGGGTACGTATGTGTGAGAGTGGTGGTGAGGGGGGATGGAGGATGGGAATGGGAAATGGTGATGATGAGGATGTGGATGGGGGAGGGAGGATAGAGGAGGTTCAAATAGGTGGTAGGCAGGCAGGCAGGCAGCAGGATTAATTATAATCAAACTTTCAGAACGACTCACGGAGATGACAGCCAGCGGACCGGCCCCGTTTGCCCTGCGTTTCGCTAAAAGTAAAAGTAAGAGTGAGGTGGTGGTAAAAGCCGCGGGTCCCGCGCGCGTGCGGCGTGTCCCGCTTCTTTTCGCACAAAGAGGTGCTTTTCTCCTCATGTGGCGCGCGGCGGCGACGACGCCTGAGGGGTGGGTAGGAGGAGGAGGAGGTGCAGGGCCGGCGTGGTCGAATCACGTTCGTCAGGATTGTAAGCAAGGTGCGTGGTCTCTCGCCTCGCCTGACCAATCGCCGATCAGCAGAGAGGGGGGCTGTGTATGTGTGTGCGTCGTGTGTGCCCTGTCTGATCTGTCGTGTGCATACCTTGTGACGGGGCGGGGGGGGGGGGGGGGG